CTGCTTTTACGAGGCTCTGCAGCGCCTGCTCCACATATTTCGGAGGGTCCTTCATCCTAGAGGAATGTCAATCATGGTCAGGCATATTCCGGCGCTTCAAGGGAGTTGACGTAGGCAGATTTGCAGATTCCTGAGAGATTCTTAAGCCCCCTGAATTCCCAGTTTGCTTTGAGGTTCAAGCTCGTTTTGTTAAACCGCAAGATAATCGCAGTTGTTCTGTTGTTGTTGTACTGTACAATAACCCTAACTTCTTCGCTTCCCGTGTCCGATCGACACGATATATACTATATTTCTCCATACATACATATCCATCACCATGAAGACCCTTTCGCTTACCAGCATTCTCCTCCTCTCGCCCCTGCTTGTGACTGCCGGCCCCGCTGGCGTCCGCACCAGGGAGTCGACCGCGCAAACCAGCATCAGCAGCGAGCAGATCCAGACGATCGCCCCCACGTCCAACACCTGCGCCGACGCACCGGCGGTCGGCGAGTGTGCCACCTCTGACACAGCAGCCTCAAGCATCGCCAAGTCGTTCCAGACCTACGGCGTGACCAACAAGGCCGAGCAGGCGGCGGTGATCGGGCTGATGGCCTTCGAGAGTCAGGACTTCAAGTACAATAAGAACCATTTCCCCGGCGTAGCCGGTCAGGGCAGTAAGTTCATCATCCCAATCCCGTTTCCTCCCTCATTACACCTTTTCCGCTCATATCTTTGTCCTCTACAATCCTCCATAATCCTTCCTAATGAAATGAACGTATAAATAGCCCGCAACATGCAATCCCCCGCCTTCAACGCGAAGTACGCCGCCTCAATCCCCGCCCTGGCGGAACCGCTGAAGAGCGCCAGCGGCGATGTGACGGCTACGCTGGATCTGCTCCGAGCCGTCCCCGAGTATGACTTTGGCTCCGGCGCGTGGTTCCTCACCACCCAGTGTAGTTCGACTGTTCGCGCGCAGCTGCAGAAGGGCGGCCAGGCTGGCTGGGAGGCGTTTATCACTGGGTGTGTGGGTACGGATGCTAATGATGAGCGAAAGGCGTATTGGACTCGGGCTGTTGGGGCTCTGGGGGCTTAGGGTTTGGGTTTGGGTTTGGTTTTCGGTGTGATTTCCGAGAGCGGAGTGGTAAATTCGAGAATTTATTGTGTTTATAATCTGTTTTCTGGATGTTTGAGTAGAATGGGTGTGTTGGTTATACCCCGTAGGATCAAGGTTAGGTATCTCTATGATTTGAGCTGGCTGTGACGAGGAGGAGGTATGGGGGTCTCCTCCCATATAATGAGATATATATTTACTAGTCTGTGAGATGGTGCGAGGCGGCGAAGATAAGTATCTCCTCATTTATTCTCGATTCTGGGATATGTAATTGGCTGATATATACAAAGCGAGTGGTGTAAGCTCGTGTGTCGAGGAATCATGAGAGGTTGATGGGAAAAGTATATTGTGCTTGTGATTTAGGCGAAAGTAGAAGTTTAGATGATCTACCTAGTATATAGTTCAGCATGTTAGTTATGCTACACTGTTGGTATGCCTGGTCAAATATGGTCTAGCAAGCCTAGTATGATACAAGCATGTCAATAGCGTGAATAATAATTCATCTCAGTGTCTAATGCGAATGTAACCTATATCTACAAAACCCCCTTGGTACTGACTACATCGCCCGCTCCAACCTCTCCGGCGCCCCGTCTCGTGCAAGCCGTCCGAATAGCCACAGCCAACGCCTTGAACGCACTCTCCGCCCGATGGTGGTCATTATCTCCGTAGGTACATCCCACATGCAACGTCACTCCCGCCGCCTGCGCAAAGCTCTGCAGACCGTGCGTGATCATCTCCGTACTCAAGTCCCCAATCTTCTCCCGACGGAATCCCAGGTTGATCACCGCCCATGGTCGGCTGGAGAGATCGATCACCGCCCAGGACAAAGCCTCGTCCAGAGGGGCGTCACCGCGACCGAATCGTGCAAGAGACTGTCTAGCACCAAGAGCTTCAGTGAAAGCCGAGCCAACCGCGAGGAAAGTGTCTTCGGTCGTGTGGTGGTCGTCAACTATCCAATTGTTAGTCATGCTTATGAGACATGCAGACGCAGACGCTGATGCTGAAAGTGCGAAGCGACGGGACGTACTGTACAAATCTCCCTTGGCGCGCACCGCCAAACTCCAGCCCGAATGCTTCGCCAACGCGTGCAACATGTGGTCCAAGAAACCTATCCCCGTGCTCACGGTGATCTGCTGCGTCGGTGTGAACTGTGTGGCGTGTGCGGCATCCTTAGGCGGGACGATCCCCTTCTTCGCGGCTTCGGCTTCCTGGGGATCGGTCGGCGCGGGGAAGTGTTGACTGGGTTCGTATGGGGGGAGGACGCCGCCGTCGAGGGAGAGCGAGACCTGGATCTTGGTCTCGTTGGTGTTGCGGGAGATGGATGCGGTGCGGGCGGGGTGAGACATGGTGAGGTCGGTGCGACCGAAGTCGTGATGGATTTGCTTGGTTTAGAGACTGGCTGAGGTTTGGAAACTGATGCGATGTTGCGCTTGCCGGCTGGTCGGTACTCAACTCTTCAAGCCGTGGTTAAGGTGGAGTATGAAACAGAGGGGCTGTGATTCGATGTCTATCCCCAATTGACTCAGAACTCACGGGCGGAACAAATCCCGCCCGCATTCTTTCGGTGCATGACCCGGAAGTTCAGTATTTCCGCGGCGGGATATGCCCCCGGGATTCATGCGTCATATGATGGCCCTCGAATTTCTTCCCTCATGCATTGAGAACTCCTCGTGCTGTTTCTCGTCTACTGAATTTCTTGCTGCCTTTTTGCACCCTCCCGATCTACAACCAACATGCCACCCCCATCCTGGCAGAAGCATGCGGTCGAACCGCCCGAGCATATCACCTCCGAGGCTGTCCGGGGCTTTTTGACGGGTGCATTTCGAGTATGATGTCTGCTTCGGCTTGTCTTTTATCTAGAAGAAATTAATTCAGGACTAGTTCGGCTCCGTCTCAATCATTGCGCATATGATCATGATCCTCCCTCATCCCTTCAAATTCTCCCCGCCATCGTCCGCACCGGTCCCGTCGCAGTCACCCAAAGCCGCGCAACCCAAACAGTCGCCATTCTCCAAAGAGTACATTCGCTCTCGATTGTTCCATCGTCCATTGGAGGGCTTCTCCGACTGGTTGTCCCCGGCATCTCGCGTCTATCGCGGATTGACGCCACAATTCAAAGTCTTCCTGCAAATCGGAGCCATGACGCTGGGTGGATATATCTGGGCTGAGAAGCGAGTGGACGAATATATCAAGTTCGTTCGCAAAGTGAAACGAGCGGAGAAGCTTCAAGCCGAGAGAGCTGCGAGGGGTCTAGACTAGGCTGGTATGTCTCGTCAGCCACAATCCAGCGAGAGAACCACGCCGATCCGTTCCAGCGACAGTAGCCAAACGAAGATACACTCGACCATGCAGACTGACTTTCTCAAGACAGCATAGCCACTTTTCGAGATCCAATTCTGCGGACAATTCATATTCTATACTCCACTACCGCAACTACCGTGTTTGAAGGGTTCTCACGAAACGCAGTCATCCAACCTGGAACACGCTACCCAAGCCAGCTCCGCGATCGGTCAGCCACCAGGGTCCAGCCGATAGTAAAACCACACAGCAGCAATCACCAGGTAATCACTGACAAACGCCGCCGAGAAAGGCTGACGGTCTGACCTGCCATGTGGAGAGCCGGGAGGATCTCCGGGTACGCGAGCCGGCCTGTGGTGTACACTGTACGGAGTAGATCTCGAGTTTAAATGAGAGCCCGATTCAGGGGTAATACGATGCATTGGAACGGGCGTTCTTGAAAGGGTTCCTGCACCGTCTTCTTTGCTTTTTTGTCTCTCCCCCCCCCTCGCCCTTCTCTATTTTAGTCAAGACCTCGGTGGTAGACAGCATGCCAGACCAGAAGAAAATCAAACGAGGCGGTGAACCCATAAAAATAAAAGCCTCATCCCAAAAAGCCCTGGCTAGAACGATCGATGATCTTTGTCTCCCGGGCTCCCTTCTTCATTCCACAGCTGTCATGCCCGAATCGCTACGATCCAGACCGTGGGCACTGCTTCGACCCTAAGGAAAAAGGGCCGCCGTGCGCCAGGCGAGACGATGCAGGCTACTGGGGCGAAGTGGAGCGTTCTCCTGTCTAGCTCGACAGGCGTCCGACGTAGCGCCAATGACGCGGCTGGAGATCGGCTTCTCGAACGCGTTTCACGCTTTCAATCCACCGGCGATCGCCTGGAGGGGTTCCAGCCGGGGCGCCGAGTGGGACAGGGGGAGGAAAGTAAAATGAGAAGGGAAATTCGAGCTTTGATTCTTCCGAGAGAAATAGACGGTCGGGGAGAGTACTTGACTTGGACTGAAGCTGGCTTAGCCTTGCAAGGGTCGGGATTGAGCGGCGAAGGCGAAAGAAGAAAAAATCTCGGTTGGAGAAGGCAACCCGGGATGAATGGAGCTGGTGAGGCGGTCGGAATTGCTATTTATTGTTGGTCAAAGCTAGTGTGGACCGGATGTAAGCAAGTATACTGAAATATGCGCTTGGGAGTAATTCTGCATTGCTTGAGGATAGCTTGATTACAAGTAGTATGGATTGATTTGATTGATAGTACTTAGTAGCAGCAATGGAAGGAGGGAGGGAACCTTTTCCGTGCCGAGTCAGTTGTTTTACTTTGGGAATTCTCCCTCACATATCACTTGGTATTATTCCTCGTTGACGGAGAGAACAGAACTCCCTCTTTCTCCTCTCCCCACCACCCACCCCTGTTTTCCCCTCACTTCAAATGACCTGACTTCCAATGGAGCTTCCAATGACTTCAACAAGCTCCAGCTCCTCCTAATTCTTTTCTTCTCCCTCGTCACATTGGAACTCAGACCGGTTGCGGTTCGCAGGGGATCTGGCCGATCGTTTGCAGCCTCTCGGGAAGACGCTGACATCATTGCCTGGATCCGGATCCAATAATTGATATTCTCCGGATTGTCCCTGTCAGGAACTGGAACGCTAAAAATCTAAACAATTGCTTTGAAGTCGTACCTGAGGACCTGTCCCGAGCTGGTCCTCTGTTTGCATCTCAGTCGCCTGTCGCTTGCCTCATCCGGTTGTGTTTAACCCCCCAAGGCATTGTCACCGTTGCAGGCTCTGGTGCTCCCATGCTCCATCTGGGTCATTTGCCTCCCATCCCAGCAAGACTCTTATTACACATACTGTGGACTGGTGAGCCAATTCCTTTCCTTCCTCGCTCTTTCTCTCCTTCTCCCCTCGTGGGATTGACAGACACTTTCCGCGTCCGACCGTCTGGGGATTTGACAGGTTGTGTGTGTGCGTGTGTGCGCGTGTGTGCGTGTGTACGATCTTGAAGTCATCACGGTGACGACGACCTCATCTCCTGGATTGATCTACACGTCTATCAAGTTATAGATCGCCCTCGCCTCCGATCCCCCTCCCCCATTTAACCAACTGACGGTCTCCGTACTTCTATCCACGGTTCTGGGGTCCCTCTGGTTCTTATTCTTGTTTTGACCTCCTCCACCCATTCTCTTGTGCCAATTGTTTCTATATCGTTCTGTCTTCTGAACACAATTGCTTTCTTTTCCTTGGTTGTTGCGGTGGTCGAGAATTGTCTTTCTCTTTTGCTTTTCCTCTCTGATTCCTTCGGCTTCAGCTCTCAATCAATCTTCGAGACTCCTTCTGGTATCGAGTCCACCCTAACCTATTGATTTCGCAATTCATCCTGCCTTGATGGCTGGCTGGTGCTGTAAGTTCCACCTTTTCCACCCTTTTGTCGCCTGCCTTGTTCCCCCTCCTTCCCCTGCCCGTGGCTCCTCATTTGGTGCTTCCGCGCCCTGCTCCACCCCTCGAAGTCACTAGTCAACCGCTGGGGTTTCAATCTCTCCTGTCTGTGTCTTGCTCCAATCTCCTCTCCCCCCAAATCCTCCTTCTCTCCACCCTCGCCCCCCCTCAAAATTTCCCTCTTATCGCTTCTGGCCATGATTCATGCTAACAGCCGCCTTCCTCTCGCTTTTCGCGCTTTTCTAGTGAGACCCCATTGCCGGCTTCTCAATGTGATATTCTCTCTTTAAAAATTCATCCTATCACCACCTTGCTGCTGCTGCCGTCGCCCTATTGCCTGTGATCGTGTTGCAGCTAGCTAGCTAGCTAGCTTCCTCCCTCCTTCCCTCCTTTTGATCTCGAGCGCTTCTTCCCACCCTCTCTTCAACCCCCTTTCTCCGCCCTCAGCCTTCCCCTAATCCCCGTCATGGCCGACAATCTGGGGAAGAAAGAGCGGAGAAAAAGCCTGAGCGTCTTTAGCCCATCCTTCACGACCTCATCCTTGTCCGACCCCGTAGCGCACCAACGATCGCCCTCGGATGATGCTCAAGCCTCGAAAAAGAAATCACGCCGCAACTCTGGCTTCTTTGGGGTCCGGAACCCCAGTCCGCCAAGAGCCGGCACCAGCTACACCCTGCGTCGTCCCGGCACCGCCGATTCGGAGTCGACAGCATGCATGATGCCCCCGCCAGCCCTCGAGGGCCCGCGCTCTCGACGCAAGTCAATGCAGAAGAGACGGGCCTCGGTTTTCGGATCGCTGCGGTCCCTTCATTCATTGGAAGACGATGACCGTTCCCTCGGTCGCTCTAAAGGTAGCTCATTGGACGAAGACAACCCCGAGATTCGACAAGGCATCGGTTCCATTATCTTGCACCATGGCGAAATTCAGATCACGGGCGGCATGTGGCGAAAGAAGAGCCATTACCTGGTCTTAACCGATACTCACCTGGTCCGATTCAAGAATCAAAGTAAAGCGGCCGATATGTTCCCTTCGATCCCATCATCGTACTCCCGGTCCCTGGCAAGCAATCGTCAATCCGTGGTCTCCATCAGCTCGATGCAGGATCCGCAGCTGGGTGCACCGGGCGACAACTCCGCCGGAATCGCCCTGAACAGTATCATTGCGGTCTACATGTTGGACGATGGTCGACCGTCCTCCACCGTGGAGGTCGCCTATGTCGATGAGCGAGCACAGAAGGCCACATTCATCCAGATGCAGACTCCGGATTTCCAGGAACTTAATTTGTGGATGGTGGGTATTCGCTCTGCGGCGGAACTGATCCGAGGCGCCGAACCCTTACCTTTTGACCGGAAGACAGTGGACTGTGTGGTGCGGATGCTGGATTACGAACGAGATTACGATCCGGAGACATTTCGCATGTTCAGAGTCATCCAAATGGCGTCCAGCAAGTCTCCGACGCGGGCTTCGTCGGAGGACCTTACCAAACTTTCACCGACCGGTTGTTACCTTGCCCTCGGTTCTCACAAACTCCATCTCATTCCCTTACACAAGATATCTAGTCGCAGTTCAGTCGTATCATTGAGCGATTTAGATGCTGCAACGTCCTTTGGACTCATGAACCTGACCTGCCTATCAATGGAGTGGGGAGATGATAGCTTGCATCTGACGTTCCGGTTGCCGCTTCGCAAACCATTCTCCGTTTTCCTTGCATCCGTTCATTCCCTGGAGGTTGCGTTTTGGATCAGGCAACAAACAGAATTCCTGCGACCATTATGGCTCAAGCAGCCTTACGACTTCATTGTTCCCCGGGACCTCGACAACGAGAACAACTTTCCCCCGGTAGACCTTGACGAAGATTTTGGATGCTTCGACCGAACCTTGGTCGCTTATTCCGCCAGTTACGACATTGACACGTCTAACATTCGATACACGATTGACATGCAATGTGACGATGCCCCTTGTTTCAAACTCTTGCCGCCGTCGTCCCGCCGGAAGTATACCAGCTTGGAACTCATTGCCGTTTTGCGAGCCCTGCGCTATAATGAGTCTTTTCGTGCGATCTCATTTAGTGGAGTGAGCTTGGACGCCCTTCAGGGATTGCGTGACTTGCACGGAGTAGACAAGGATGCTCTCCTTAGTCGTGCGGGTGCAGCTGTCAACATTCCTGGACAAGATAACCTGTCTGTTCTGTCCCAAGAAGTCCGAGCGTTGACACTGAAGAGCAAATGGCTCCGGCGTCTTGACTTCTCCTACACCCTGAGCCGCATCCCCAAGTCTGATAGTGAAAGTCATGACCCTGGCTGCGGTATCCCAGAGGCGATTTTCCCGGTTTGTCGGCGAGAGCTGACGAGCGTTGATTGGGTTGTGCTCAATGGAATCAAACTGGGGGATTCCGACCTGGACTACCTCGTCGATGCGGCTTCACAGCGAGGAAGTCATATGCGGGCACTGGAAGTCGGCAACTGTGGTCTTTCCGTTCACGATCTTGACTTATTGCTCTCTACCGTTGTTGCGCAATCGCACACGTTAGAGGCAATCAATATCTCTGGTGTTCAGGGCCGTCTGACTCCGGACATTCTCCCGCAGTATCTTGGCTATTTCAGCCAAGTTAAGACTTTGGACTTGTCTCGGATTTCCCGCACATCGGGACCGGAGCCGCTCTTAACGCCCGAGACATTGATCAATTGGCGCCTTGAGGAACTCTCCTTAAGCCGGACAGCCGTCAATCGACAAACTGTTGATGCTATTGCCACATATTTGGCCAGCGATCGTTCCGAAGGCTTGCGGGTGCTTAAATTCGATCAGTGCGGGCTAAGTGGTCAGGACGTGGCGATATTCTTGCATTCCATGGCGGTGCTCGAAGCTCGTAATCTGCATCTACATGTCAATGAGAATCGGCTCGACCAGGGGTGTTCGTACCTTTTCGAGGCTATCGCGCAGAATAAGACGCCGACACACTTATCAATGCGGATGATCGACTTCAAAAAAGAGGAGCAGTTCCAGGACTTGGTCGAGGCTCTGCGAGTGAATCGTTCCCTCAAATATTTGGATATTTCGAAGGCGTCCCTCCCTTACGATGCCGGGCCCGAGACCTGCAAGGCACTACAGTTGATGTTCGAAGAGAACGAGACATTGGAGGACCTGGACATCAGCGGGGAGAGTGCTCACCTGGATGTCGCCCGGTTCGGGATTGGTCTCAATCTAGCTCTCACTGGTCTGAAGAAGAATAAGTCTCTGCAAGTCCTGAGGATAGAACATCAGAAACTTGGACTGCAGGGAGCGAACACCTTAGCATCTGTGCTGGAAGCTAATGACTGTCTACGCGAGGTCTATTGTGAGAACAACGATATCAATCTGCAATCGTTTACAGTGCTGGTGAATGGTTTGCAACGGAATCGGTCCTTGCTAAGTCTTTCCTGCATGGATCGAGATCGGGTGCAGTCCCTCGAGCGGGTGCGGCGAGAGGTCGAGAATGTCAAGCGGGAAGTGGGTCTTGCTCAGAGCTCCGCCACAAGCTCTATCCGTCGCTCTCTTCACGCCGCTATAAGTACCAAAAGCTCGAGCAGTAAGCTTTCCAAACAGCAGCCTGCGTCTCTACACCGTTCGGGTGCCTCATCCTCCAACCTGCTCGTCTCTGCAGATGCCTCTCTGATGCAGCAAGATGTGGAAGTTATCTTGCAATCCCTGAATCGGAAGTGGGATGCAGAGGTTGCGCGTCTGCGCCGATATTTGTTCCGGAACTACAACCTAGCGCATGGCATCGACGATGGTAGCGATGAACCCGATGACGACGATTCCAGTGAAGGACGACCCGCTACTGCAACCACCCTGGGACTGATGTTGGATAATCTCAAACTGGATGTGACGGTGTCTACCAATGAGGTTCAATCACTGCCGCAGCCTGATGATGGTGACACCAGTCCAAAGACCCATCTGGAAATGTTCAACAGCCTCGATGCCGAGAGTAGCTTGGTTGCTGAGCTTCGCGAACGCCCACAAACAGCCCCCTTCTCATTAGCAGAGTACGGAAGCCAGTCATTCCTACCCTTGGAATATACGAGCTCGAACGGCCATAGTTCTCGTTTGGCAGTGCCAGTCCCAGCCATACCCCCTGTGGTGAACAAGACCAGCAGTGTTCGCAGTGCGCGCAGTTCCAGCACCGTTTCCACGGGCACTGGCACAAGTGCGCGAAGTACTTACGGATCGGCCTCTTCCACCTTGAGAGGTTTCTTGAGTGGTGGTGCGTCTAAAGAACGCAAAAGGATGGAGAAGATGAGATCTGGTGCAGTGTGCGTATCCAGTGATAGGCCACCCAAACTGGACTGGGCACCTCCTCATCTCGAGTTGGACAATTTCCGATAGTCCAGCCATTCTCGTCCCTTGGACATGATTAATGAATCGAACAACGAGACAACAAACCAAGCTGTTTTCGCCAGTCGAATAACCACGTGATTTCCTTGCCATTGCTACGTGATACCTCTCTCTTGCTACCTCACTCCTTCTATCATTCATCAGGCACGACAGTGCTCGTGCCGCTTTCTACATGTTCTCGACAAATTCGAGCACATTACACTCCTTCGCTTCCTACCTCTGACCTGGTTGCGAATCTTCGATTTTTGCTTTCAGCCAGCTGGCCATCAGTGTCTGGTTTCTGCTCAATATTATATTCATCCTCGCTCCTTTCTCCTTTCATTTCATGACGCTCTCTTGACTCGTCGTTCGGCCCGCCTCAGGAAAGGCAGATGGCTGAGAAGAGTGCAAGACGACTTCAATCCTTTTTTGCATCATCTTGCGTGGTTGGCGCATCGGCTAGGCGGTGGCGGCGTTCAAATCAACAATCCCATCGATAGCCGCTTGAGTATCTTTGGGTTTCAAATGAGGCGCATTTCAAGTCTGTCGGATACATTATTTGTCTATTTCTCTTTCCCAATCCCCTGATGCCCATAACTGTTTAATGTCAATAGAATATATCACCCGGTCGCCCTCGGAAGCACCACAATATATGTGAGAGCGAGGTGGGCTGAAATAAAGAATGATGTTGCCCACGGAATGGTTTGCAATTATCTGGACTTGTTAGTCCTCGTTCCTTCGAAGTCGGAAGCCAGATGAAGTGGTTTTCATCGTCTGTATCTGTATATTGTTGTTGGTATGATGGCCGACGACCAGTCGGACTGTGTATGTATGTATGTCTGGGCAGATGGCTGCGTATAAACAAAGTGATGTATCCTCAGTGGAAGGATCTCTTGTCTCATCCATCTGTTTCTTATCAGAGTGATCCCCACAAAGGCAAAACAACACATAGGCTGTCCATGCCCCATGATGCGGAGTTTATAGGCTTCCCGCCCTCCAGATTGTCGGCATGATATAGGATGATATAGGTAACTATTGGCCGCGCGTTTCGCCGTCTCCCTTAGGACCGTTCCTGGGTCATATTGATCGGGCCAATACTGTGCATTCTACTGTTACATCTTATAAGAACGAGAAACAATGAAGAGAAGAAGAGATAGGCGCTTTTATTGTAAGAACATTCACCACCAAAAAGAAACCGAAGAAGTAACAAGGGGGTAAAAAAAAAGAAAACTAAACGCTTTCTACTTCTTTGAAAAACCTGAACTCCCTATCCAGTACATACATATACACGCGCCGCCACGCAGGCAAAGACACCGTCCCTATGAGGTGAATCTCAATTATGCTATAAGCCGGTTTCTCCCTTGTACGGAAGGAAGTTTCTCGTCTCCTATTGCTAGTTCTCCTGAGTGGCAGCCGGCTTTGCGGCCTGTTCGTGGGCCTGTTCGGTAGACTGCTCGGTAGACTGCTCGATGGTTTTCTCGGTAGCCTGTTCGGTAGCCTGCTTGGTGGTCTGCTCGGGGGCCTGTTCGGGGTTCTGCTCGGGGGTCATCTCGGGGGTCTGTTTGGTGGTCTTCTTGGGGGTCTGCTTGGTGGCCTGAGGCTTGTTGGCAGGCTTTTGGAAAGGCTTCTGGGAAGACTTTTTCATTGGCTTGTTGAAAGGCTTTCTGAGAGGTGTTTGGACAGCGAACTTGGTGTGTTTGCCGAAGTTCTTCCCATAGGCTGGACCACCATTAGGGGGCCGAGGGCGGTAGACGATGAGCCTGGATTTCGAATCAATCTGGTTTTGTCGCTCGCGGAAACGTCGACCAGACTGCGAAATTAACCGGAGCTTCTTGAGATAAGGACTTGGCTCCTCATCTTTTGCAAAGTCGAGGGCGAGTCGGCGACGTTTTTGGAGAGAAGCATAGATGTGATGTGTATGCGGGTCAGTCCCGTCCAGGTAGTCAATCCTGTACGCGATCTCCCACCTGTCTTTCTTGGTTAACTTCTCAGGTCTTTCGACCTGGACATCGTTCACGAAATTATCGATTGTGAGGACAGCAGCGAAGAGCTTCTTGTTTGTATCAATGGTCGACTTGTCATTCGTGCTTGAGTCTTCCATCGCCGCATCATCCTCTTCTTCCTCCGCCGAGGCCTCCGCGGGGTCTCTCAGTGTCTCGTCATACATCGCATCTTCATCTTCAGGGACCAAATCTCCATTCTCGCCTACATCCTTGTCTAGCACTGGCGCTGGCTCGTCGGGTAGATCCAGAATGCGTTTCTGATAGGCGTCAATAGCTTCCTTGTTCTTGTTCTGGATTGCCGTGATTTCGTCGTCGGTGACGGGCTCCGCAAAGATGTTCATATACGGCTTCGAGCCGGGGCGAGTTTCAAAATGAAAGCGGATCGATTGCTTAGGGAACATTTTCGTGGCGCGGTTCAAGATCTCGTTCCAGAGCTGAATGCTGAGCTCGAACTCGCGATCACCCAAAGTGTTGTCGAATTGGCCGTGTAGTGCCTTGTCCATCTCGTTTAAGGAGATATATTGGAAGCCAAAGATGCGCTCAATATTGTGGAATGCCACAAAGATGCCGTCCATACGCCCGACGCGCACCTGGAGCGAGTACTTGAGGAAGGCGGCCCGAATCATATCATAATACTCGCGCTCATACGATTCATACATGCCACGAGGCCGGCGGATCTCGTAACCCAGGCCATGCTCAAAGTTGCGCGCATCCATCCGAATTGACACCACGGCACGGGTCTTCAGATCGAACATGCCAGTGCCGGGCAGCCGTGGGTCATAAGCGTCCAGCTGAGACCGCATGAGAAAATCGCCCATTGTGGAGTAGTGGTATGATTCCGGAATCGCATTTTCTTCCTCGGGGGTGATCTTATTGGCGCTGGACCGTCGGTAGCGCTCAAACTCCTCCTTTGGCAAGGTCAACAGCTTCTCCATCGACTTCCCCAAGTTCATTAGAATATTGGCCGAGTCAAACTCCTTATCGGCGTCGATAGCATATACACCATCCTGGTAGTGCAGAAACATGGCCGCGGGCGCTCGCAAGAGTCGCGTGAAAGTCCTCAGATCCTCACTGAAGCCTTGAGACAGGCTGCTGATGTCGACGGGTCGCCAGGCTGACAGCAGGTAGTGGAAGTGGGACAGCACCGAAGTCATACTCGAGGAGGACCCAATGTATTTCTTACGCGCCTTACGCGCAAGCGAATGCAGTTGCTTATCTTTGGAGGAAGTGATGTAGTCTTTCAGAGCTTGGAAATCGAATTCGGTAACAGGCATAATGGAGCCCAAGTATGGATCAAAGTTGTAAACTCGCGATCTCGGATCTCGCAGCGTGTAAACTCCCTGGCTAATCATTGGTTAGATCTCATGGCTGAACCATTGCCGCAGAGGAGCGCTTACTTGAATAGGACTCGATCCAGTCCGAAAGATAGACTTGGTACTTCCGGCGTTTCTACGGGAAGTGCTGCACAACAGCCAGTTAGTTCATGACTTATTTCGGTCAATACAAGAGAGGAGAGCTAGCAGAACACGTACGTTTGAGGAACTTTCTCAGCTTGATCGTGCCACTGCTGGAACTTATTGCTCTGGCGTGTTTGACAGGTGATGAGCCCTTATCCTTTCGCGCAGGGGAGTCGGAAGCCTCTTGCGTAGAGGAACCGGAGGTGGTTTGTGCAGGAGCATCGGAAGTCTCATCGGCTGAAACCTCTATCTTCGAGGCTTTGTCGTGAACATTGTCAGCCTCATGATGTGATTCCGGTTCCGGCTCCGGCTCCGGCTCCGGCTCAGAGTGCAAACCAATATCGAGTTTGTTGGGGACTGGAGGATTGAGTGGGTGTTCGGCATCGGTGGTAGTTGGTGTCTGGGAACGTAGGCGAGACTGGCTGTAAAAGGAGCGCGTCCATAACTGCTGGCGTGGCGGCGCACTGGAGCCGCGGGATAAACACGACCAGTAGAGGTTGCTTCTTGCCGGGGTCACGGCAGATCGCCAGGAAGCCCGAAGCATCCCAGGCGAGAAAGAGTAGATTGCGTTCAGGAGTGGAAAGGGATGAAAATAGCAGTAAGATTTAAAGAGAATAGGTAAGTGAATGGTGATGATGGTAGACGAGACGAAAAGACTGGTTTTGGCGGATTGCTTCTTTTTTTTTTGCCGCTCGATGGAATTCATTGAGAAATTCTTCCAATTTCAGCCCGGGCGGTGAGGAGACTGACCGCCCGGACACTCAGACCAATCCAAATCCGGGGTCGGGGGGGGAGGGGGGGGAGCGGCAATGAGACCGTCTGCTGCCCGCCCGACTCCGACCTTGAACGCTCCCGCCGTCCGCTTCTTCCCCGCCGGGCGGCCAAACCAGGCAAAATCCGACATCGCAGCAAAAAAAAAAAGTCAATCTTTTGACTTTCTTTTCTTTCCCCCACCACCTTCAACTCGTGGGTTGTCCAATTTCTTCCCCTTTTACTTTGCGCAGGTCGCTTACTAGGTAAGTTACTTACAAGTCTCGGAGTGTCATGCATTGAGGAGATTTTATGCGAGGAAACGTCACATTGAATCCAGAGACAAAAGATGGAGAGACAAGAGACTCCACTTCGACTCGTCGAGTACTGACTCAATGGAATGCCCCTCTATGGGGGAAAAAAGAAGAACTGGAGATCTTCATGAGATTCTCTCTCTCCCACCCCATTTCTGGCCTCTACCGTCTTCTGCCTCTTTTCCCTTCCCTTTTTCTTTCTCTTCCTCTTCTTCTTGTCTCATTCCTCTTTACCCTTGCAATTGTCCTTCGCTGAATGCAATTGACCCCGCCTTTCTTTCCGTCTATACTAATATTGACTCATCATCCCTCAGGTTCACTTGAGCCCACTGCGCCCTCTTCCCTCTTCCCTCATCATGACTACCGAGCAGTTGCGCGTGCTCATTGTCGGCAATGGCGGTCGTGAACATGCACTGGCCTGGAAATTGAGCCAGTCGCCTCGCGTCGACACCGTCTTCGTCGCTCCCGGAAACGGCGGTACCGGCAGCGGTGCCTCGGACAAGATCCAGAACGCCAACGTTAAGGGCGATGATTATCCCGGACTGGTAGCATTTGCGCAGCAGAACGGCGTGAACCTCGTCGTGCCTGGTCCCGAGGCTCCCCTTGTGGACGGTATCCAAGGTTATTTCCAGGCTGGTACGTTTTCTTAGCGCAATCGGAACCGCGCGAATATAGTTCAACCCGACTAACCAGATCAATGAACAGTCGGCATTCGATGCTTCGGTCCCTCCAAAGCCGCCGCCCGTATGGAGGGCTCAAAGACTTTCTCTAAAGACTTCATGAAGCGCCACAACATCCCCACTGCCGCCTATGAGAACTTTTATGAATATGAGCCCGCTCGCCAGTACCTCGACTCTGTCTCCCATCAGGTCGTCATCAAGGCCGACGGCCTGGCCGGTGGTAAGGGCGTCATCATTCCCACCACTAAGGAGGAGGCTCACCAGGCCCTCCGTGAGATGATGGTTGAGAACCAGTTTGGCAAGGCCGGCAGCGAGGTCGTCATCGAGGAGTACCTCGAAGGCGATGAGCTCAGTGTTCTCACCTTTTCTGATGGCTACACCATCCGTTCTCTCCCCGCTGCCCAGGATCACAAGCGCATCTTCGACGGAGACCAGGGCCCCAACACCGGTGGCATGGGTTGCTACGCCCCGACTCCTATTTCCTCCAAGGCCGTGCTGGACGTGATTGACCGCACCATCGTGCAGCCGTCGGTTGACGGCATGAGAAGAGATGGTCCGTCTCCGATCCCAGTCTAGTGTATGCGTCGTTAACATGTTTTTCAGGGTTCCCTTTTGTCGGTATCCTCTTTACCGGTCTGATGATGACCAAGGACGGTCCTAAGGTCCTCGAGTACAACGTTCGCGGCGGTGACCCCGAGACTCAAACTCTGCTGCCTCTGCTCAGCGATGACACCGATCTGGCCGAGATCATGGTCGCCTGTACCGAGCACTGGCTAGACGGTGTCTCTATCAAGATCAAGCCCAACTTCTCCACCACAGTTATTGCCGTCGCTGGTGGCTACCCTGGCTCCTACGCCAAGGGCAAGAAGATCACACTCGACTCCCCCACCGAAGGCACCCTAATCTTCCACGCAGGTACCAACCTCGTTAACGGCGAGTTGCAAACCGCTGGCGGCCGTGTCATTGCTTCCACCGCCACTGCTTCCAGCCTCGAGGAGGCCGTTCGCAAGAGCTATGCGGGCATTTCCACCATTCACTTCGAGGACATGTTCTACCGCAAGGACATCGCTCATCGGGCTTTCCGCCAGCGCGATGCCGCTGCTGCTCAGAAGGAGTCTCTTACCTATGCCGCTGCGGGTGTCTCCATTGATGCCGGTAACGATCTCGTCAACCAAATCAAGAGCTCCGTTGCCAAGACTAAGCGTCCTGGTACTGACGCCGTGATCGGTGGCTTCGGTGGCCTCTTCTCCCTGGCCGCCGCCAACTCTGCCTACGATCCTAACTCCCCGACCCTGATTGGCGCCATTGACGGTGTAGGCACCAAGCTCAAGATTGCCCACGCAGCTGGTGTACACAACACCGTGGGTATTGACCTGGTCGCCATGAATGTCAATGACCTGGTTGTTCAGGGTGCTGAGCCTCTCTTCTTCCTGGACTGCTACTCCTGCGGCCACCTCGATGTGCCCACGGCCGCTGCCTTTGTCACCGGTGTCGCCGATGGCTGTGTCCAGGCTGGCTGCGCCTTGATTGGTGGAGAGACCGCTGAGATGCCTGGTCTCTTTGTCGACAACACCTACGATGCTGTTGGTGCCGCCGTTGGCGCCATCAACACGACGGGCCCTAACGCTCGGCCTATTCTTCCCGAGACCGCCGCCATGAAGGCCGGTGATGTGCTGCTGGCCCTGGCCTCCTCGGGACCCCACTCCAACGGCTACTCGCTGGTTCGCAAGGTCGTCGAACGCTCCGGCCTCAGCTACGACGCTGCCGCCCCCTTCACCATGCCCTCCGCCACGGGACCCCAGACCCTCGGTCAAGCCCTCCTTACCCCTACTCGCATCTATGTGAAGCCCCTCCTCAAGGCCCTCTCTATCCCCTCCGCTACCCCTGCCGTTCCCAACTCCTCCGCTATCAAGGGTCTCGCTCACATCACCGGTGGCGGTCTCGTGGACAACGTTCCCCGCATGTTGCCCTCCACCTTGACCGCACACATCAACGTGGCGAGCTGGAAGCTTCCCTCCGTCTTCGCCTGGCTTAAGCAGACCGGCAATGTCGAGGCAATTGAAATGGCCCGCGCCTTCAACTGCGGTATCGGTATGGTCATCGCCGTCGAGAAGGGCTCCGAGGCGGCCGTCAAGGACCTCCTCCAGAAAGAGGGTGAGGCCGTCTATGAGATCGGTGAGCTCAAGGCCAGAACCGAGGGCGAGGAGGGATGTGTCCTTACTGGATTGGAGAGCTGGGATGCCTAAACTATTTTGAAATGATTTATACCAATTGCTTTGAACTTTTTCTCTTTTTTTTTCCCTTCTAAACCTGAATGAAAAGTGTCAGCTATTCTTTTCCATGCACCACCGTCGTCCCCAGGATCATGCTTAGACGAGGATGGACATTTTTTTACGATTTAGTGCACCGGAGCACTATTTGATTGAGTCCTTGATGTATCTACGATCTCCCTGCACATATATGTACCTCTCACCCCTACGAGAGTGTCTGATTTGCTTGATTTCCTCATGAATGTGTCTTCAACTTTCTTGATTTCATTTCTTTACCCACGAGAGAATATACCACGAGACAATTCTACCCACCTTGTCCAACAAAGACTGATCAATTACTCGCATCGATTCTTAGACTACTACCACACTGTATTCTCAAGTGGGATTATTCCCTGTCTTTCACTTGCCACACCATCGAAACCTCGTCAACTATCTAATCCCCTCATACGTAGCTTTCTCTCAACCTCTACCCAGACAGCAACAACGCAGTCCTCACATAAGCAGTCAGCCCACATCAGCCCCTCCCTATGGCTCCGCGAACAGCACAAAGCATGGCACCAACCAGAAGAAGGGCAACCAATCTGCCAAGCTTTTTCAAGTGTCACCGCAGACAAAACTCAATTAGTAGTGCCAATGAACCAACCAACCCTTTCCCCATTCAACCATACAAAACCCCTCTATTGTCTGCTTGCTCCAATTCAAGGAGTATTGCTCACTTCTTTCCCCACCAGAATACCCTCCCCGACCATAGCATCGTCAATTAATGTCATCACCGCATAGACTTACTATTATCTCGAATTCTTCCATGAGCTCAGTCCCAAAACACTTGACCACCTCTCGCCTCGCCTCCGCTCAATTGACCTTCTCCATGCTAACCTACTAGTATATATATTTCTTAGGAGGGAGCAAGCCTATGGAATAGATGGTCTATACATAGGATTCAATAGGACCCTCTCGTGCGGATGGATTGTCTCTATAAGACTCACACATGACAGTGAGCTGGAAAGGCAAGATGGAACCTTCACTCAGTGATCATCTGTTATAGCCTATACTTCAATAAAAAAGAATTGATGTTTGCCGGGTCAGCAGGGGGTTTTCTATACAATGGGATAGTAGATGCGGCGCAAAGGGCTTTGTTCCCGGTCGGAACATGTAGAGGTAATCAGAAAATACTTGGGATTGATGATGAGGATGACTTAGGTACAGGTTTTGAGATAACAGCATTTCCATTGGCACACTGTCTGATTGAAGCATACGGGTGAAACCTTGAAATGCACCAATGGCTGTCATGCCCCAGGATGCATATGGACTGGTCTTGGTCATCTGCCGTCCTCGCCGGCGAGAACAAACGAGGGTCTAACCGGCCAAGAGAAGATGACATCATGGACAGAGCCTCAATTGTCAATCAGCATTGTGCAACTACAAGAAAACGAGTAGAAATGCGGGTGCCCGTCGTCGTGGAACTACTGGCAAGGGGGAATATCGGTCACGGCGGACTACAGCGAACTGGTTTGCAATAGACGTCATATTTGCAGCAGCAACGCACAGTGTCACAGCTAAGAAGGAATACGGGGCAACAGTTCAACGCGAGCGTAAAAGACTTATATGATGAAAGCTCCCTCAGACTGCCCACAAGTCCCATATACATCTCGCTCCTACACAATTGCCTGGCCCGCTTTCTGCTGGAGCTTCCAGGAAGCGGCCAGATGTGATGGCCCGGGGCCAAGTGGCAAGCGGGTTCAAAAATGAAAAAAAAAAAAAGTAAAAACCATCTCTATTCGACAGCTAAAATAAAAGTTCCTTTTTCAGGCGATCTTCCTCCTAGTGCGAGTCAGAGAGGGCCCGCCAGTCACCAGTGTCTCCGTCGGGTCTTTTGATACATGAGGGAATATGAGAGTACGAAACGAATCACGCGCAAGAGCTAGAGGATATTAGCAGGCGAACCCCTTCCAAAGAGACTGAAATAACATACCTTAGAAGCACTTGCGGTGGACGATGGAGGGACCGCTCTCGTCGTACTCCTGCTTGGAGATCCACATCTGCTGGAAGGTGGAGAGGGAAGCCAGAATGGAACCACCGATCCAGACGGAGTACTTGCGCTCGGGAGGAGCAATGATCTTGACCTTCATGGAGGAAGGAGCCAGGGCGGTGATTTCCTTCTGCATACGGTCGGAGATACCAGGGTACATGGTAGTACCACCAGACTAATTGATTGTTAGCAAGGTGTTACGAGCCGAGACATCCGTTTTAACTTACCATGACGATGTTGCCGTACAGATCCTTACGAACATCGACATCACACTTCATGATGGAGTTGAAGGTGGTGACGTGGATACCACCGCTTTCGAGACCCAGAACGCTGGGCTGGAAGAGAGCCTCAGGAGCACGGAAACGCTCGTTACCAATGGTGATGACCTGACCGTCGGGAAGCTCGTAAGACTTCTCGAGGCTGGAGCTCTGGGAGGCGGTCTGGATCTCCTGCTCGAAGTCGAGGGCGACGTAGCAAAGCTTCTCCTTGATGTCACGGACAATTTCACGCTCAGCGGTAGTGGAGAAAGTGTAACCACGCTCGGCCAAGATCTTCATGAGGTAGTCCGTCAGGTCACGACCGGCCATGTCGACACGCGAGATGGCGTGAGGGAGGGCGAAACCCTCGTAGATGGGGACGACGTGGGTGACACCGTCACCGGAGTCCAGAACGATACCGGTGGTACGACCGGAGGCGTACAGGGACAGGACGGCCTGGATGGAGACGTAGAAGGCGGGGGCGTTGAAGGTCTCGAAGACGATCTGAGTCATCTTCTCACGGTTGGACTTGGGGTTGATGGGGGCTTCGGTCAAGAGAACGGGGTGCTCCTCAGGGGCGACACGGAGCTCGTTGTAGAAGGTGTGGTGCCAGATCTTCTCCATGTCATCCCAGTTCGTGACAACACCGTGCTCGATGGGATATCTGAGGGTGAGGATACCACGCTTGGACTGTGCCTCATCACCAACGTAGGAGTCCTTCTGACCCATACCGATCATGATACTGCGAGGTGGTTAGAATACATGGCAGCCCATCCAGATTGGAAGAGGGAAGCTTTACCCATGGTGACGGGGACGACCGACAATGGAGGCTGCACGAGATGATCAGTATATGAAGATTTGGGCAGAACAGACAGGCTATTCACACCCCCCCCGGCAATGATGATCACTCGATGCAAGGGAGCAATCGAGGCATGCCTTGAAGAGGGGTGGCCAACAACAAGGGGGAGGAGAGAGAGGGGTAGCCTGAAAGCTGGTGGGGGAAGACTTACGGAAGACGGCACGGGGAGCATCGTCACCGGCGAAACCGGCCTTGCACATACCCGAACTGGGAATCCAGTCAGTAAACTGAAGCTACCTTGGAGCTTCGCATTGATGGAAGCTGGAGCTCAATAGCTTTCCGCTTTCCCAAAGCTGGGGAATGAGAGTCGGGCAGATACGGCTGACGGCCGAGGATAGTCTCTCATCGCGACCGGAGCCGACACGCATGTTTTGCCATCTCACCCCCAGCAATGGGGAGGGGGGGGACACCAGGAACTAGGTCCATTGCCAAATCCATCGAAAATCCAGAACGTACCCATTGTCAATGACGAGAGCAGCAACTTCCTCTATGAAGTTGAAAAGATCATGTTAGCGAAATGCGAGAACAGTGCGTTGGTGGGATGGGATGGAATGGAGATGGAACGAGGGGGAGGGGTGTTTCAGGGGAGAGAGCTTGGGAAACAAGCGAGGAGACGCAAGGTGGCCGAAAGCTTACCTTCCATGGTGACTGTGGGATTAAGAATCGAACTACGGAAAGAAAAAGAAAAGGAAGAAGGAGATTAAAGGAGGAGAGGGTGGTTGAGAGGGTGTGGTGGTGGTGGTGGTGGTGGTGTGGTTGAGATGAGATGAGGGAGAGAGAGAGAGAGAGATCGAGCGAGAGGGAAGAGAAGAGAGGAAGAGAAGGAGAGAGAAGGCGGGAAAGAGAGTTGAGTTATCGGGACTGCGAGAGACGCTGAGAGGAGGCAAGAAGGCTGTGAGTGAGTTTAGGAGGTCGGCGGGTGTGGATGCGTAGTCAGCAGCAGCAAGCAACAGTTAGTTACTAGCAGCAAAGAGACAACAACCACAACAAGAATAGTAAAATAACAGAACAACTGCTGAACGATTCTAAAAAGCAAATTGATTAGTGAATTGATTAACAAGTCGATTCCAATTGAAGTTGTGCTTACGGGAGAGAGGGGTTTTATTTCCTGGATTTGACTCAGTCAGGAGGAGGAGGAGTGAAATGAACACTCTCAGTGTGTACGTGGTATGGAAATCAAATGACGGTACTGTATAGTTGTCCTTCCGGGAGGGAAACGAACCCAACTAACGCGGGCTAAGGGGGGGAGGGGAGGGGAGGGGAGGGAGGAGGGGAAAAGGAGGGAAAAAAAGGGAGGGGATGAAGTGGGGATTGTCTAGACTGGTCTAGGTCTAGTTCGGAGTAAATGCAGTTCGTTGATTGCACCAACTTCCTTTAGTGGCTCTTAGTTCCAGCGCTGTCACCGCCACACTGCCCAATTAGGAGAACTTCACAATTGGGGGGAGGGAGGGAGGTGGGAAAACAGGGAGCTGGTAAGTAATGTAATGCGAATACAATGTCCAGACCACGAGCTCGATGAATCGCAGATGGAGGATATCCAGCTTCATAATAATCTCTTTCATTGCCCTCCTAACCCTTATATACACCTTCTCTCCATCCCTATCCGGTCTATTCAAATCGTGGTTGCCTTCAGACAGAATGATTGAAATGATTGACTGACTGTTGCTGAAGGTAGTAGTCTTAGTCTAGGCAGTCTGGAGTGAGCATTGCGCATCCCTCGTGGGGCAAGATCCGATCCTGATCCAGGGTTGTTGTCGTCGCCGCTATGCGGATTGCGGACCACAGAACAGGTTGCTGAATGATGTCCGATGATGCCACGCGCGATAATAATAGCTTAGTCTAGTCTGGGCCAAGGAATCACGCTCCCAGCTGTTTTCCCCCCTCATCCCCCAAAACTCCTGATATCTAGTCGGACGGTCGGATGGCCCCTCCGGCTTCTGGATCCCTCTCCTTTCCTTCGAAAAAATGGAGCCAGTTGTGGTTCTAAGTCCGTAGTAGTCTAAGGGGTTCATTAACTTCACGTATAGTGTCGGCCCCTCATTCATCTGGATGCTTTCTAGCGCTGTCTGTCACTTTGCTCAGTATCCCTGAACGGGTCCATAATGATCATCTCATTTCTGAACGACCGACCGACCGTTGACGGGGTCGCTTCGGAATGGAATTGGCGACTTCGAATCAGTGTGATTAATGTGATTATTGGTGCTGTTGGGTAATCTGGCGACAATTGATCGACTGATGCCTGATTTTGGAGACCCATGGCCACATCACCGCCCCTGATACTATACGAATCAGGGAGTCTATTCCATGGGCAGCTGGGCCGATTGCTTATCCTCGAGGACACAAGACTCTGCGTCCGCCTGATCCCGATAAGGAAGACACGCGTGCAATGCTAGTCAAGTAGCACGATACGGTCAACGTTGGACTGTTGATCTGATATCACAAAAAGGAACAGACACAACAGATCCGGCCATGTATGACCGCATCGCGGGGTTATCCGATGGCGGGGTATTGAAACAAGAGGCACTGTTCGCACACAATTCGGACAATCACCATCCCCAGGGAATGGATACAGACAGACCCTGGGGAACAAATCCAGTCATCTATCTTATGCCAGTAATGGCCAGGTTCACGTCCAGTGGTAGCAATGGTCCTCAATTGCCAGACATTGGCAGTGTAAGCTGGCGATGGAAGAGAGTGGAAGACGGCCGGAGCCGCATGAATCCTCTGGATCCGTCCAGAACGTTACTCCATTTTTTTCACCCGCCGATTTGTACAGACCAGCGCCTTTTACTTTTCTCGAATACCACAACCACCACCTACCTAAATTTTTGTGCACGTTAAGTTTTCCTTACGGACTGTTGAACTTGTTCAAAACCAGTTTTGATCATCAATCCTGCACGCAAACGTCTACCCTATCTCCGACATTCCTGTTATCAACACACAAAACCCCTCACCATGGACGCCAACATGAACAACCTCCTCAAATGGAGCATTCAAGCCTCCACCGAAAACCGCGCCGCAGACGGCGACAACAGCAGCAACAATAACAACAATGCTGTTACTCCCGCGCAACCATCCAGCAACGCCTCCCGTGGTCTCAACCCGGAGATGCTCTCCGCGCTGTTCGGCGGTCCCACCGACGCCGACCTGATGAAAGCCTCCATGGAGGCCTTGCGCTCCGACGAGGTGGACCTCGAGAACAAGTTGATCGCGTTCGACAACTTCGAGCAGCTGATCGAGGGTATCGACAACGCCAACAATCTGGAGCCCCTGGGTCTGTGGACCCCTCTGGTGGAATTGCTCCAGCACGAGGAGGCGGAGATGAGACGTATGGCGGCCTGGTGTATTGGAACGGCCGTGCAGAACAACGAAAAGGCGCAGGATAAGGTATGCCTCTTATTGTCCCCGGTGAATTGCCGTTGTGGCTACGAGTATTGGAAATGAAATTAACTAGTTGGTTTAAAAGCTCGTCGTTCTCAACGCCCTCCCAAGGCTCGTGACCATCTCCACCACCGATTCCACCCCCAACGTCCGCAAGAAGGCAATCTACGCCATCTCCTCGGCGGTCCGCAACTACCAGCCCGCCATGGACGAAGTGACCAAGAGCCTGCCCGAGGGTTACTCCCGCGACAAGATTGACGCCGGCGATATGGATGCCGTGGATGCGCTCATGGATAAGCTGCGGGCGCACCCGGTTGAGTCTGCTTGAGCGACTTGACTAGTTGCCTATTTGATCGTAATTGTCGCGTGTGCCCTGGTACCTAGCTGCCACCTGGCTTACCTGGCCGAACGCCCCGGGCGATGCTTGCAATGGGGCTTTCCGGACTGCGCATTGCAGGCGCCTTAGATGACCTAGCGAGGTATCGTGCCGCCCTTTGGCACGGTGGGTGCATATTGCTGCAAAGGGCGTTTTGTATATGCCTAGCCACTGCCATGAAGTTGCATGTCGATCTGGGAATTAGACTGCCTGGCGACAAGCACTCGACGGGCCTATTCTCTGATGGGACCCTCACGAACCAGCTTCCATGTCCCGCACTTAGGGCAGGATCGCCCGCTTACATGGCTCTGCAAAAGTTCGTCATGAGGATTTACTGCTATGCTTGAAAAATATACCCACTTTGTTGATCGGCTAGTTTGAGATCTATTGTAGGCGAGAATCCAGTTCTGAATTAATATCACCTTGATCGAGGTCGGGGTATGAGTAGCGGAGGTGGGACACAGGCCTTGAGGCTGTCCATGTTCAATGTACACACAGCTCAGGAATAAACAGAGGACCCATACCGACCATCCTGTACAACCGTTTTCTCATACCGAAGTAAATGGGCCTAATGGACCTTTCCTTGCCTAACTCGCCTTACCACGAAGCACGCTTGATTACCTACTCAATTTTGAATAAACCCTTGGATTCTCGTTTTGAAAATATTTTGCTGCCTGTCCATGCGTGGGTTTCGTCTTCTTGGCAACGCGTATACATACATTGTTATGATGAAGGACGCGGCAGCCTTGGATGATACAGTAGGCAACAATCACCCCAACCTACGTACAGCACATTCTCGCTATGACATGTGTTTCCACGAAAATGCCTCGATTGTCCGCCCAGCTGTAACTGTAAGCCTCAAGCCGCAAGCACTGCTAGAAAAAACCATTCGAAAACAATATCGCATAGATAATCCACACGCAACATAACAGGCTAAACCAAGCCCAGACAAACAAAATAAGCCCACAGATGCAGAGTCGACCAACGGATAACAGCAACGCCGATAAACACACACATAAGAACATGGCTTCACTCCTCGACCCGCAAATCATAACCTCCATCAGCAGTAAAACGCTCCCAACCGCTCATCCCCAACCCACATGATACCCTCGTTCACCCCCTGATCCGACTCACAAAGCCAAATTATAAGTATAATCATCCTCAATGTTCTGCGAAATCCAAAGCACCACCGAACTACACCAATAAGATCAGCTCTAAACCCGTGATGAGGGGGGGACCCAGGGAAGGGGGAAAGGCACATACCTCATCATAACCAGCCCGTTAGCAATCACATTCGCAATCCCGAAATACAGGGTCGGAAACGGATACGACTTGATCAGATACTTGAGGACCATGACCGTCTGCAGCGAGGGTTCGTTAGCTCAGCAAGCTCGTATCCCAAGGCATCTCCCCGGTCTCAAAATCGAATAAGAGAACCGAGAGGATATACATACCACACTGCCCGCCAACCCACCAGCCAACAACGCAAACCCCAAGAACAGCACAAATCGCGCCTTCCACGCAACCCCACTCCCACTGTAACTGAAGCTATCGGCATGCAGCCGCGACTTCTCGATCGAATTGATCACCAGCATACCCAGCGCGGAGCAGATGCCGGGGATCCAGTCGACGAATTTCACGTGCACGGCGGACCCATTGCGAGCGCTGTGCGAGAAGGCCGCCGCGTCGATGAGGAAGAAGAAGCCTAGGGAGAACTTTTGATCTGGTCAGTAAAACAGAGTAATGAAAAGAGTTCATGTATAGAGGATAGAAGAGAGCAAGAAAGACAGGAGGAGAAAGTTCATGGTGAAAGGAAGCTTACAAGTGCGCCCGAGGTATAGACGCCTGCGTTGCGGACGGCAGCGTTGTTGAGCCATTCGGGTTTGGACCATCGGAATAGACGGTTGTTGGAAACATCCATTTTATTTGACTGACGTGAGACACTTGTAAGGGGTTTGCGGGATGTAATTGAAGGATTGTGGTCGTGGGGTGTGTTGTTGCTGGGTCAGTGTAATAGTGTATATCCGGGCTTGGTTATCGGCAGGTTGCGGTCATTCGCGCTAGCTTGTCGGCGATGATGCAGTTGCCCGGCCGGAGCTCGGAAGAATCATTGACCGATTTGTTCAACTGTAGTATACATTTGAAGTAAGAACATCGAGCCTCTCATTGATCCCCAGCACAGGCGCTGTACATACAATCAATTGATATTGATTTCGTCATTGTTCTCTGTAGGACTGCTTCTCAGAAAGCCAGGCCTGACGATCTCCCCCGCCGGCCCTCAACCAAGATGCCTATTTACATATCATAACTCATCACTCATCACCTGTACCAGCCAGGCTTAATTTTCCTCACAGAACAGTCTCAAAAACTCATCAATGTACGTCATTGCCTTCGCCTTCTCCAGTAGCGGTGGAAGGCACGTCATCCCAGCTTCACCTGCCGTTGCCGACCCCTTCAAATACTTCCGTAAAGCGAACGTCGACGCGCGATAGGTCGCATGGTACATGGCCTTGAACTCATCTTCATCGGCACCCGACCCAGCATCCCCCGTCATGCGCGCCTCCTTCTCCTCCGGTGTCATGTCCGGATGTCCCGCTCCGGACCCTGTCTGCGGTCTACTGGAACTTCCCGAGCGTGTCGCCGTCGTCCGGTTGAACCCATAGAGCCGCATGCACGTTAAGATCGTCCGCGTAATTGTATTTTTGTTCTCGGAGATGATCGTCTCCGCGTCTTTGGGGGTTGTCGGGTATTCGACTTTCCCACCGGGGGGTAACGAGGGTGACGGTTCACAGTCCCGTCGGGATGTCGTTGTCGTGGCGGGAGCGGGATCGAGGAACGGATTGGGTGTACCTTTTCTGGAATGGATGTCCCGTAATTGGCCTCGTCTGCTGCTTGGTCGCGTACTATCGAGCCCCTTGCCTGCAAGGTTCGCTCCGATGGAAAGGGAGCGCGCTCGCTGCGACGCAATGCGTCCGATCTGGGGGAGGGAGGGCTCTTCGGATTCGCGCTTGACCCGTAGCGCTTGTAGTTGCTGTTGAGGGGGGTGCGAGAGGGAATGGGCCATTAGTTGCGACACCGCCTCGCCGCCCTTCCGGCGCACTATCTTATGATGCTGTGTAACAGACTCGAAGAGAGTGGCGACCCGCTTGCGTTTGGGACTGGAGGGGTAGATATCCAGGAGGAAGTGGGCGAAATCGTCATCGTGTGTGGTGTTTTCGGTATTGGGAGGGGGGGACGCGGATTGTGCTCTGGCGATTAGGGATGCGGATAGAGGAGTAGCGTAGATTCTCAGCTCTTGTCTAGTGACGGGAAGAACGTGATCAGCCAATTCTGATGATGTTGATCCAGGCGGGGTGGGGGGCCTTTCGAACACGGTGGTTGTAGAGAGGATGCCGTGGATCAGAAGGTCGGTGGTGCTGGTACTGGAGATCTTGTATGCCGTGCCGTTGTCCACACGTACGAGCAGACCAACAGGGCACTGAAATGTTTGTAGCCGGTCAAGCTCGTCTTCTTCCAACCAAATCGTACCCGTCAACTTTTCCTTGAGCCATGCCGCAGATTCCGGGTTCCCCGCATGTAGTTCGAGGTTCGGACCAGATCGCGCGTAGAGCGGAATGAGCGCCGGGTTCACGAAGCAGCGCAAGCTAAGGATTGTCTCTTTCGATAAATCGGATTGCCAGTTAGATGATCTATCGACCAATTGTAGGCCTGGACTCGGAATTCAGCAGAGGCACGCAAACTGTTCTGTCGCAGGTGGTGTACCTTGAAGTTGTGTTCCGCCATCCAGAGAGATTGCGCCAGTCCAGACGTCCATTTTCCGTACCTAGGGCTGGACGAATAGCTCACATGTCTCGAATTCGCAAGATATCAAAATTCTTAGCAAATTGAGGGTCGCAGGCGTTCGAAGGTCCTCGCCAGTCGACGCCTGGCGGGTATTTTTACATGACGCGCCGCCGGGGCGCGATCCCACGTGATCCTAGTGTCACTACTATAAGGGCGGAACGCATCGCCGCATGGATGGATGGTGCAGGCAATCAGGGTATTTAGTTACATCAGGTCAGTCGATTATTTAAGAGAGCCTGTGCTGCCAATACTCTATATAATTGCATAGTGGCTATAATACATCAACCGTATCGCCAGACATGACAAAAACAAAATTGAAAGCAAACCCCATAAGCACGCAAAGTCACATCTGTACTCCTACCAAACGGTAAATCAAATCGATGGCTCGTAAAGAATGAGATATTCATTGGTAAACACATGGAGGGAATAGGTTCATGCTAGGCCGATCGAAGCATTCTGCTAGGTTGGTATCCAACGCGAAGCCTGCCTTGCTGGAAAGAGCGACTCTCGGCATTCAGAAGTCCTCCTGTTCCTTGAAGAACATGGAGAAACTAATGATGGTGCCATAGATGAGGAGACCTCCGATGATTGACATAACCATGGCCGGAATCTCAATCGCACCGCAATGTGCAAGAACGGCCGGAAGGGCTGCATGTAACGAATCAGGTTAGCTTGGCCTAGTACTTGCAGAAGACGGAAACAGAACAGGCACAGATAACTCGGGACATCCTTCAATGGATACCAGGAAAAGCGCTCGTAACCCACGCTCTGAAATCAGGAAGTGCCAACTCACCAATACCCATCAGCACCAAAAATCCAGTCATAAAGCGGCCAAAATCGGCAGCAGCATTGCCGGAGCTGTCCATAAAGTCATCGGGGTTGGCGCATCGTGAGCAGATCCAGTTGGGCAGGGGAGCAACAACGTAAGTCGCAACAACTATCAATGGTAGGAAGTTGTGCCAGAGAGCCGAGGAAAGGATCACAAGAAGAAAACCAATGGCAAGGATCTGTGTAGATAAGAAACATTAGCGGATATAAGTAGCCTAGGGTAGTCTGTCGAAGCGCGCATACAAAGGAGAGTGCGATGATTGTTTTGAGTCCGGCGGTCATGATTGCGGAGAAGCTTCAAGTCGGCGTGGGGGGAGAGGGGGATAATGGAACAAATTGGTGGAGGAGGTTAGAGGGCTCAGAAAAGAGCTGACAAGCAATATCAAGCACGACCCAGGAGTAGAAGAGGCGAGTCACGGCCCGACTGCATGGGTAACGAAGAGTGGAAGGAGAAGTGTCGGAATGGAGGGGATTTGAGAGTGATACAAGCTTAGCTGGACTAGGCGGAGAGAGAGAAAGAGAGTGTGACGTCCGGCGCTGTTCGCTGTTGCGGCTGCCGACGGGGCAATTCAGCTGATGGCCTCAGGCAGCAACAAGCTAATAGCAGCAACAAGTAACCGCCGCAACCTTACCTATGGCGAAGCAAGCAGCAACAGCAGCAGCAGTAGCAGCAGTACTCCGTAATTAGTAGTAGTGACTTTAGCGGCGGGAAGCTCTCTCGCTCTCTGGCCGTCACCGCGTCAGTTGCTCTCTGCCTGTCCGACCTCCTCTCCACTATCACTCACTGCTCGGCCATTACTCTATTTATCTCTCTGATCCTTCGCTCTTCCGGTTTTCTTTCTCAGCAACTTTTTTTCTCTTGCCTTGATTGGACTCAAATCCACTTTCTCTAATTCTCATCTGGACCTTCTTCCACCCCCAGCTCCCGCCATGTTCAGAAACAACTACGACAACGATGCCGTCACCTTGTATGCCTTCTCTAAGCTTCTCTCCCGTGATCGAAGCCAATCCATGTTGGGCGCTTGCTAATCGAGGACTATGCGCACAGCTCCCCGCAAGGCCGGATATTCCAAGTTGAATACGCACAGGAAGCCGTGAAGCAAGGATCCGTCGTAGTGGGACTGGTCAACAAGACACATGCCGTGCTCGTCGGCTTGAAGGTAAGCTCTTTCAATTTCCAGACCAGTTGCTTCCAACCCCCAAGACCAAGGCGCTCTCCCATATCCGACTAACTCTCGCTATCTCTTCTCCAGCGTAATGCCGAAGAACTCTCATCATACCAGAAGAAGATCATCGAAATCGACTCCCACATGGGAATTGCCATCGCCGGTCTCGCCTCGGACGCCCGGGTGCTATCCAACTTCATGAAACAGCAGTCGCTGGGCTCCCGGATGACCTACGGCCGCCCCCTGCCCGTCGACCGTATCGTCAGTCAGATCGGTGACCGCGCTCAAACGAACACCCAACATTACGGCAAGCGGCCGTACGGTGTCGGCCTGCTGGTGGCTGGCGTCGACGACGCCGGTCCCCACCTGTTCGAGTTCCAGCCCTCCGGCATGACCCAGGAAATGGTGGCGTGTGCCATCGGCGCCCGCTCCCAGATGGCCCGCACCTACCTCGAGCGGAACCTGGAGAAGATCGCCGGGTCCACGCGCGACGAGCTCATCACCCACGGTCTGCAGGCCCTCAAGGAGACCCTGTCTCAGGATAAGGAGCTGACGGTCGATAACACCTCCGTCGGTGTGGTGGGTCTGGCCGCGGAGGGCGCCAGCGGCAAGATCGAGAGCTTCAAGCTGTACGAGGGTCAGCTGCTCGTACCGCTGCTGGACGCTCTGGAGCGGTCGGAAGCAGGCGAGGAGACGAAAGAGGCTGAGACGATGGAAGTGGACTCATAGAGCGGTGTAGGCTCCGGGCTGCGCCGCATCTGGCTCTGAATCCTCTAGATGAATTTACCTTCTGATAGTTATAGTCACGAAACGGGATAATGTTATGTTACCCTACGTTGCACCGGGCCCTGTTTGTGTGATAAGAAGGAAGAAGCTGTAAGCTTGCCTCTTTGGAGAGCAAGAGCTCCTCGGAGCTGCGTTCTAGCGGATCACAAGACTCTGGATCGTGTACAAATTGATCCTGTCAGTGCTAGACCAGATGCCATTTGCACCTATGCCTGCACCAGATATACCCTTTCAAGCAGAATGTAGTGTACCTGGCAACCGAATTCTCAAGGACTCTGTACCTCAAGTACACCCCAACTGTGAGAACGCGAAAGCAAAGCATGGCCCTGCATGAATCCACAAAATAATGGATGGTAGATATTTGGCATTTTCGACATGTACAGCAGAGCATCCCGACCAAGCCGGGCAAGTAAACAGGGTATCGTATTTCTCTCAAACCCCCCACCTCCGAAAATTCCAACTCAGCTCCCCACCTTCCCCTTCTTTTTCCTTATTTTACCTTCCTCCAATCCCGCCGACGGCGTAGCAGCGCCCTTTTCCGAGCCCATCCCCGGTGTATCCACCCTCACCTGCGGCGTGGCTACTCTCCCAGCCGCGCTGCTACCTGCAACAACCCCCGCATTCGGCCCCTGTTTGCTCGTAGCCGCCGCTGTATCCCCCGCCTTGGACATGATGAACGACCCCGGCTCGCCGACCAGCGGGTTCTCATCCATGAACTCATCCCCATATCGCGTCAATAGACTGAAGGACTCCGCCAGAGTCCGCGTATCCTGGTACACCGAGCCGGTCTGAGCCGCTTGCGATCCGACGAGCGGCGTCTTCGTGGACGCGTCGGGCATCGGTGTGCTCTCCTTGCTCTGCTGTGCTTGGGCGCCGGCTAGTTGGCCAGCCGTGTCAACCTGCTTAGGCGCCGGGGGGAGATAGGTATGTCCGTGCGATGGTGTGAAGGTCGGTAATGCGGATGCCGTTTTCAAGAGGCTAGTTAGGGAGGTCACGGCGGAGAGCTGTAGTGTCAAGGTAAAAGTAAGCGATGAGCGAGTCGTTCGGGAGAGAAGATCGCGCTCGCGAAGAATGGAGACTAAGAAGAAAAGAGCTGAAAGAAATGGAACATACAATCCGATTGCCAATGACGCTTGCAACCGACGGTGCCATGTAAATGCAATCGCCTACTACAAAGTAGGTCGACAAAACTTCCACCTCGTCTGGTTGCCCGGCTCGCTTGCGCCGCGTCTGCTTCCGGATCACCCAGATGTTGGAAGGCTCGTGTGCGAATCGACCGTCCGGCTGCGCGGCGGCCTGAAGCGGATCGTAGGAGACGATGAATTCGAGGCCCTGCATTGTGGCTAGCCGGCCTTCGAAGGCTTCGCGAGTCTCGACAAATTGCCGGAACGCTTCGTTGTAGTTGGCTTGGATGGCGAGGGAGGCATTGTTAGACGTGGGATCAAAGAAAGGAGATTCGGCAAAATAGAAGAGGACTAGCCATTGGGTTGTCAATTAGCATGAGGAAGGCAGGCATCCATTTGCTATCTGCCAAGTAGAAGTTCATACTATTGTTTGAATGGAGATAACCTCCCATCATCTGAACGTGAGGCGGGGATCGCCAAAGAATCTCCTCCAAGGAGGATTCTGGTGCGCTTGCCATGATACACGTGAAGTTGAAGTGTTTTGATGGTTCCGGAAGTCTTGTATAGTCTAGGAAGGAGAATCAATTCGATACTATCAGCATAAGTATACTGGGAGTAGGTGAGGATGGAGAGATCATTCAAGGCGACTCTCCGCGGAGGTGACAATGTTTGGCGGGTTTGCATCCGATGCTGGAAAGATCAGCCAGTCGCCGGAACAGGCTAACTACAGAAATGAGGCAGATGTAAATGGAAAAAAGTCAACGAATTGCATTGTATCCGAATCGCGATATGCTAGTAGGGTATCTTGTTGAAAAGAATAAGTTGGAAAAGATTCGCCAAAGCTTCAAATCTCGTCTGCCCGAAACGCATGTACTGTACAAACTCAAAACACCGCACCAAAGCATGCTCTAGATGTTGAATGCGATTTCCTGCAACGTCCCGCTTGCGACCAAGCAGGCCAGAGAGAGTATAGGTTGACTTGAATAGAAAAAGGGAAGCGCGTCGTATGCTGTAGAAAACACTGGCGAAGAGTCCTAGGCGGCCTTAACAGGTCCATCGTCGAGCGGCACGAATGCACCAAGGACGGTTCTTAGTTTGGTTGACATCTCTTCCCATTCGCCCTCAGCGGTGCTAAGTATGGTCACCGCACCGCCTGCGCCGATGCGCCAAACCTGGTTGGGATCATCGTCTTCAGCACAATTGAAAGCGGTGCGAATCAAGACCGAAAAGCTCCCTCCTCCGCCAAGGTCGAGGAAGCCCATTGCACCGGAGTAAATGCCTCGTTTTCGGTTCTCAATTGAGGAAAGGTGTAGGCACGATCGTTCCTTAGGCGCACCGGTCATAGAGCCAGGTGGAAGGCATCGTTGCAGCGCCGTTAGACCATACGCTGACATCCCAGATGAATGCAATTGTGGCATATCTTGAACCGCGAACCCGGGCCGATTGGGGTCAACCCGCCCTATGACGTGCGTAATCATCTGGTAAACGCGACCATGATCCTCGACTTCGAGAAGTTTCTCTACATGCACAGCACCCGAGCCACAAATGCCATAGAGGTCGTGTCGGATAAGATCGGCAATCATGAGATTTTCCGCCATCTCTTTGGTACTCCCCAGTATATCGCGTGCCTTTTCAAGGGTCATGTCCTTTGTTTTCCTCACAGTGCCTTTCATCGGCTTCATTTCAAGCATAGAGTGACGATCCCAGTTAAGGAAGCATTCGGGACTGCTGCTGACAATCTTCAGTTCTCCCAATTTGGCGTAGGCACTAAAGGCGGCCGGGTTGTGTTTTTGAAGGCGGCGGTATAGTTTCCAAGGAAATTCCTTGCGTCCACTGTCGCTGTCTGCTATGGGCAAGGTGATGGTGGTCTCGCAGGTAAGGCATAGCTCGTACGATTCACCAGCTAGCAGTTGTTCACGACAGGCGTCGAATTGGTTTTCGTACACTTGCCGATCCGGAAATTGCACCACACCCCGCTCAAGGATGTTATTCAATGATTGTGTATCTGCAGCCACATGTTCGATCTCACCGGATGTATCAGTAGTGGCAAGCCTCCGAAGAGACAGCAAAGCATCATCTAGCCATCCGTTAGGCAAGTCGTCTGTCTCACGAGTCGACTGAATAGTGATGCGCCCAGTGAGATGGTCGAGCACGACGCTCCTTTCAGTCCATAAGAAGCTGGCATCCGCTGGGTCAGTCAAAGAAGCACCGGCTCTAGAGGTGTGGTTCCCTTGAAAGTCTTGAGCATGACTTTCTGGACGAGCAATGGAAGCCAGCCCCATCTCATAAGAGAAGTATCCCAAAAGGCCGGCACAGAAAGGAACGGTATCATTGCCATGAACAACTTTCTTGGTTTCCATGAGTAGCCGGAGTGTGTTCCAGAATTGAAAAACTGGCAAGCAACTCCTGATCACAGTCTGTTTGTCGCCAAGTGGGTCTCTGATGCTACCAGCAGGGAGCCTTATCAAAAGTACACGCTCTTCCTGTGCTGAGTACTCTAACCTCCAAGTGCCAGGGCTAGGTACAGAGATGACGCTGTATCGGCCGTTGGATTTGAACAGGACAGTTGATGATCCTGGGCTGTTGAAAGCTTCGCATATCGTCTCAGCCTCTAATGTCTGGGACGTGAAATCTCGGAAGGAGGAGCGGCTCGACGTCGATGCGCTCCACTCTAACATGGTGTGAATGATGTCCGGGATGGGAGACGGGTCACTAGATGACCTCGGAGAAGCAGTGGAAACGCTTCTGTAGCTGCCTCGTCCGTTCAGTTTGTTGTAATGCAGAGCCATATCCCACCATTTCTTGAGCAGGTGGCTGCATGCTCTTCTATCTGACTTGCAGGATTCAGGATGAAATTGAACCGCCCAGAATGGCTTCTTGTTGTGACGCACAGCCATGGGAATCAATGGTTGGTGGGCTATGTTCTCTTGCTCAACGGACAACCAGGCCAGAAGATCGAGATCCTGCGCAACGAAGCCGTTGGTTGGCATGTGGCTAGAGATCTCTGCAGTCATTGGCTGCATTTCGGCGTAGAGCGAGTGGTAAAGCGTAACCTCCAAACCTTGAACGCCCCGGAAAATGTCCTCCTGTGTTGTCTGTACACGACGAACTTGTCCATGAATAGGATATGGAAGCCGACGAATTGAAGCACCTTGGTGCAAACATAGACTCTGGAAGCCAAGACATATGCCAAAAATGGGCAGAAGGTCTCTGTCATTCAGATTCCAGACATCTCTCATGATCCCCACGTCTTGAGATATATGCGGATCGCCCGGACCAGGTCCGAGAACAATGGCCTCGAAATGCTGCACATAGTCAGCCATGTCGCCATTCGGCCACGGTGAATCAATCCTCAAGACAGTAACTTTAGCCCCGAGAACTTCTTCCAGCATGGCAACGACATTATAAGAAAATGAATCATAAGCATCAATGTATAAAATGTTCTTAGGTGAGAGCCCATCAGCAAATTCGCGAGCTGTAGTCGGCTGTCTTGGGTCTGCTGACTCCCAAAATCCCAAGGAGGGAGCCATATCGACGGACAGTACTCAAAGAGTCTGTCGATAGACTCTCTAATGTCCTGAAACTGAGTAAAAGAATATACTAGAGCAGCATAGGTATTTTATAAAGTAAGGAGGGGATTGGAAGGGATCATCGACAGGGAAGAGGAGGGACTGACTGACTATCGGAGATAAAGAACGAAGATCAGGAAAAGATGCAGTGAGAGAGTCCCGCCACACTCCAAATGTGGCAAGGCTAAAACAATTAGTTTCCAGTCTTGCCGGTCGGTTCCTGGAATACGGGGAAAACTTAAAAAGAAAAAGAAGGTGCACCTTCTTCGGCCCGAATTCATCGCCACATGCTACTTCTACAACTACGACAACAATACTAAGTAACAATTACAACAATGACAACAATTCCTCGACAACCAATGGTCTATTCTGGAATTACTACAACTCTAACACCTTGAAGATTCTACTGAACACCCGCATTATCTGTGATTGGGCACTAGTATTCAGAACCAAACCAACTTCCATGCTGCTAGATTGGGTATGCAGCAAGTGTCTACCTATCTGCCCAATTAACCAAAGAGGCGGCTGATGAGACGAGAGGGGGTTCTATGATTATCATCCGCTTGAGGTTTCAGCTTCCCTGACCTGGGGTCTTGGGGTCACAAGCTTGGTTGCCACCTTGGGAAAGTACTGGGCGACGAATCCCTCACTGAGAAAACATTATTAGCCAAACGATCTTGTTCTGGAGCCAAGCCGGGTATGAAAAGAACTTACGTGTAGAAGCTATGTGCCGAGCTGTGGTCTTCCACGAGATTATGCGCCAGTTCATGACACAGAATCACCCACCAATAGACCAGTGCTTCGGATCGTGCGCCGTCAGGGTTTTGGAGTAGTTGCTTCTCGTGCAGCTGCTGGAAGAAGAAATAGTTGCAAAATATGCTACCCGCCCGGTTGAAAGCAATGGTCTTTCCAGGGTCGTAGAAAACACTGATAATATCGAATCGTAGTGAGAAGATATCGGCACAGTCGATCAACAGTGATGCGAAGACGTTGATTCCAAGGCTGTTCTTCGCCAGGAAGGTGGAGCGATCTGGAAGGGTCTTGACAAACAGCACATGAATGCCGCAAGCTAGAGTCGCCACAAATTCCAGATCATGGCTCGGTTTCTCATCGCAGTAAGACTTGGTTTCGGTGACCTGGTTGGTCTGTGGTCGGGTATAGACACCGGACGAGCCATGAGGTCGACAAGCTTTAACGGCCGAAAGTAGTTCAGACTGAAGACGATGAGGAGAGTTGACGGCAACAGGTGCTTCCGGACGAGACTTTTGCTGTGGATCCTGAGCAGAATAAGGCGGAGGAGGTGTGGCATGTTCAGCGGGGGCGGTATTGGAAGATTCCCCATTGAGTGCATTCCAAGGTGACCGGTTACCCTCAAGCCCAAAGCGCTTGGTCAAATTGGCTAAAAATCCGCGCGGCTTCTGGTCTTGGACCTGATCTAAGCTCTCGGGTTGCATATCCCGGGTGGAATTTCTATTCGAGGGAGAATCTGGGAAGTCTCCTGGAATGAGTTGCCGGTTATCCCCATTAGGGTGCGATTGTGTCTGACTCTGACTCCGCACATGAGCCTGTTCTTGAGCCCATGCGGATTCTCTCTCCTGCAAGCGCTGCCGTTCCTCCTCCATCTGCTTCTGTCGCCTATCTTCTGCCATCCTAGCTTCTTGTGCCTTCTGCTTGAGAATACGTTCCACATTGTATCCGCGAGCTTTCAACTCCAGAAGGTCGGTCTTCAGTAGCATTTCCAGAGTCAGGGTCGAATGAAGCTTCGGTCTAGCAAGAATGAGATGCACCAGGGCCTGACTGATTTCATACAAGTCGTATTTCCCCGGACAAATCCACAGCATCCAGTTTCGCGAGGGCTGTTGGGTGATGATTGCACTTCGCTTTTGTGTATGAGATATGCGCCGTCCCTTGAGAGATCGCGTGAGAGAAATGGACTGTACCACTTGGACATGAAGATGTTTCTCGAGCCAGCGCACATCATGTCGTATGGAGTCTGTGGACTGATCATGCAGAAAGAGCCTCACGCGTTCGTTAATCAGCTTTTGTAGCTTGGCTGCTGGACGTTGATCAGCTGCCACCGCGCCCCAGTGAGCACGCTCTTCGACGAGCCCGCTTAGTGGCAGTGCTCCCAAAGACAGGTAGAAGTTCTCCAGAAGCTCTTCTTGTGGAGCGGCCAAAACGTGTTCCTTGAACAAATTAAAACTCTGGAAGTCATCCACAACCACAGCATCCTTGGCGACAGTCAAAGTCCACTCTTTGATGCTTTGCTCATCGTCTTCGTCATCTGAGTTGCCCGCAACATTCTTGCTAGCCTTTTCCTGAGGAAAGGAAGTTATGTCTCTGCTAGATAGGAGAAAAGCAGATCTCTTCATCTCCTGGAACAATTCACGATCCTTCTTGAGCACTGATAGATGCTCGGCAAGTGTCCTAAGCAACTTTAGATACCTTTCTGCGCTCTGAAATGTGGCTGATACTCTTGCAGGTTCTTTAATCAACATGTGCGCAAGCTCTGTCTTCGTTGGCTCACGCTTAGAGCCCACTGCCATGAGGAACAGGTTAGCGTCCTGGCCGAAATCAACGAAATCAAATATGTCCTTGTAGTCCTCGCCTTCCCCTAGGTAGCAAAGCCTGGGCGCCACGCGTCGCACAGAAGCAATTTTGTCTGTTGTATCATGGGTGGTCGAGACGGGTACAATTTGAGCACTACCAACCCGCTCAATATCCCGAGATTTAAGTTCCGACACCCTTCCGGCCAGGTACTTGAAAACCACTCTCGCGTCTCGTTTCGTCGATGGCGGCAGGCGTATGAGACACTCCAAACAGTCGCTCATAGCAGGGTGTTCCTTGACTCCGAACTTCAAAGCGTGAGGATGGAGGTCCTTCCGGAGGATATTGAAGCCAAACAGGGTAGCACCTTCGTCAGTAAAGCATTGGCCCGGAGTACATAGAGTGTCCGATCCTTCAACAGGAAGAAATGGAACCTTGATCGCTCCACAGTCAAATGTAGCATACCCAGTGGTATGGTATTCGGCGATATAATATGACATGGCCCTTGTGTGCAAAGCCCAGTTCTTCTCTGCGGCTGCTCTCGCCATGATATCAACCAAGTCTGCAGCTGATGGGAAAGCCCTCAATCCAAGCATAGATAGAAATTTGCCCTCATTGCTGTTGGGTTGAAAATTGCCTGGCCACTCGATGATAGGCATCTCAAGGGCCCTAAGTGAATCCTTGGGTTCAAATAGTTCAAAGATCTTGTAGCGCTTTGGCACTGTGCTTTCGGAGTCTTTAGCAGCAAGACTATCCCGGTTCTCAGCAGGACACAAGCTTGTATTTTTGAGCTTCTTGATATCATTCGCTGGAATATCTGCTTGAACAGAGGCAAGGTATCGTATCAAGTCAACATGGCTCCATTTTCGCTGGTTGGTGTTCGCCGCATCCGACGACTCGGATGGGTTCAACAGACGTTCAAAAATGACCCCGAGTTCGACAGTTTTACGAACCCCCAACGACGCCAGAAACTTCTCCTTAACGCCGTTAAGACCATGAATAATAGGAAGGTCATTGAACAGTCGGACAGAAGAGAAATAAGTTTCGGGGGGAGTCTTCATTCCTAATTTGGTTGGGATAATGGTTTTCGACTGCAGCACGTTGCTCACTGTTTGCTTCGATGTGGGACTAAAGTACTCCCACTGTTTCGACAAAACAGGAAGAACCTGCGCAGAGAAGGATGGGTTCTGGGTAATATCATGCTCTGTTAAGAGAATACTCCGATTTCCCGCGTTGTTGACGAGCCAGAGGACCCAGGTGACTACTTGCAGCTCTGTCCATCCCAGTGCTTCCAGCTCTCTGTTCCCAAGAGACTTCGTGAATTTGAAAGGTGCCACAGAAGGTGGCAATGGCAAGCTCGCTGGTATCTTCTGAGGATTCAAAAAGCTTTCAATCCCCGCAAAGACAATCAACTTAGCTTGTGATTCAGCGTTGTCTTCGTCGCTTGCTACTGCGACACTGAGGATACTTTGAACGGAGTAAGCATCGAGCTGACCTGCAGCAGCCTTTCGACTAAGCCACATAAGGAACTCATTGACCTGATTAGAACGTAGTGTGGTGAGCTCCAACTCTTTCTTGATATCGGACACAGTGATCTCAGTCACTAGCCCGAAGTCCGTCAGTTTCTTGACGAACTCCTTAGCACCTGATACGAACGCGTCCGGCAAAACTGGAATCGAATCCATAAAGCTAAGGTCTCTGGGAGCGATGCGCGCCTGGTGGCTCTGGATGACACCGCATGTCGAAAGGATCTCGATCGACGAGCTTTTGTTGCACGTCCAGAACGCATCCTCAATTGTCTGCCCTAGCACCGAAGATGGAGTCGACTCGCGAAACACGAATTGATTGGCTGTATGAATAGCCTCGGGAAGAACATCAATGATATCATCTTTGCGGACCTTAGCTGAGTTGAAATTGTTCTTCCCAGGATGTATCCTGGATCTGATTGATGCCATTTCCGCAGTCCAGGCAATGCGACAGACAATGCCGGCCGCCCTCAGCATCTCAAGGTTCCACTTGCTGATATAGCGAGTATTGAGATCTATACTCTCCCGCTCGACCGTGGGAATCACGGAAGGTGCAGATATATGGGCATTGAGGCCTGTTGTTTGATGTGTGGGGAAACCTATGAAGATCCTTCCAGCTTTGGAAGGAAGTATGGAGGCAAGGATTTCAGAATTTAGGCCGGAAGCCCTGGAGGCTAAAGTGGTATCGTACGAGGGTGTTAAAATAGCGATTGTAGACCTTTTCGGTGGCGGCTTCCGTGTAGCTCTTTCAAGTTCGCTGCTCAGAGATTGACTAACAGACGCCTGAATGCTAGCAGTATTGATATGAAGGAAGACAGAAGCCTTCAAAGTCTGGATCATTTCGCCGATGTCACTTGTGGCATCATTGTTTTCGGATTTCGCCGGCTTTTCTGAGCCTTTCTGGCCAGTGAGTCGTGAAAAGAAGGTGCGCAACGAGCCCGTCGTGTCACGCAGGCCCTCGCTAAAGATGCTTGCATTTGGTTTCCATTCAACGACTCGCATCCACTCAGCATCCACCTGAGCGACCTCCTGAGTAACTGATTGAATTTTCATCAGCCCCTGAGGTGTCTTCGTATCGATATCTCGTGGAATGACCAAATCGACGCTTGGGGCTGTCTTCTTTGAGAGTTGCAGCAACCTCCAGTCATCTAGCCATAGTTCTATACCTTCAAGGCTGACAAAGGTAAGACTGCTAGATAGAAACTGGCATAACTGCATCAATGAAGGGACAGGCGTAGTGTCGTTGCGATAGTCCAGAACAAACGTGGTCTCGGGATTCGCGTCTTCGTTCAGCTGCAATCGGCGGGTGAAGAGTGCATTTCCTTTCCAATAGAAAGCCATTGCTTCTTTACCCGAAGATACAAATGGTTCTTCGCAATCATCGAAGACACTGTAGAAACCGACACCAAATGCTCCAATTTTGGTTTCATCGGGATTTCCATCGGCGATGCGCTTCAGTCTCGACCAATCCTTTTCACTAAAAGGCAGACCATTGTTCGAAATCAGGAGGCGTTTGAGGGTATGATGGGAGAGGCTATGCTTGATCAAGGTGTTTTCATCGGCGGCTGGAGGCAGGGGTACCGTCGTTGAAGGTATTGTCTCGAATTTAATGGTCACTTTCTTAGCGTTCGCATCCGCGGCATTTTGTATCATTTCACGCAAAACAGTCCTTTTGGTACGGCGTCAGCGACGATCATTCAAGACCAAACACCAAAGACCTTACCATTTGCCAGAGTATCGTGCAAGCACTTTCGAAATCAGACCCCGTGTGTCCACTGTGACCGCCTCTTCATCATTCCCGGACCCCAGAGTGCGCGCCCTGAGCGCATTGAAATCGATATTCTGCGCCATCCTCATAAAAAGGAAGACAGTCACTGTTAGTAGGACGGGGTGATTGAAATATAATGGGGTATCTCCTTGCAACAAAAAGGAAAAAGGCACAATAGTTTCGACGAAGGACAATTTATTGGGTGACTCGATAGTCGGTATCGACACGGCTGAAACCTAGGCAAGAAGACAACAACACAAAAGGTCTAAGACTTCATTCCATAGCAACGCAGGCGCCAGCGAGTGGATGTGTGTATGAAACAAAGAAGGAAAGCTATAAACAGCACAGCACAAACATAGGGGCAAATTGTCGAGAGAGCAAGGGTCCCTGGCTGACTGGAGCCGAGTCCGATGGCGACTCAGTGACGGCGGCGGACGGAGACACCGCGCGGAGTCAACCAAACCTTTGAAAGCAAGCAAGCAGACGTTTATCAGCCGGTTGGTTCTTCTTATCGTCGGGGACAACTGATAAGTCTCTCACCGCATGAGGCAGAAAATTATGTCAGCAAGGGGGAGGGGGACCTTTTTACGGCGGGCGGTAAACACTCTCGGCGCCAGCATCATCAATTCCGGGGTTGTTGTTCATCTGTCGGTCATGCTTCGATACTTGTTTCTTTTGGTCGAGAGTGACCCAAACGTCAATTACGGAGTGTCAACCAGCGGTGCCTGACCCCATAATCAACTGTTTCAGGCTCCGCTTCGATCACCACATATCACCTTGACATTCCGCCGTGCCTCGCGCTTCGTATGACTTCCGGAAGCTTGCCCGCCCGCCCGCTTAGTTGGAAGCAGTCTTGAGTATAACTCGACTGTATCCAAATGACAATATGGGGGTCGATCCTCTTTCCCCCATTGCACCCGTGCGCTTGAGAGCTCTCTTGCTGCCCATTGGCAAGATCAGGCGTTCCAGGTTCTTGAGCTTTGCTGCAAGACTTCAAGCCGAGAATGTTGTCCGCTTGGGGGACATTAGTCCTGATGCGCGTCCAAATCGAAGTAGGTCTACAACGAGATGTCTATAGCGCCACAAAAGAACCTACTTCCCTTCCGGCAGCGTAATGACAGTATCTGACTGGTTTTCTTCCCCAGACATGTTCTCCCCGCTGGCGTTTCCTACCGGCATGATTCTATATGATCTCACCTATTCCGTGCCGCCGACATCCCACTTGGAACTGTTTCCTTTCGAGATATTCCGTGAGCCTTTGGTCATTATCGCGATTGCCGATGGATCGGAATTGGGTGAAACTACGAAGAAAGGAGATACTACCTCAGCGGCTGAGCAGGTCCCGACTCCTGGCGAGCTGGGACAGCTCCGGCAGGAATTGGAAACACTCAAGCAGACGAATCCGAGGGCCTTGGTCCACCAGCTCCTGGTGTTCGATTATGATGGGGTGGATAAATTGTTCAGTGGCCCGGATAATGTTTCATGGGTGCCGCGGCCTCAAGCATCCAAGGCCACTACAATGAAGACGGTATTGTGCGACATAACATCCTTGCTTCTATCCGAGCTGGATGACTTCGCAAAGACCCTCCAGAGTATACCCACTATCCATTCCCCAAGAGCATCCTCTTGGGGGCCACATCGAGGGCCTGACTTGCGTCCACGGCCAACAGATCGCTTGTTCCACCGGATGACGATGCCTGCACAACTACCATCCAATCCCAACGGTGCACCAGAGTCTCCTGGGAGCTCCAATCAGGGCTCGCCTGCGCCTGGCGAGCATGAGACGCCTACTACGTTCGACGAGATAACTAGGTCGATTCAACTAGCTAACCGGTCCAATTCAATGAGCAAACCACATTCGCTTCCAACATCGAAAGAGCACAGTCGTGATCGCATGTCGGTAAGCGGCATGAGCGCAACCGATCGAACAAAGAACCGAATCAAAGGGCGTACGGGAGTGGTTGTTGGAACATTGTTTCTTCAGGCAGGCAGATGGCCGGATGCCCTTAAAGAACTTGTCGAGGCTGCATCTAATGCGAGAGCCAGTAGTGACTATGTGTGGCATGCTAAAGCGCTAGAATCTATTCTTCTCTGCCTACTGATGCTCGCCTGGGCGGGGATGGATTTCCAGGTATGTAGGATGGACTTTTTCGCTGATTTTTGTTACTTACCCCAGAAAGATACCGCCTGTATGCTACCCCGTCTCCGACAAGTCCTCGAAGCTATCATACAATACTACCTTCGATTCCACTTCATCCTCTGCAGGAAATCGAATAATTTCTCTCCAGAACCTATCCAACCTGCTCCCGGACCTTTCGAACAATATACTGAATCTCTACAACCGCGCCGCGAATATCACTGATGAACCATTGCCGCAACTCATCTATTCTGAGACTGTCGTCCGTCTGGCAAGGTTATTGGCTGCCGCACGAATTCGCGACGGTGCCCTGGATGATGTGGCACTGAAGAATATTGTCACAAATGAGCCTCTCGTGCCTTTACTTCGTCCGGAGCGACCTCGTGGACTGAATATTCTTCGAAAATCCGAGATTGCAAATTTTCTTTTCCGCGCTCTGCCCCTGTCCCCTGGTTCAGATTTGCCTCCCACGGATGCTATACCTATCACAGTCGGTGTGATATCCGTCTTGAACATCCTCGACCTACCACGGAAAAAGGCGTTCCTGCTACGAGAACTCCTTTCACTTATGGTTCCCACCCTTGTACAAGCCCGCAAGATCGGCGCCGCAGAAGTGGGAGTTCATCCTGCTGCTGGTCTGGCGTCTTTGACCGACACGGCGTTCGACATCAATGCTCTTGACCTTGGGCCTGGTAACATGGAAGAAAGTATGCGGTCGCTCCTAGCTGTCATAGGTGATACATATGGCGTCCAGCCACTGTCCTATTTCGAATGGGAAAAAAGGCGATCTTCCACTATCAGTGCAACAGATGCCTTGCCTGACTATGATTCTGTGGCCGCTGTTGTTGAACGATCTTTTCGTCATGCTAGTCTGGATCGGTATGGAGATCTCAAACTGAAGATAGATGTCCTTAAGGCTGCGATTAGTTCATGTGAGGCACTTCCAGACTTTCACGGCGTGCTTCGTTTCACAGTTGAGCTTCTTCAGACCATCCGAGGGGACTTGATGCTCGCAGAAACCCGATTCAACCCGCCTTGCCTGTCTCGAGATGAGCAGATTCGGCTACTGAACAATATCAAACGAACTGTTGGCGCGGCCAACAAATTAGGCGCATCCGAGCTGGAAGCAGAATATTGGGATGACTTCTTAATCCGCGGTGTTGAGCTTCTACCCCTGCCAGACCCCAGACGACCTGTTCGTCACTCTAAGACAGATCTTGATGCGGTGGCAGCGGACCGCGAAGAATCGGCCAAGGATCCGTTTCTCTACAACCCCTTTGCCAAGGCAAATATCAAGGCTTCCGAGATGTTGATGGTTGCCGGTGAATATGCGGCTTTCCAAGTCTCGCTCCAGAACCCTTACGATTTCGAGCTAGAAATCGAAAGACTCAGCCTCGATAGTGTTGGTGTGCCTTTAGATGCTGTGGCAGAGTGGATATTAGTCCCGCCTCTGTCCATGCAGAAAATCACTGTTTATGGCCAAGCGCTCGAAGAAGGAGCGCTCAATGTCACTGGCTGCATTGTCAAGGTCAGGAACTGCAGGGAGCGCAGGTTCCCAATCTTCAAAGCATTATGGAGGCCAGAAGCAGAGGTGAAATTCAAACGCACCGGCCTAGCCGCTAAGAAACCTGCAGTTGATCGTCCTCTGTCCTGGAGTTCAACAACTTCCAGAGACGGTAAACCAGTCCCCAAAAAGGGCCCAGATACTTCCGCTTGTGAAGTTAAGGTCATCGGTAAACAGCCGTCCGTAGTTATTGAGTCGTTGTCTCTATCCCAGTCAGCGATCATGGTACTGGAAGGCGAGCTAAGCTCCTTCGACATCACCCTGCGCAATACATCACCATGTCCACTCAACTTCATCCTGTTCACGTTTCAGGACTCTACGACGAAGCAGGTGCAGTCCGCGCTTAGCAACAAAGACCTTCTGCCTGTTGAAATCTACGAGCTGGAACTTAACCTTACTAGACCTGCGCTGCGCTGGCGCCGGCAAGGTTCGAATCCTGAAGACTATTCAATCCCGGCAGGCCAAAGTGCCACTTTCACTATTGAAATAGTCGGAAAGCCCGGCTTGCAGGACACTACTATACAAATCGATTATTCATACCTTGGAAAATCCGACGGCGGCTTACCTGATGTGTTCTATACCCGACAGCTTTTTGTCCCTCTCACTGCTACGGTCAATGCCAGTGTCGAGATTGCACGGTGTGATATTCTTCCCCTTAGTAGTGACTTTGCTTGGTGGAATTATAGAGATGGCCTCGAGGAGGGCGTGTCTGATGATAGCCAACATCTCGAGTCTGATTCAATCTCACCCGTGCTCTCTCATCTTGCCCATGGCAAGTATGGACCTGACCACTGCATTTGTCTCCTTGATCTCCGCAACGCTTGGCCCAGCCCGTTGTCCGTATCCTTGCAGGTTCATGAGCAGTCTGTCGATTCAGAGACGGCACCGAATCTCGACATCCCTAGCGACTCAGAGGGCCAATATACTGTGCATGGAGAACTCCAACCAGGTCAAACATCCCGCTTCGTTCTCGTCCTCCCTCGGGTTCATCTAGACAACCCTCACGCATCGATTCCTATACTGAACACGGGCGGGAAGCGTCAATTTGTCGTCAGTGCCAACAAACTTTCCTTCGAAGCTGAGGCCGCCTCCCGCGAAGCATTCTGGTATCGCGAAGAACTCCTCCGCCGGGTATCAGGATATTGGAAGGAGAAAGCCCGAGGACGCGCTGGAATAATCGATCTGCGTAACCTTCGCTTCAATGCCCGGATGGTCGACGCCTTCCGGTTGGAGGACGTCGGTGTAACCTACAGCCTGGAACCCTCGCTACCCAGTGAGTCAGACGGCGCCGCGGCCGTACGCACCGGGAACTCCAAATACGACGTCCGTACGGACGAGCTGCTGAACCTCACCGTCGGGATCGTCAATCGCTCCTCCAGGCCTCTGCATCCTCTCCTGCGGCTGCAGCCGAGTCTTCGCCACCAGCCCAGTAATGTGGCCCTTGACCTTTCGCGTCGTCTCGCCTGGACTGGCATGCTGCAGCAGGTGCTCCCAGTGCTCAAGGGCGGGGAAAGTACCACTGCTACTGTTGGCGTTACGGCCCTTTGCCGGGGCGATTACGAGTTCGGCGCAACGGTGGAGGAACTCCGCCTTCTGGTTCCCGAGCCGGAGCCCGGAAGCGAGGCCCAGCCATCAGCTGCGCAGCCGGCTTTCCATGACGCGGATGGAATCATCACCGATACGTTTGGTGCGGACGTAGCTAAGAAACGACGGATCTGGCATGCTAAAGAAACCTGTGTTATGAACGCTCATGATTGATACGCCTAAGGATGAAGAAGTAAAAACACGACGAATAGACGGATACATCTTCCCCTCAAATCCGCTTATGTATAACTTGGAAAATATGTTTCTTTAGACATTATAATACATATACAAACATCTTGTCCTTCATTCTGTGCCCTTATTCGTTATCTGCAGCTCGTCGGATGGACAGGCCTACTTTCAGCGTCCGAGGTAACCAGCACTTTGCATAACTCCGGTACTATAAACATACTGCGACATCAACAGCGATCTGGCTCCAACTAGATGGCGTTTGCCTAACCGAGCTCAGCCACTACTTGTTTCATTTACAGTCATTCATTTGAGGCTACTCCTCATTCAATCTCGGTATGCACATCCGCCACGTCTCAAATGACGGACCATCACAATCCACATCGACTATACCGAGTGTGCAATGACATGCTACAGACTGGAATCAACGATGGATATATTCATAGCAGGAACTCTCGATTTACACCTAATGCCCGATGGCCCTCTGCAGCCGTCCAGCGGCAGTGGAGGGGCCGGGCTCGGGCCAGCCGCTCACGGCATCATCGACTTCTTCCAGAAAGCTTGTGCTATTGTGGATGGTCGTGCCACCCAAGACTACCCGGACTCCCGGTGAGCTAGCGTTGACTTGAGCGACCATTTTGGCTTCCTCGTAAGTGGCGCCGCCCACCATGAAGATGATGATGTCTTGGGGCTTGTCCCGCGTATGGCCTCCGCCTTCGAGAAAGGGGTACTGGAGTTCCCTCAGTCGTCCTTTGATCATGTTTTGGAGGGTAGCTTCCAACCGAGGAGAATGTTGCGTGTAGACGTTCTCTACGCCCTTCAGTCCCTTGAAGCGATCCCGCGCACCAGAGAACAGGGACGTGGACTCGAACAAGTCTGAGAAGCCACCTGCGACAGGAGGCGCCTGCAAGGAATGGTGATAGGCGAGCAGCTTAGGAATGATGTTGACTTTGTAGGAAGGAACATCACCGGCAGTGACCAGTAGGTCAAGAAGAATCGGAAGAGCATTGTTGGGCTGCTTTTCGTACCGAATAGCGTACAACGCCACCAGCCGTAACTTGTTCCCAGCTGACACGCTTGGTAGTTGAATAATTCTTTGCAGGTTCTGCAAACAAGTGATGAGCAAAACGCACTGGCGATGGTCAAGTCACTCGTGATTGGACCGTACGGATGCATACCTTGAGATCGTTTGCGTGGTTGTCATTGCAAGCCAAGCTCTGTTCCAATTCACTCACGTCGAGAAGATCTTCTTCGCCCACGCGCCTACTCAGCTCACCTACCAAAGTGACATGCTTGCTAACATTTCCGGAAAGCTTGCGAAATTCGGGGTAGTCCTCCACAAAACGTTTCATATCCGCAATTGACTCAATGTTCATTGTGCTGTGCGTTTTCGCCTGGTACTGTTCCACGTACTCCTTGATATTCTGTCCCAAGTCGCCAAAATTCTGGTACATGTTTTTCTTGAAGAATGGATCTTGATCCTGCGAAAGAACGATTTCCCGCAATTCCGGACGGATTTCCGGCACATCTCGAAGATCCACCCGGCCATTGTGGATTCCCAGCAATTCGTGCACCATCGCCTGATAAGTCCATTGTGTGAGTAGCGGGGTGATGGGGTCATCTCGTCGATCCAAGATCAGCAAGATCGGTGGCGTATCCGTCTTGCGAAAGTTGAACAGCTGCTCTTCCTGCGTCAATTGGTAGCGGACCTCCGTGGCCAACTTCTTGGCTAACAAGCTGTTTTTCTCGTAACGAATCAATGGGTTCTTCTTCAGGGACAACAACAATGCGATCGCGCCTTCAGTGGCCCTCTGTAGGGCGTCTGGGTTCCACAAGTCCGGCGACTGGCTCCACAGGCGCTGCTGGGGGTACCCTAGGTTTAGGGAACACAAATCGGGGTTGATTACGAGGAAATCGGCGAAATGCTCCTGAACAAGACGAACGACTTCATGGGAATCGGCTTCGGCAAGTCTTTCAAGCGATGATTTGCGAATAATATTGCTCAGGTAAATATAGTATTCGCCGTACTTGGGTTCTCGGAGTTCGTCGATCAAGAACTGGATCGAGGTAGAAGATGGCCGTACAAAACAGAGGCATCGCAGATGCCGCATTCGTTCCCGGGAGGCATTATCGAGTCGATCGATCAGGTAGACTTCATGGTTCAAGAGCGCCGACTGGGTGATGGCGGTTGAGACAATGGGCACCTATGCGAGACCCATTAGCGCCCACGGCTTCTATCCAACATGATACGCAAGTCCCACTGTCTCACTGTCAAGGAGCAAGATTTTCATCTTAGCTGAGGATGAAGAGCCCGGGGTTGGTGAATCGCCTGCGGTAACCATCTTGGAGATGTAACCCGAGACCGCGGCGACGACGTCCATATTGGGCGACCGAAGAAGGGGTGATAAGAGTAGGCAAGTTAAGTCTCAAGATTCCAAATAGAAGGACGACATCAAGGACAAAGCGGAGATGCGTGCGCGACAGCAGCAAAGACCGACAGACTGGGGGATGTTGACAGGGTGGACACTGACACTGGAGGAGAGAAGGGTGAAAGGTGACGGAGAACGGAGAACGGAGAAGATGCCAAGCAGCGGAAAGTCAGGCGATGACGATACATGTGATGGAAGTCCAGCCCGCCTTTTTTTTCCCCGTTCGGTTTATTTGCATCTCAACACTTTTTTTCTTCTTCCTCCCCTTTTCCACAAGTGTTGTTCACTGTATCGGTGCCAATGTCGTCTCCACTAATTTGATTAGTATCTTTACTATTTCTTCTGTTCATTGAACCTCTCTCTCTCCCCCTTCTGTTCTCCTCCCCCAACTACTTCTGCGACATCATGTTGCCCTTTGTAGACCTTCGTATGTCGCCCTCGGCCACTTTTCTTCCCTCCGTGCAGCTCAAGAGACCGTACTGACCACGTTGGCGCCAGTATTTGGCTACCCTGCTAGGGTCACAGGAGCTTCCATTGATGAGCGTATGTTACTTGCCGTTCCATATCTCTTCTTCGTTCAGTTTCGCGCCCCAGTGCTGACATCGTTGTTTTTGCTTATCGGAAACAGTCAAGCTCATTGCGTCATTTCTCCTCTCATATCCTCTGGCGGGACTCTTGAAGCGCATCCCGGATGCCCAACCTTGGAAGAAGAATGCTTTCATTATCGCCGTCTCGCTGTTCTATGTCGTTGGCTTGTTTGATTTGTGGGATGGTCTCCGCACGCTGGCCTATAGCTCTGCTGGTATCTACCTGATCGCCTACTACATTGATGGATCATTGATGCCATGGATTGGCTTTGTTTTCCTGATGGGTCACATGTCCATCAACCACATCTATCGACAGATCGTCGACGATGCTCAGGTGGTGGATATCACCGGCGCCCAGATGGTCCTTGTCATGAAGCTTTCCGCGTTCTGCTGGAACGTGCACGATGGCCGATTACCTCAAAGCCAGCTTTCGGGCGCGCAAAAGTACGCCGCCATTACCCAGTTTCCTAGTATCCTGGATTATCTGGGCTACGTGCTCTTCTTTCCATCTCTCTTCGCCGGTCCCGCCTTTGATTATGTTGACTATCGTCGCTGGATTGACACCACTCTGTTCGACGTACCTCCTGGAACCGATCCGTCCAAGGTGCCCCCGACCCGGAGGAAGCGTAAAATCCCTAGAAGCGGCACCCCCGCCACGAAGAAAGCTATCGTTGGATTGGTTTGGATTCTACTCTTCTTGCAATTGGGCTCCTTGTACAACCAAGACACTCTACTTGGAGGGAACTTCATGAACCACTCTTTCCTCAGACGGATCTTCATAATGCACATGGTCGGCTTTGCCGCCCGATGCAAGTACTACGGTGTCTGGTCGCTGACAGAGGGTGCATGTATTCTCTCAGGAATGGGCTACAACGGCTTTGACCCCAAGTCGGGCGTCGTCTTCTGGAATCGGCTTGAAAACGTGGATCCATGGAGCCTCGAGACTGCTCAGAATTCCCACGGCTATCTGGGCAGCTGGAACAAGAACACCAATCACTGGCTGCGGAATTATGTCTACCTGCGTGTCACTCCCAAGGGCAAGAAGCCTGGTTTCCGCGCCAGCATGGCCACTTTCACGACCAGCGCGTTCTGGCACGGCTTCTACCCCGGTTACTACCTGACCTTTATTTTGGGCTCGATCATCCAGACCGTCGCTAAGAGTAAGAGTCGGCGTCCCACTTTCTATTCGAGCGCGATACTAATCCCGCCTCAGGCTTCCGCCGTCACGTCCGGCCCTTCTTCCTTACTCCCGATGGCAGCAAACCCGGGCCTTACAAGCGCTACTATGACGTCATAAGCTGGCTCATCACGCAAATCACCATGTCCTTCACCGTAATGCCGTTCATCTTCCTCTCCTTCGGCACCTCCGTCGCCGTCTGGCGCAGTGTCTATTTCTACGGCATTGTCAGCAATCTGCTTTCTATCGCTTTCTTCGCCAGTCCTGCTAAAGCCATCCTTGTCAAGAAGCTCAGGGTCCGCGGCGCTAGCCGCCCGCCACACGGCCCCCGCACGGCGAGCAGCGAGTCGCTGCAACAACCGCCAACCCTCGGTCTCCCTAATGATGCCATGCAGGAATTCGACGACGCAGTCCAGGAAATCAAGGCCGAAATTGAATCTCGTCGCAGACGCGGGAGTGTCGTCACCATGCCGACGGGCGAGGAGCTGAAGATTGCCGTCGAGAATAAGATGGGGCGCAAGCTCCCATAATTGTCGGCTTTGTGCACTCTGAAAAGGGAGTCGGTATTGGATGGATGGCTCACGCCGATTTTGGAGGTTCATCTCACATGATCCTTTCTTCCCCTTCGCTCCCTATGTATCTCCGTGTCACTTACACTGACCTACAAGTTGCGTATGATAAGAAGGGTTTCCTAGGGGTCGGTCATCTAGGACCTCGTGACTTAGGCGCTGGGAAGTTGACCGTCTCAGCTGATCCTGTGTTGTGTGCGTGATAGACGAGGACTATCACTTTTACTTAGACTTGCACTCTGCAACTATTAGATTTGGTGCTTGGCTTTAGGCGCTCTCGGTTGCCGGGTGTCTTTCGGGTTCATGTTTCTGTATCAGTATCGAGGCGCAGCATCTCGATTTGTATTGAGTCATTTAATCAAGCGGGCTGACTTGTACTATAGTCCCTTTGTGCTCTAGCTAACATGATCTATGGGCACAGCGTCCCCTATAAAACTTTTATTTTGTCGGAAGTTAGTTCATTATCACACTTAAAAGCCTATCAACCAAACTTAGGCCATATGCACGATTGTCTGGTCTCTCCGTCAGTCGTGTATTTATTGATCTATGTGATAATGTCTGTATATAGTCCGTGAATCTCGAGCCGAATCCACAGGGAAAATATCACCCTTGGGTGTCGAACAGGGAAACGGAAACAAAGAAGTGGACAAATGAAAGAAGGAAAAGGGACATATATCCATCATGTGTCGTAAATCCCCAAAATGTCCAATCGCCATGCATGCACTTCGCAGGTAGTAAAATTAAACCCGGGAATTCGCCCAGATAGACGTTTTCCAAATGGTGCAGACTTGACAGAGGACAGAGGACAAACACCCAATTGTTGAAAATACGAAACCAAATCCCCATGATAAAAAGAAAAACATTATAAACATCACGTCGTGCCAGTCGTGTCGAGAGTGATATGTAAATATGATATACCTTGCAGCCGTGGTGAAGAGGAAGCCAAATGCGAGTATGAATGCAAGCGCATCGAACAAACAGGCGGTGCTCAGGCGAAATCAAGGGGTATGAATGGGTATAAACAAGTAAAAAGATTCGACTCCAAGCACTGTGATGCGAAAGTCAATTCAAGCATATACAATGCAATGGAATGCAGACGCAGGCAGGCATGGCCTGCGTAAGGGACGCCAGGGCAGTGCGTTTGCCTTGGCGGCCAAAGTAAGCAGAGGCTGCAAGCACGATGGTCTTACAAGCGATATAACACTAACAGGGAGGCTTGGGGTCCCTAATGGCCCTAGAAACCCACTGTTGTACCGACAACTGCTAGAGTGATCTGCCGGAATGTTAGTCTGAGTTGATACACCCGCAAATTAACAAGCACTTACCACTATGGTGATAATCACCAATCCCAGAGGGTTCATCCACCGGTTGAGCTTCCTCCACCAGCGAGCGTTTTCGTAGCGTCTCCTCTGAAGGTCGAACAGTCGCATACGTAGACTTGTTTCGAGTTGGGACTCGACGTCCTCCTGCATAACCATTTCCGGTTGTTTTGGCAAGGGCAAGAAAGAAGCGATCAGCCAGGCTAGCGAGCGCAGAGTAAGCCAATGCTCGGGTCACATTATTTAGGATCCGGATGAATGCATACCTAGAGGGAAAATGAAACCAATACAAAATGACCAAACTTGTATGTTCCTCCGACCAAATAGAGGTTCCATTCTTGAATCTAGAGAAGGGGCTCCCCTAATGCCCTTCCGAGGACCAACCGCACGTCGATCAGGCAACAGGTGCGGCGACCAGCTGCTACGCAGCCGATTACGGGAGGTGTCTCTTCTCTCGAGTTTCGGGTCTTTCACCCAGTGGCTTCGAGGATCGCGTGGATCACTCGGTGGGGCTTCCCACCGTACGCTTCGGAGGTCACTGGTCATTGTCCGGGTATGGCTGTGAGCCGTCGGCATGCGGTAGAGAGCACCATTTGTACTTGCCGTTGCTGGCCGTACGGACGGGGGGCGACTGCCCTCCACCGTCGGTAAGCCCGAGTTTGCGGGCTGCGCTTCGGCGCGCCCATAATACATTTTAGCCCAGTTAGGCAAGATATTATGGATGCTTGAACTTGTTCCCGGTCGTTTAGTGCTTCGCATGCTGCTTCGTCGGGATCCCGACGAAAGACTGCTGGGAACCGCTGGGTTCGACGGGCGCGCCGGTAAGCTTGACAGATTGTCCTGCTGCTCATCGCCGTCCGTATCGTCTACTTCATTCACTAGCCATACCGATGAAGATGTTGGCTTCGGGCGAATCAGCGCTGGGGAAGGCCGTCTGGGCTCCGCCAGAGAGTTGTTGCTCGACCCTTCAGCATAGTTCGAGTCACACTCTGCTGACCATCGGGAGGTGACCGTCGATAAGTGAGATTTGAAGCGATCCGAAGAGAAATCTGTGGTGGGTTCCTGGGCGGTGGGCTCTGTGGTATCCTCAGTGTTCGAAACGTCGACCCTTGAACTTGACGATGAAGGCGCACGGATTGTCGGGTATTGAAGGAACACTCCACTGTCGACGATCGCCTGGATATCAGAATTCGGACCACTACGTGATGAAGACGTGAGAGAGCGTGAATGACTCCGCCCGCGCGGAAGCGTTGAGTTCGACTGAACCTGGTGCACCTGGTTGGAGGGATTGGACCGGAATGACTGTGAGCGTGAACGCGAGAGCGAGCTCGATTGTTCAGAGGATGAACCATGTGTCCATTGGGCCGCTCCGATGTACCTTATGACTGTTCCTAACGAATTCAACGATGACAGTGAATTAGACCGAGTGACCGAGCCAGGATTCGAAGAGGCGCCGAGTCGTACAAAATTCAAACTCGAGTTGTCGAGGGCCACGAAATTCGGACTGGAGGGAGGCCCGATGGGAACCACGTTCGGGCTAGAATTGCTTGATCCAAGAGTTTCCGGACCCGACGGGTGACGAGATGAGGTTCGAGACATCACAGGCTTGATTGTTGAGGGCGCCTGGGGTAATGTATTCGGTTCCTCGTCTGAGTAGGCGGCAACAGAGGCTGCATCGGACTTGGGGTCGGTAGGTTTGTCTTCCGGAGGCAGGAGATCGGGGAACGACGACTTGCTGGACAAAGGATCGTCCTCCCATACCTGCGATGGTGTATTTGCGACATCGAACGTCGACGATAAGTCCCAAGGATCACTGGCGGACCGTTGAAAAAAACTGCTGTCGGCGATTTGGCTTAGCTCTGTCGATGTATTCCCAGCATAATGGTCCGGTGCTTCGTCGACGTGAAATCGGGAGTCTGGGATGAATTCCTGTCCTTTTCCAGGCCGTGGTAGGAGGATCTGCTCGGGTTTTGTCGGGTAGGGAGTGGCTGAATACACATCATGTTCTTCCTGGCCGGCGTAGTTGTCACTGGTGGCTCGGAGAGATGAAGGTGGGGAGCTCTCGTTCGTCTGGGACGGGTTGCGCTCATGGAGAGCTCTCCGTTTGGGGAGACTCGTTGAGGGTCCAGTCGAGCGCATGTTGTACAGATTAGTTCATTATCACGATACACCAGTTATTAAGATTAGGTCGTCGAAGACCGCGGGCGATGACCCGGTAAGGCTGGTGGTATAATCGACCAAAAGATCACAGGAACACAAGAAACGCAAATCGAAGAACAGAAAAGAGAAAACGCCCACGCCCGACTGGGGACTGAGGACGGCGAAGAATGGAGATTAAAGATGATCGAAGATCATCAATGGACGGCTTGATTCGGGGCACCAAGCGACCACACAAACGGACCGCTCGATGGAGCGATTGACAACCCGCAGTTGCCGGTGATGGCCCCGTTGATGTTTGTTGTGGTCTATAGAATTTTATGATGCAATGAAGAATGTCTCGACACAAACGACAACGTGATGGTTTAAGGGAGCGAACTAAGCTGTCCACCGGGGCACTACAGCGAAGGGAGAGTGGATCCGACCGAAAAAAATGCCCGGAGTTGGATTGGCGCGTCAAGACCCCCGATGGAGCCAGCTTGATGAGGGGCGGGACGCGATAAAAACGAGAGAATAATAGTAAAAGAGTGTCTAACCCGAGACCAGGAAAGTTACCAAAAACGATTCGAAAAGAGCGACGAAAGGAAGGAGGACTGGGAAGAAAGGGACCACGGTCTGAAACGGCCAGGCCGGACTAAGCCGTAATATTTAAACGCCCCGGGATCCGGGTACCCAGCGGCGGTGAACCATGGGCTGAATCAATAGATGAAGAGATGAGGAGAGTCAAAGCTAAAGAGACTGTCGTCGTCCCCCTCTTTGGCTTCCGGGGCAGGGATGTTCGATCCAGGGGTCATGCAAGCTGCACGCTCTGGTGTGCCATTTGAAACCGCACGATTGGTGTTTTGAAAGGGATAGTCTAGTCCTGCATGCAGCCTGCAGCACAGCAGCAGCCTGCAACTCGTCGCTTGTCCGACTTCCTTTTGGGCAGATGCCCACCAGCTCCGCCCACGGCCGCCTCGAAACTTGCGAGGGACGGTCAACTAGCGGGATGGCGCGGGATGGCCGCCAGAGAGAGAGGGTCTGGCCCGATGTAAGACGGTTTTTCTCGATAGCCTAGTCTACCGGCTCCAGAAGTTCTTCGTTATTCGGATCCAAGAACAAATTGGTCGCAGATCGACAGATAGCTCTGGCACATGCCCATAAAAATAATCACTGAGCTGTCGTCACCGAATACGAATTTGTGCTTTGCTGGAAACGAGATTGAAACCTGCCCGAGGTCATTTCGCTCCGCGATGGTCTAAGAATATCCATCCATCCGTCTTCGACCCCCGAAGCCAAGTTGAATGAACTCAGACCAGGAGTTTGAAGACTGGAGAGTGGAGCAGTACCATTTCGAGTCAACTGCGGGCACGAAAGACGCAAGCCAGTCGGTTGGCCACAAATCACTGAAAATGCAAGGTCCCTCTCAGTCGTACATGTGAAGTGCATATTCTGCACGCCGAAGTACAGGGGACCCATACATTACCTATCTGTACAGAGTACGCTGTACGACTTTGGCCACGTATGGGGGAAGGGCTTAGCCTCTTATCGATCTCCACGAGGACATCGATTGTGACTGTGACGAGTCGAAATCGCGGAGTGTGTAAGCGTGCTAGTGTGGAGGACATCGAGGGGCCCAAGTACTCGTACAATTGCGATAGTCTAGCTCCACCACAGGAAATAGCAAGTTGTCATGAGAAAAGAAAAATAAAAAGGAGGCCAACGATTCCAGAAGGTTTCATTGGCAGTGGGGAGGGAAATCTAAGTCTTTTTTGTCCCTGGCTAGCCCAATAATAATCATCAGGGGCAATTGGCAGGAAACGTACAGGGCCGTCGGAGACTCGGAGCCAAGGATTTTTGCTGACTTTCTCCCAGGCTCCCTAAACTTGCCAGCGCATCTCAAGTGGAGTCAGTCAATTGGATTAGTGAGGAAAAAGTACCAGAGTTGCTTCTTATTGTCGCTTTGCCCGAGGATGAAAGTGGGGTTGTTCATAGAGATGGCGTTGACGACCAAATTGCACCCAAAACCCTGATTCCATGGATACCGGATCGTGGATCCAGTTTCGTAGAGATCGATCGGAAGTTGATGGATCTAACATTGAGTGGGAAGTTCGTGGATGAAGGGAGAAGGAGATGAAGGGGGAAAAGCGATCGAAAGCTGGAACCGGAAACTACTCCGTAGTCGGTACGGAACCCGCGGGTCGCATTGCGGGATGATCCTCAGGCACCCACTTCCACATTCCGAGGTCCCAGTGATCAATGATCAAACAGGGGGGCATTCAAGATCTCGAAATCTTTTTCCGGCTAGGTCAATCTTGATGCTGGTAAGTATGATCATCATTCAAGCCTTTTTGTTCAAACTGAAACCCCCTCGTTGACCTCGCATGTCTTCTTTGCAGATTCATACCATCAATAGGTGGGACTATCAAAAACATGACGCTTTACTCCGTACTATATATAACCCTTTTTCTCTCCTGTTTTTGGAATCTCGTCTTGAGGGGGTACAAACATGTTCTAGAGTACCTCGAGTCCTTCTTTAGAATTCTGGTGCCCCTTCGATCCATGGTTCCGGAATCAAGTCTACCCCAGGCCAGGCAGGTGCTTTAGGGAGCTGAAGCAATGCTGGATTTGAGGCTCTCCTCTTCCTATCGCGATCCGGTTCTACGGTATATCAGCCAGATGGCCTTGCTAGATACTATTCTTAGAGGTGGTCCTACGTATGTCTTTTTGGTAGCAAGTTCCTCTGCCCAATATAGTGAAGAGCCATGTACATCTTATCACAATATACCTTGTACCAGTGGCTTGAGCCAGACAAATTACTACACCAACGATGCAACCCTGTAGGCTAGCTGTCAGTTGGAGATCAGTCAGCTCCGATCAGAAGGATGGTGGTCCTTCTATCGTTCTGGTATATTCAGTTGTCTTTATACCTTTAATCGGAAAGGCACTGCATGTGCAAGTATAAACATTTCCGGCGTGGTAATGAGCGACAGTTGGGGGTACTTTCTTGGATAGTCCAATGCTTCTGTAAGAAGCCCCCTCAATAACCCTGAAAGGTGAAAGCCCAATCCAATTGATTCGAGAAGATGTTATACTGTACGAGGTAAACACGTAACATATACATACAGTATAAGTAATTGCGCCTCCTCTTTCACAAACACGGTGTTATGACGAAATGGCATGATGAGGCTATGCAGGGGACATGGGTACAGGGCCACTTTTGCCAAAATCTTCTCTGAGCCTGACTGCTCAAATCTTTATATAAGTAATCATAAGGCAATTAAACATATATACAGAGGCATAATCTAAAGATCTACCAAGAAGTAATAATGTAGTGACCGCCAACTGTGTGGCTGCCGTTTGAACTGCGGCAAAAGTGGCTGCCGTGCTGAGGTCGCTAGACCGCATTAGGTTAAACCAAACCCGACAGCGGCGATGACGATGGATGCAGTGAAAAGAGTCCCCCATATCGGTCGGTTGCCGCCAGCCTACGACAGGTGACATAGAGTCTGCAATGACACAATGAGGTTGAGACGAACATAATGCAAGCTCTAGTACGTCTCCGATCATGTCCAACCCGGTCTGTCCTGCGACAGAGACCGTGGAAATGCGCCGGACCTCACCCGACCGCGGTCTCTTCCAGCTTCCCTCGATATGCGACAATCACGCCCACGGCGGCATCAATCACCAGAAAACTCGATTTGTTAGCGCTTGATAAGAAATGGCAGGCAAGGTGGCAAGCAGATGCCATCAAGGCCTCGGTGGAACACAGTGCAGCAGATGGCAAGGGGATGGAGGGAAAGCCCAAATCCTACATTCTCTCCATGTTCCCATATCCGTCGGGGACCTTGCACATGGGCCATTTGCGCGTGTATACTATCTCGGATGTGCTGGCGAGATTTTATCGCATGCGAGGGCACGAAGTCCTTCATCCCATGGGGTGGGATGCATTCGGACTGCCCGCAGAGAACGCCGCCATTGAACGGGGGATCGACCCCGCGGAATGGACCAACAGCAACATGTCCAAGATGAAGGAGCAACTACGGAGTATATCGACCTCTTTCAGCTGGGACTGTGTAAGTGCACGCTGGATCGACCTACCTCTTTTTGATGTTTCCGCAGTGTCCACTCTGCGAACAATACTAAAACGTATCGAGATTTTTAGGAATTCGCAACGTGCTCACCCGAGTTCTACGAACACACGCAACGCATATTCTTGATGCTCTACGAGAAGGGCCTCGCATATCAGGACGAAGCCGTCGTAAACTATGACCCCGTGGATAAGACGGTACTAGCGAATGAACAGGTGGGTTGTTGCGATACGAGGATTTTACGGGGCTATTGGACTGATCGCGGGACCAGGTTGATGCCAACGGCTGCTCGTGGCGCTCTGGGGCAAAAGTCGAGAAATTGAAGCTGAAGCAGTGGTTCTTCCGCATCACTGCTTTTAAGGAAATGTTACTCAAGGACCTGGACTCCTTGTCGGGCGAATGGCCAGAGCGTGTGCTTTCTATGCAGCGGAATTGGCTTGGCAAATCGCAGGGCGCAAGCATAAAGTTCCCTGTAGCCATTGATGGCAAGCAAGACGCAGGCGCAGAGATAGGCGTTTTCACCACCCGGCCGGATACTCTCTACGGAGTCGAATACCTCGCTTTGTCTTTAAATCACCCCCTCGTCTTGGAAGCCGCGAAGAAGGACTCTGAGCTGCAGAAGTTCCTCGATACTGCTGCATTGCTCCCAGTTGATTCGAAAGCTGGTTACAAACTGTCTAACGTGACTGTGTCTCATCCTTTACGTGTGATAGATAAGGAGACTCCTCATGTTGCTCGCCCGCTACCTGTCTTTACCGCGCCCTATGTTCTCAGTGACTATGGTGAAGGCGCAGTAATGGGTGTCCCTGGTCATGATTCTCGAGATCTTGCGTTTTTCAAGGAGAATGTGAATCCGGCAACTATACCTATCGTGATTGAGCCCCGCGCAGGCGAGACAGACACACCAAGCGCCGGGGTAGTTTCCTCAAATGACGCAAAGGCATTCACGCATGAGGGCTATCTCAACTCTTTATGCTGGAAATACCAGGGTCTCCATTCCAGTGAGGCCAGGAAACAGATAGTCAACGATCTCAAGCAGGTTGGGCGCGGGGACTTCGTGGAACAGTGGAGACTGAGAGACTGGCTGATTAGCCGCCAGCGTTACTGGGGCACTCCGATTCCCATAATTCACTGCGGAGATTGCGGTCCTGTACCCGTCCCAGCTGACCAGCTTCCCGTCAAACTGCCCAAGATCGAAGGCGATTGGCTGAAGGGTAAGAAGGGAAACCCCTTGGAATCATCGCACGACTGGGTGAACACGCAATGCCCAAGCTGCGGCGGTTCAGCCAAGCGAGACACGGATACCATGGACACCTTCGTGGACTCTTCGTGGTACTATCTCCGATTCTTGGATCCAGCTAATAAACAATCGCCCTTTTCGCCGTCTGTGGCGCGGCCGGTCGATGTGTACATTGGTGGTGTTGAACACGCTATCTTGCACCTTCTCTACGCCCGGTTCATTTACAAGTTTCTTTCACAGTCCGAGTTGTTTCCCGAGTTAGCTCGGGCCGGAAATGTGTCGGCTCCATTCGAACCATTCAAGTCCCTCCTCTCACAGGGTATGGTGCATGGCAAGACATTCTCAGACCCATCTACGGGCAAATTCCTTCTCCCTTCGGAGCTGGACCTGTCTAATCCCGACAAGCCACTGATCAAGGAAACGCAAGTTCCGCCGGCAGTGTCTTTCGAAAAGATGTCGAAGAGCAAACACAACGGTGTGGACCCGACCGGGTGTGCTCTGAGATATGGCGCCGACACTATTCGCGCCCATGTCCTCTTTTCCGCACCCGTCAGCGAGGTGCTCGAATGGGACGAGACGAAGATTGTTGGAATGGAACGCTGGTTTAGCCGACTTTGGAAGCTCGTGACCGACACCCAGCAGACTTTGTCTTCCTCCTCGGTTGCATTGGAAGGCTCGGACTTGCAGACGTCTTCCGGCCATGCCCTTTCGCTTCCCGGGGCCCTACAAAGCTTGACTGACAGTGACGCCAGCGCTGTCCTGTCAACGCATCGAACCATCTACTCCGTCACCAACTGCATTGAGAACAATCGTTATGGCTTGAACACCGTTGTATCTGACCTGACCAAGCTGACCAATACGCTCTTATCATCCACACCCACCTCACCAGAGGTTCTCTACCTGACTGTCTCGTCTCTGCTTCGTCTTCTATCACCCATTGCTCCGGCCCTGGCCTCTGAATGCTGGGAAATCCTCAATGGCTCGGTGGTGACGAAGAACGCCACTGGCGCCGCTTCGGAAACCGCAGCTATCCCGAGTATTTTTGAATGCAACTGGCCCACACCCCTATTGACTGCTGCCGAGGCCGACATACTTTCCGCACGAGGGGGGCAGGCCGTTGCTGTTCAAGTCAACGGGAAATTGCGATTTAGCGTGACGATCCCACAGCGACTTTCGCCGACGACCAGCGAGGCCAACGCGAACAGCACCGATGAACAGGATTGGATTATCAGTCGTATTCTCGAAACCGCCGAAGGGCGAACATGGCTGCGGGAGAAAAACGACTGGGACAAGCGTCGACGAGTGATTGTTGTCAAAGGCGGCAAGTTGGTCAATGTTGTATTTTAGAAGAGACATCACAGCGGTGGCAGCTTCGAGTCATGGCCCATGTCTGACGCGGAGCATGCGTTGCTTGTTTTATAGAATAAACTATAAATGTACTATAAATAGAAGGACATCGTGATGAGACGAAATGAATACACAACTCCCAACTTCACGAAGCGGAAGTCGTTGGTCGCAGCCATCGGGGCGAGGGATGTAATAGAAAGTCCTGAGTTGGGCTTTGCAACATGATCTGTATTCCCGGTTGACTCACTTGCTTGAGTTATTGCGCTCCTTTCAAGCGGTCCGTGATTCCGAAGGCGCGTTTCGGCGCTTGGAGTCAACGGACAAACGGACGCATCGTGTGATTGCGGCAGGACCGGCAGGGCAGTAAGTGGGCAATGAGGAGGAGGTGGAGAAAGGTTCAAGGTTGATGGAGTCCTCTTCCCCTCATGCTGCCGCCGCCGCGGCGACCGCGCGAGCGTTGTGACGTTGAACCTTCAGCAAATGGAGACTATGATGTGTTCCTGTCCAAAATCTCGTCGCCACATTTTCCCACCTCTCTGGAAATGCAGTCACGGAGAAAAGACGGTGGTAACTCGGATCCCAATGAGGTAGATCTCGAATTCGGTAGAAAAATGGTTCGGTCGGGGAAGCTGAAGCTCAACTGAGTCTTTGGGTCAGTCGGTAGATACCTGCCCACTTGCCTTTCGGAATTTGGAAATTGAGGTCGAAGGTTGAGACACGCGAGGGGATGATCAACCGGCCTCCGGTACTGTACATACATACTCGAGATTGGAGATGTATGCTGTTTTGCGTTGAGCTAAATCAGAGCGACTCTTCGTACATAGCATTTCACATGGGCTTCGTGTCTGCTATGAGAGAACTCCATTTGGGGCGCGATGCGGGACATGCTTGGTGAGGGGTGACTAACCCCTCATTTCATTCATGGCCAGCGCATGTGGAGATAAAACGGGGCTTCCATCTTCGTTGATGTCTTCCCCTCATGAGGGGAAGGGTAGAGCTACCCGAATCGGGAGGAATGCGGGACAGCCTCCTGGAGCTTCGGAGATTCCAATCGGTTTCGACTCGGACAGTAATTCTGTCCGTTGGCTATCTGGAATGAGCCAAAAGATCCATGTATAGCCCAGCCCATCTGCAGTAGCGCCGTAGTTAGACTGTGCGGGGCCAATCCTGAGCAGATCGTCTGTCAGGTACTTGAGGCTATCTCCCGTGCGATTGATTTCCGACATACCTCCGAGTCACTAAGCAGGGTTCGGCCCTTGCTCGGATTTCCCCTCATCGGCTTACATATGGGGTACTGTACTGTACATCACCACGCTTTGCATTCTAGAACCCCGCATGAGCTCTAGCCTCTCGGAAGGAAGTGACATAAGGTAGTGTCGTAGTGACTGTAGCTGCCAACGCGCGCGTGTCGGTTGCTTGTTATTTGCTGGCCATGGGATATCAGTCGAAGGTGCCTGTAGTGATCACTCATGATTGCCAATTTCAGGTGGTCGGTAACCGACAGACTTTTCTCTATCCACTCCACAGCAATGATCAACTCGGTTTTATCAATAATACCGCCTTTAACCCGAAGACTGAACCGAGTTCTACTAAGTACACTGTAAGCTGGAGTACGGGAGGAAGTCCCGCGTGCGGAGAAAGCTTGACGAGCCAGACTCCAGGCTGGGATGAAACATGGCTGATCTGCCATGGCCTAGTCCCACCAGCAACTCACAGGCAGCACCACCAACCACCCCCTCTCGTCCGAATTCACCCCCTCTTGCTGTTCCCAAATGGGAGATGGAGGGCGTACGGGCATCTCATTCAGACTGCATCGAACTACGAGAGGGGGCCAACGATCAGTGAGCCTGGTTGAATGGCCCTAAAAATTGTCCACGGTAGTACTGTAGTACCTGCACAATACGGACTACTATCCAAGCACCCCAGCGAAGCCTATATATTTGGCTAATTTCCCCGCCCTTTCTGTCTTCCATCAACATCATCTTTCTCATCTCATCCTATCATCATTCTTTGGTCATCTCTTTCCCCCTGTTACCAAGGTTAATTCATCTATAACCGCTTTCGGTAAGCATTTCTCCCTTCAAGGTTTCCCCCTCAGCGTCCCCGATAGATAGACAACTTTTGCCTGTAGCCTGCAGCCTACAGCAGTTCTCTGGAAACTTGGCCAGTCCATTGTTGCAGCTCGATCTCCACTTCTGTCATTCTCCCCGCTCTTCCCTGCTGCATCGCATGAAGCTTGCAAGGTTTCGTTCTGTTGTGCTGGTGGCTGCGGGCGATATTCTTTCTTTGGCATCTCCAATTTCATTGCTATTTAAATGAGAGGCTGACCCGCCGGTTCTCAGGTCTACAACATCTTCCCAAATCATCTTCCCTCTCAATCACACTCTAATCAGTTAATCCCTGACTTTAGTCTTTCAAAATGGTATTTATGCGCTCTTTCTCCCGTCAGCTCCGACGGCCTGCCACTTCGCTCCTTTCGACCAAAGGACCTCTCACATCGACTGCCAGCAGTCCTTTTTGGACTTCACCTCTGGTCAATTCCATTGCTGGTGCACGTACGCTAACCGCATCTGCGAAACTACAGGGCAAGGTTCTTATGGTTCTCTATGACGTAAGTCTTGGGCCCAGACCCTCACACCCCAAACCGGTCATGACAAGGCCATAATTAACAAACAATCCATGGATAGGGTGGTGAGCATGCCAAGCAGCAGCCCGGTCTTCTGGGTACTACCGAGAACGAGCTTGGTTTGAGGAAGTGGCTGGAGGACCAGGGCCACACCTTGGTCACCACCTCCGACAAGGAGGGCGAGAACTCCACTTTCGATAAGGAGCTCGTTGATGCCGAAATCATCATCACCACTCCGTATGTGGCCTTCGGCTCCATTGTACCTGTTGGATCGTCAGTAGCTAACCCAAATGGTTCAGCTTCCACCCCGGTTACCTTACTGCCGAGCGTTTGGCCAAAGCCAAGAACCTCAAGATCGCCGTCACTGCCGGTGTCGGCTCCGACCACGTCGACCTGAACGCCGCCAACAAGACTAATGGCGGTATCACTGTTGCCGAAGTCACTGGCTGCAACGTCGTTTCCGTCGCTGAGCACGTTGTCATGACTATCCTGACCCTGGTCCGCAACTTCGTCCCCGCCCACGAACAGATCCGCAACGGTGAATGGGACGTTGCTGCTGTTGCCAAGAACGAGTACGATCTCGAGAACAAGGTTGTCGGAACCGTCGCTGTCGGCCGTATCGGCGAGCGTGTCCTGCGCCGTCTTAAGCCCTTCGACTGCAAGGAGCTGCTCTACTACGACTACCAACCCCTCGCCCCCGAGGTCGAGAAGGAGATTGGCTGCCGCCGCGTGGATGACCTCGAGGAAATGCTTGCCCAGTGTGACGTTGTCACTATCAACTGCCCTCTGCACGAGAAGACCCGCGGTCTGTTCAACAAGGACCTCATTTCCAAGATGAAGAAGGGTAAGCTACATGTTCGTTGATCAATGTAGCTCGACAGACATTAACATCCTTCTAGGCTCTTGGCTCATCAACACCGCTCGCGGTGCCATCGTTGTTAAGGAGGACGTCGCCGAGGCCGTCAAGTCTGGTCACTTGAGGGGCTACGGAGGTGATGTCTGGTTCCCTCAGCCCGCCCCCAAGGACCACCCTCTGCGCTACGTCCAGGGCCCCTGGGGCGGCGGCAACGCCATGGTTCCCCACATGTCCGGTACCTCCATCGACGCCCAGATCCGTTACGCCAACGGCACCAAGGCCATCCTCGAGAGCTACTTCTCTGGTCGCCACGACTACAGAAACGAGGACCTCATCGTCCACAAGGGAGACTATGTCACTCGCGCCTACGGTCAGCGCAACAAGGCTTAAAAAGCTGGAGGACATTAGTATGAGATATATGACTCGAATAGCTCGGCACTTGTTCCTGGTCTGAACGCGCCGTTCTTATCTTGACGATTTAGCTAGTTATGATACCTTGAAAATACAAATTTTCTTTTTTAGTTCAAGGTCTTCGTGCACGTCATCGGCCGGCCTCCGAGCCTGCCCCACAACCGTAAGCTTGGAAAGTTGGAATGCTTACCTAGCCGTGACAGCGGCCTAGACTATCACGGCTTTGCTCTGGCCCAAATTTCTTCCCGAGCTTCGTTGTACCCGCTCAATCAGGGTCAAAGATAGGCGTTCCATGACTAGGGATCGGGCTTAAACTACCTGTAGTCTAAAATCATTTAATCCATCTTAATGACTACCTACTGCCCACGACCTGTGATTTTCTCTTCGTGGTGAGAAGAAAGGAACCCACCCACCAGTGGCTATTTCAGGAGTACTACTCACCCTATTCTTGGCTTGCGATGGAAGATCTTCCATTCGCCCTTCCGATTATGCGTTAGAAGCACTCGCTGTACCACCTCACCCAAAGTGCTCGGATCCCCTCAAAAATCACTGTAATCTTCCAATCAGCTCAATCGGTCTACACCTATCTAAGACCACCCAGCTAGCTGCGAATCATTAAGTGGAGACTGTAGTTCCACGCACTTGTTCCACTAGTTACTGGTAGGCACTCTCAGTCGCACGTTCGAGCTTGCAACAACATAAAAGGAAGATCTATAGGTATAGAAGACTTAGAATTAATGCACTAGCGGCGGGACTGCGGATGCGACCGATGCTCCTCTTCCTCGTCATCGCTATCATCCATGAACCCGGCCTCGAGCTCCCGACTGAGTCGTCTCCCAGAGTCGGCGACCGAGTTGCGTTGCCGTTCGAGTGCGCCTCTTCGCTCAGCATCCATATCCATTCCAACCATGATCTCGCCCTCTTCATCATATATACTGATATTGTCGTTCTGGTCGTCCAGATGCTGCCGTTGCCACGATGAAGGTAAGCACCGGCGCATGATGGCGTCAGCGATCCGATCTCGAAGGCTTAATGTATGAGCGGAAATCGTGTGGAGTGGTAGATACTGAGCGTAGCGTTGATGATAGCGGCGGAAGAAGGGGATGATCACGAAGGAGAAAAGAAGGTAGAGGGTCAGTGAGATCACCGCCGGGATGATCATCGTCTGCGCATGAGAAAGCGGCTGTTAGACCTGACAAGTCATTTGGGGTAGATGGAAGGTTCTCACCTTTGCGAAACTGGACGTGGAACCCATTTTAATGTCCAAGTCGTGCCGAAGAAACTCAAGGCCTTATGTCGTATCGTATATCTTCCACGAGCAGCAAGCAGCAAGTAGCATCCGCAGGCAGCAGTCGCAAGCATGAACACTGCACGACGCAAGGTTGTGTGATCTGGCCCTGAACTGACAATAAGCTCAAACTGCCATAGCAACCTTGAGATTCACCGTCACCAAATTTCAACCACCCAAGGGATTTCTCTCTGGCCGACAACGCAACACCACACAGTGAACTGCACATTCGTCTTCAGCTTCACCTCCGTTGAGACCACTGATAAACCCCGTGCACGTGATAGCATGGCGGCCCACTGGTACCTCAGAGCTAAGAAGAGCAGGCGGTCAGTATCAATGGTAGGCATCACATCAACTCACGTGCTCTCTGGGGGTCCTTTCTCTCTCTTCCCTACTGCCAGTGTTCTAGAGCCGCCCTCGATATTGCCGCCCCCCTGATGCCCCGTGCTTTCCAGTCCTGACGTGCAAAAAGACTCCAGCCACTAAAGCCCCGATCCCAGGCGCCTTTTCCCCCTTCCAGAGGAGGATAGCCTTATTGGGATCTCATTTCTTGATAGATCGATCGCCCTCCCCTTTCGTTTGCGATCACATATTCTGGGTTACCTCTCGGTGTTCGTTCAGAAGGCGGAATTTCCACCTCCCCTCTTCCTCCCTCCTACAATCTAACCGCCCGCTCCGCTGCGGGTCATAACTATTTGTGTTAGTCAGTTCAGGAGTGCAAAGACCTACACTGGCGCTTTGAATGTGTTCCTGATCGTCCCCTCACCCTCTAATCCGAATATCAGCAATCCGGAAATCGGACGAGTCGCTAGGACGAAACAAACGATTTGCGAACTCTGAAACCCCTACGCTCATGCTGCGCCCTGCATCTCCCCAGCGACGTCCGTCAAGATGCCAACCAGCACGTCTGCGCCTGAAAAATCGAGACAGACCTCCGCTGGCAAGTCGTTCTTTGGGAGGAAATTGCACAAAGAGAAATCGGTAGACGAACGATACGACTCGCATGGCTCGCACGATAGTCTGGCGCCTCCTGGGAGCTCCGCCGGCTCTCGCTCATCCCGCCATTCGAAACGCTCGTCGGTCCAGTCCGTGGACTCTCCCCACGAATTCGATCCCGCTGGCGTGTCCATGACAGCTGGTGTCCTCACTTCGATTCCCTATGAGAGTTTGCCCGCCGATACCAGGTCGCCTGTCCCTGTTGATTACCTCTCGAGGCCCGACTCGTCGTCCCGTAAAGAGCCATCGCCCAACCACCTCGCCAAGGGAAACAGCGACTATCATCAGTACCCGGCCTGGAACCCGGCCAGCGTTCCCAACAACAACGCCTCTTCACACCCAACCGGTCCTCGTCCACCCCCACATGCCTCGAACGTGACCATGGCGGGAAGTACTTCGGGGGATAAGGGTGCTCGGTATCAACAGTGGGGACGGCCGGGAAGTTCTGCCGCCAATACTGGCTTTAGCCACAGCTCCTCCTCTACGCTCGATTCTTCGGCGCAGTCGCGGCTGTCCTTTGACCAGCTTAGTGTCCATTCGTCGATGTCATCTAACACCCGGGGTTCGAGCTATTATGCGTCGGAGAGCTCCTCGCGCACGCTTACGCCTTCACATTCCGCCGATCGCGCTACCTACGCATCAAATGGCAGCTCCGGCCGCCTGTCAAATGCACAGGCAGCATGGCAATCAGCCCAGCCCGCTCAACCACCGAAAATTCCTGTCAACCAGGAGCAATATCTCGCCCGACCGAGGGACGATCGAGTCGTGGATCAGCTGTTTATCGAACTGATGCAGAAGCGAGGATGGCAGAACCTTCCGGAACAGGCTAAAAGGCAGATGCTGGCATATCCGGCTTCGAAAAAGTGGACGTTGGTGCATCAGGATCGGTTGACAGAAATACAAGGGGAACAGAAACGGCGGCAAAACGCTCGGCAGACCCACGGTCATGATGGACCCTCTGGGATTCTGGAGCGCGCTGATGAGGAGGGGAGCCCAGAGTGGTACGTGAAGAAAGTTATGGACGATTCAATCACTTCGAAACAGCTGGCCAGTCTGAGCGTTAGTTTGCGAACACAGCCAATCAGTTGGGTCAAGGCTTTTGTTGAGGCACAGGGTCAGATTGCTCTGACAAATGTGCTTGCTAAGATCAATCGAAGGAAGGCCACCGGTGTGGTCCCAGCTCCGCCGACGGGTGACAAGGATTTGGATCGTGAATATGACATCGTGAAGTGTCTGAAGGCCTTGATGAACAATAAATATGGGGCAGACGATGCTCTCGCACATCAACAGGTTATCGTGGCACTCGTGAGCTCATTGTTGTCTCCCCGATTGAATACCCGGAAGCTGGTGAGCGAGGTCCTGACATTCCTCTGCCATTGGGCCGAAGGCCATGGGCACCAGAAGGTCCTCCAAGCTATGGACCATGTCAAGAATCATCATGGGGAAACTGGTCGCTTTGATGCCTGGATGCGTATCGTTGAGGTGACCATTGATGGCCGAGGAAAAATGGGCAGCCTGGTCGGTGCAAGCGAAGAATATCGCAGCGGTGGTATTGGTATGGAGAACCATCTTATGGAATATGCTGTTTCAACAATGCTGCTCATCAATATGCTGGTGGATGCACCGGAGAACGACCTGCAGCTCCGCTGTCATATCAGGGCTCAATTCATCTCGTGCGGCATAAAGCGCCTCATGACCAAGATGGAAGGGTTTCAGTACGAGGTCATAGATAAGCAGATCGAACGGTTCCGGGAGAATGAAGCTATCGACTACGAAGACCTATTGCAGCGGGAGAGTAGCAGCATGAAGGACAGCATTGAGGGCGAGGTCAAGGATATGAGTGATCCCTTGCAAATCACAGACGCCATTACCGCTAGGATACAGGGCACTCGTGCTCATGATTACTTCCTCTCGGCCATGCAGCACATGCTCCTAATCCGGGAGAATTCCGGCGAAGATGGACTTCGGATGTACCAGCTGGTCGATGCTATGCTTAGCTATGTCGCTATGGACCGTAGACTCCCCGATCTTGATCTCCGACAAGGGTTAACGTTCACCGTGCAGAGTCTCTTGGACCGCCTTCATACGGATTCTGAGGCACGACGGGCTTACGATGAATCCCTGGAAGCTCGCCAGATAGCGGAAGCTGCGCTTGCTGAGCGCGACGAGATGAAAGCCCAGGTAGAGCTTGGCGCGGATGGTCTGGTCAAGAAGTTGCAGAAGCAGATCGATGAGCAGACAGGTATCATTGAGCTGCAACGGAGACGCGAGGAAGTAATGCAGGCGGAGCTTGCGGATGTCCAGAGGCTGCGTGCTCAAGAGTTACAGCGGAACGAGCTGGAAACCCGAGAGCTTTACCTGATGCTTCGAGACGCTCAAGACATAGCTGCCTCGAATGCGAAGAAGAGTAACATGGCGGAAGCGGACCCTTCACAGATGAGAGGCATTCTGGACCGAGAGAAGCTCCTGGAGCGATTGGAGATGCAGCTCGAGCGGACTAAGACACAATTCAAGTTGGAAGGTAAGGTCTGGGGTCAGCATGTCACCTCAGACAGGCTGCGTGAACTTCGAGAGCAGATGGATGGCGAAAGCGATGCAAACAATGACTTCGCTCAAGAATCAGGTCAAGGCCTGGATGTCAACTCCTTCGGATCGGTTCATCGGAAGAGAAGCCATGTACCAGGAATGGAGCAAAGTGACAGTCCTGAGATCCAGACGCCTATCGATGAGCCCGGAGAGGTCATATACGAGAAAGCCCGTCTTGTGGACCTTCATCGACCCAAGCTCAACCCCAAGCAAGCCAACGGTCTCCTGGGAGAAATCGCTTCGAAGGTTCCTAAGATTGATGCGGAAGACGGCGAAGCAAGTGCTCCGGTGGACAGCAAATTTCCTGATTCTGGAACAGAAGATCGCCCTGCTGGCTCGCAACAAGAAGGCCTCAGCGCTGAGACTGCAGCCGAGAAGGTCGAGAACAAAGGCGCGCCTGCTTCTGCTCCTGCTCCGCCTCCGCCTCCGCCTCCGCCCCCGCCCCCGCCACCAGGAGGGCTGGGATTCCCACCGCCACCCCCTCCTCCGCCTCCACCTCCGCCTCCTGGGGCTGTCGGAATACCCCCTCCACCCCCTCCACCCCCTCCGCCGCCACCCGGAAAAGCCGGATTCCCCCCGCCTCCTCCTCCTCCTCCGCCGCCCGGTGGGCTTGGAAGACCTGGGCCTCCACCACCCCCTCCCCCCCCAGGTGCTTCCTTCGGCGCTCCTCCTCCTCCCCCACCGCCCGGTGCTGGTGGATTTGGCGGTTGGCGGGCTAACTACATGGCTTCTCAAGCCCTCCCCCATCACCAGACAGCTCTCATGCCTTCTATCCGACCCAAGAAGAAACTTAAGGCACTTCACTGGGACAAGGTCGATACACCTCAAGTGACTGTGTGGGCTTCTCATGCTCCTACTGCTCAAGCGAAGGAGGAAAAGTACGTCGAATTAGCGAAGAAGGGAGTCTTGGACGAAGTTGAGAGACTGTTTATGGCAAAGGAGACCAAGATCTTCGGCAAGGGTGCAGGAGCCAAACAACGTACTGATAAGAAACAGCTTATATCCAACGAGCTGTCCAAGACTTTCCAAATCGCTATGGCGAAATTCTCTCAGTTCCCTGCTGATGACGTTGTTCGAATGATCATTCACTGCGACACAGAGATTCTTGACAATCTGGTCGTTATGGATTTCCTACAAAGAGATGAGATGTGCACTATACCTGAGAATATCTCCAAGTCAATGGCGCCATACAGTAGGGATTGGACTGGCCCAGATGCCGCCAGCGCCGAGCGTGAGCAAGATCCCACTGAGCTTACGCGAGAAGATCAGATTTATCTGTATACTGCATTCGAGTTGCACCATTACTGGAAGGCGAGAATGCGTGCTCTTGCATTGACACGCTCGTATGAACCGGACTATGAGCATATTTCCGCTAAATTGCAGCAAGTTGTGCAAGTCAGCGAGTCTCTGAGAGATTCTGTTTCCCTGATGAACGTTCTTGGTTTGATCCTGGACATTGGTAATTTCATGAATGATGCCAACAAACAAGCCCAAGGTTTCAAACTGAGCTCCCTCGCCCGCCTTGGTATGGTCAAGGACGACAAGAACGAGACTACCTTCGCAGATCTGGTGGAGCGTATTGTTCGAAATCAATATCCAGAGTGGGAAGGTTTTGTGGATGAGATCAATGGAGTCGTTGCCATTCAGAAGCTCAATGTCGACCAACTGCGCACGGACGCCAAGAAGTACATTGATAACATCAAGAATGTTCAGGCCAGTTTGGACGCTGGCAATCTCAGTGATCCCAAAAAGTTCCATCCCCAGGACAGGGTCAGTCAGATTGTTCAAAGAAGCATGAAAGATGCCCGTCGTAAGGCCGAGCAGATGCAGCTTTACCTGGATGAGATGGTCAAGAGCTACGATGATATCATGGTATTCTACGGAGAGGATAACTCGGATGAAGGCGCGAGACGGGACTTCTTCGCCAAGCTGGCCACATTTTTGCTGGAGTGGAGGGTAAGTCTAGACACCTGGCTCACGCTCGCTTCAGTAGTTTCTCTAACCATCCTGGCAACCCACAGAAATCCAAAGAGAAGAACATCAGTTTGGAGGAAACTCGGAAACGCATTGAAGCTTCTCTGTCTCGCAAGCGGGTTAATGCGGGTCTGGCCAACGGCGCCGGTGCAGCCACAGAAGGGCCACAGTCACCAGCCACGAGCGGTGCTATGGATTCCTTGTTGGAGAAGCTGCGTGCTGCGGCTCCTCAGGCGAGAGACCAGCGGGATCGTCGCCGTCGCGCTCGTTTGAAGGAAAGACATCAGGTCCGCGTGGCTTCGGGACAGAAAACGCCGGATGCGACTGGTCCGGAAGGCGCAGAAGGCGGGCAGACCGAGGAGAACAGCAGCAATGATCAGAGCAATGCGAATGCGAACGACTCTATTCCCACCGACACGGGACTCTTGAGCCCTCCGGTTATAGAGTCCGAAGCTGCCGAGACCTCCAGCAAAGATGCTCAACATGTGTCAGAAAGTGAAGATGTCGCAGACCGCGCTGCAAGCATGCTGCAAGGTCTCCGGGACAATGTTGACGGTGAGCGTCAAAGAAGAAGGCGTGAGACGGCCGAGGAAGAGCGGCGTAAACGCAGGCTGCGCAGACGCAACGGTGCCGCCAGTACTAGCAAAGACAACACCGATGGCTCGGCGCTAGCATATGCGTCTGAACCGCTTTCACCTCCCCGTACGGAGTCGATAGAGCCGGACGATGTGAGCGTCTCCAGCCCTCGAGATGGGGACGACACAATCCCACGAACACCGTTGACACCGTCTATTGTGGTATCTCCCACCGTCGACCAACAGCTACGGTTACCTGGCGATGATGAGCCGCGTGAGGGTTCCCCCTCAAACAAATCCGTGGAGTAGCCCGGCCACTGCCTGTTTCTTCCTGCTCCATGCCATTCTTTCTCCCATTTTCATCCCCAGTCTAAAACACCCAATTCCTTCTCCCGTGCATTTGTCGCGAGAACTCAACGCATTCCCTCTTTCCTAATTTAATGTTTGATAGACCAACTCATGCCGTCTCGGAAGATGCCACTATGTGTATAATTTTCCTACGGCTACACGTCTCTGGCATGCCTGTCTCCTTTTCCTTCTATCTCTTCTAAGGGATTTCAAGCGGTGATACAGAGTGGAATTGCAACTTGTGACTGCGATATCCTTCCTCTCGTGCTCGATGCTTCGATCTCTTCTCGCACCACGCTGTTGCATGCATTCCCTTTCAAGAGTACATTCTCGCTTTTCTATTGTTGTTTACCTTCCTGTTTTTCCTACCTCATGCTTTCCATCTCTTCTATCTTCCAGCGATTCATAGCCTCCGACATTTCTTCTTGTTTGTCTTTTCTCTTTTTCTTTCTTCTTTATTTTTGCCCTTACCGACTTTGATCTTCTTCCTCTGTCTTTGTACATACTTGATTTCCCTTGGTTTCTTTGTGTTTATTATATCTGGATGTCGTTTCGGCGATTGTTGCATATCTATGGCGGAGGAAGATTTCCGAGGCGTATGGCCGTGTGTCTTTCGGTACGCAGGCGTGACGAAGGGGCGCAGGGGTCCTTGTGATATGACCTTTTCCTACTACTACCACTACCGGATTATCGAGATCTTCGCATGTGCAGATGAGTGGCTTCTGGATTCGGGGCCTGTAAGAGTTAATGTAATATCTTAGCCATGCAATGAGAACAGTAAGTTTCTGTACAGCAAGTACATAGACGTGAGATGGGAGAAGAACTCCAATGGCTGGTCGGCTGCAACACGTGACCAGTATCTCCGCGGCATTTTGTTCCAACAATCCACACATCTCAGACTCTACCTGCGATACTTTTGGAGGAAAGCTGCTCAAACCGGTCAATTGATTAAGTCGTGCGCATGCGCAGGATCATTCCTCGGAACTCGCAGTTGCTCACTGCTGCCCGTCCATCATGGAGCAGCAGATCTTCGGCACTGGCTTGGGATAGAGCTGTTTTATCGCGACCTACTCCATTACCACGGCAATTAGGATCGCCACCGTGCCGCAACTTCTCCGCCTCCAGAAAGACCTCCTCGATCTTTGATGCGAACTCCACAATATATGCACTCTCCACTGCCCCCGGGCGAGCCGCCATTGCCGTCGTGCGAGTGTCAGGTCCAGCGTGCGTGCAGGTACAGTACACATACCCCAGCATTCCAGCACAATTCACTCAACCCGCCAGCCAACTAAACTCATAGTCCACAGATCTACAACGCTCTTTCCCCCTCCGCATCCCTCCCTCGTCCCCGCCTCGCCGCAGTCCGTACTCTTTACGACCCTCTACGACCCCCTTCCTCGGACACCATCCTCGATGCCGCGGCGTTGGTGCTATACTTCCCCGGCCCGAAAACCGTTACGGGAGAGGACGTGCTCGAACTTCACTTGCATGGCGGCCCGGCAATCGTCAAATCCGTATTGGCCGCAATCGCCAGCATTGACCTATCCTCATCGCTGTCCTCATCGTCAGCTACAACAACGCTGAACAATGAAGTCACAGACAAGCCTCCGCGCAGGGGAGGAGTGAAGGGGGACCCAATCCGCTATGCTGAACCTGGCGAGTTCACGCGCCGGGCCTTCCTCAACAACCGCCTCGACCTCCCGCAGATTGAAGCGCTTGGGGAGATCCTGCACGCCGAGACGGAACAGCAGCGCCGGATCGCCGTGCGCGCGAGTAACAGTGATGATGGCGACGGGAACGCGTTGTCGAAACGCTACGAGCAGTGGCGGCACCAACTCCTCTACGCGCGCGGTGAGCTGGAGGCGTTGATCGATTTCGCCGAGGATCAGCATTTCGATGAGTCGCCCCTGGAGCTGGTCGGGTCGGTGAGCGACCAGGTGCGCGCGCTCCAGGCGCAGATCCAGTTGCATATCGGGAATGCGGCCAAGGGGGAGTTGTTGCGTAGCGGGATCCGTGTGGCGTTGCTGGGGGCGCCCAACGCGGGCAAGAGCTCGCTGCTGAACCGCGTGGTGGGCCGTGAGGCGGCCATCGTCAGTACGGAGGAAGGCACCACAAGGGATATCGTCGATGTTGGGGTGGATGTCGGGGGCTGGTTTGTGCGACTAGGCGATATGGCGGGGATCCGGTCGGCTGAGGCGGCGGATGGCAGCACGACCCAGGGCGTGGTGATCGGGGCCGTCGAGAAGGAGGGTATCCGGAGGGCTAAGGCTCGAGCGCTGGAGTCGGATGTTGTTGTCGTAGTGGTCTCGCTTGAGGAGGGCGGAGAGGCAGGCGCGTCTTCACGTTTGGCCGTCGAGAGCGAGGTTGTGGATGCGGCTAATGAGTGTGCGCGCGCCGGCCGCTGCGTTGTCGTCGCCGTCAATAAGTGCGACCGGTTGCCCCGTCAGGGTCGCCTTCCTGACCAGCTGATGACCACGGTCCGGAGCTTGTTTCCCGATGTGCCGGACCGGCGCATCTTCGGCATCTCCTGTCTCGATGCCCGCCAGGAGATGAGGTCGGGATCCGGTCAGCAAGACCCGGGCCACATCCAGCGCTTTCTACAGGGCTTGATCGCTACCTTTGAGGAGCTTGCCTCCCCGGCGGGCATTGACGAAGACGCCAACGGCCAGTACGACCGGTCCTACTGGGAGGACTCCCTCGGAGTTACTCACCGACAGAGCTCAAATCTACAACGCTGTCTAGAAGACCTCGACGAGTTCCTAATCCAAACCCAGCCATCAACTTACCATAAACACAGGTTCGAGGAGGAAGTCGACATCGTCACCGCGGCCGAGAACCTTCGTGCAGCTGCCGATGCCCTGGCTAAAATTACGGGTAAGGGCGAGAGTGGAGACGTGGAGGATGTGCTTGGAGTAGTGTTCGAGAAGTATGATTCATCCCCCTTTGCTCATTTTCTTCTATCCTTCAACATCTATGTGGCTAATCGTTGGAACCAATTTGAAACAGGTTCTGCGTTGGAAAATGAACAAGATAGCCCGCCCTGAGTAATCAAGGGAACAACTGCAATCGCCATGTCACCGTCTCAACCCCCTCCCCGAGTGCAATTCAGCCGCTGAGGAGTACATTTGCATCTAGCAGTTGGTTCCAGCTTGATGATTCATATCGTTATATCCGCCCCGGCCCTGCATTTCTGGCTGTTCGGGCGGGGTCGAGACCGTGGTGGGAGTTGAAGAGGTGGGGGCGTTGTATCCACCACGACCCATGGAGTCCGTAGGTATGGGAGGAGTCGTGCGTGAGCCCATATTTTGAGGTCTGAGGTCGCTGGACGGCGCGGTTGAGATGAGTGTGGGTGCTGCAGACGTAGAAATACCCATGAAGAGGCGGATCGGAAGGATGGGTTCCGGTTAGGAGCCGTGGTCTCGGTGTGCTAAGTGGTTTCAGAATCGCAGTCACGGAGGATAGGCTAGATATCGCGCTGGACCTGAATTGCGTCCTGCAGTTAGACTGCAGTGGATTGCAGTAGCGAACGGCAAACAACTTAGAAGGATATGACAAGCACAAAGGGAGGCGAGATGGACGCCGTGGTCTCGATTCCGTTCAATGTTCATATAGGCATCATCCACTAGACTTCAAAATCCCAGAACAAAGGGTTGCCTACATACACCTGCCCAGAGGTGAAGATGGCGATTTGGAGGCCAGACCAGTTTCACAGTTAGGTATGAATGGAATACCTAATAATGCTCAATTGTCTCTCCACATGTACGCCTATTGGCCTCATCGGGTGTTTGTTTGCAACGGACCAACCTCCCGGACGCGGTCTTCCTCTTGTTCTCCCGATGCATGAGCAACTTTGTTTGAAAGCTAGTAGATAGGAAAACGGAGGATAGGCTTGACGCCGGAAAACAGTCATGACGAGATTATTCATGCGGGGTGAGCAGGGCTGTGCTGTTACCACTGAGTCAGGACCCGATTCATTCTTTGAATAGTGATCTCGTCGAGACCGGGTAGAAGTAAAGCATGCATAACCTTGATGAAACGACACAAGATGGCCAAGGGCTTGGGCTTGGTAGAAGGGCTTCATGCATCGTTGCTTTGTCCACATATAGGATTACTCACCCATGAATAAGGAAAAGACAAATGGAAGAGGGAGAGAGACATCCTACACGGCAAGCTCAAACGCTTCGCCCTCCAACGCTGTGTAAACTGATGAAAGAGAAGATTCCGAGTCCCAGTCTTCGTCTTCCTCGAGCTCGTTTTGATATGCTGTACTCGATATCCATATGGAGTCCAAGGGATATTTTGCAGTTCGCGCTTCGATGATTGAATTTGGTGATTCCGGTGAAAAAGCCAGTGCTTGTGTTCGGTCAAATGTTATCTCTAAAGGGGAACTGATCCCTCTGGGTTTTTCGAACGAGTCAATATGAGATCGCGCGCTGGATTTGGGACATGAGCGTTCGACTCCAAGGCCAAGAGTATGTTCTTTGGCGAGGAACGCTCGCGGCATGCTTCTGAGCCCCGGCATTGCATGACTGGGGCTGGCCTCTCGACGCATGTGTTCCGGTGTATGGGATCGGCTTGGGGGAAGCCCTTGCTCTAGAGTCCCTGGTAGCTCTTGGGGAATGACTGTTGTCGTTGAAGTCAAATGAGTGTCCATTGGAGAATCAGACCAAGAGCCCAGTGCTGTTCGTCGGGAATACTGGTCGTTCTTGTCCGCTGGAAAATAAGAAGTCCAGCCAGGCACGATGCCAAACCTCGATAGACTTGATTGCTGCATTTGATACAACAAGTTCTGCACCTCTATTTTCGTTCTTTCGGAGATGTTCAACGACGGTGCAAAGCCGATTCTGTCCACAGTAAGACCTATGTTGGCATCCTCTTTCGCCGCTTCCAGGCTACAAGACAAGAGTAACCGCAGGACATCAGGATGCCCGTAGTAAGCGGCGTGACGGTAGGGCGGCCAGCCCCTTTCATCACGCTTGATGGCCAATGCGCCTCTCTGAAGCAACAGGGTGACTACCGAAAGATGGCCCCCCATCGCTGCTAGACATAGTGGAGAATCTTCTTCAGACATCTCTTCGTAGGGTAGATAGACCGGTGATCCTCGATCTAATAAGTTCTGCACGGCAGCGGCATGACCGTACCGACATGCCACGCAGAGCGCCCGATCTCCTGCAGAATCGCGTGCCTCCAGGGAAGCCCCCTTATCGCAGAGTAAATTGAGGAGCCCCATGGACCCATCAGCCGCTGCTATATGAATCGATCTCCGAAGGTCGGGGTTAGCACAGGCTTCTATATCAGCGCCCGAGATGAGCAGCAGCCTAGTGACATCCAAGCTATTGGCCAGGCATGCGTAATGAAGAGGAGTGAAACCAGAGTTGCAGCGAGTCTCCAAGTGTATACTCTTGCGAACCAGATGCTCGACGACTGCGAATTGTCCATTCATCGCGGCTAAATGCAGAACCGTTCGACCAGCAACGTTCGTCTTGGACAGTACGCTCCTCTTGGGGCTCAGAACATCCACGACCTCGCTATGCCCATTAAAAGCTGCCCAATGCAAGGCTGTCATCGAAGCATCATCGACACACCGTGTGGAGGCTTTTCGTTTCAGCAGCCACTGGGTCGCAAACAATTGGCCCGTAGCGGCCGCGCAGATAAGGGGTGTTCTGTGATCATTGCCCATTGCATCAATATTCGCTTTGTTGTCAAGAAGTATCTCAATCACTCTGAGATGACCAGCTTCGCAAGCGTAATGCAGAGCTGTCATCATCATTCCGTCCTTTGCTTCAACATCTGCGCCTTCTGAAACCAGAAGGTGGACAATCGCTGAATCACCTTGTTTAGCGGCAGCATGCAGCGCAGTTGTCTGGTTATCTGCTCGCGCATTGAGCTTAGCATGGCATGCGATCAGCAAGCGCGTGGCATCAACATGACCATAGTAAGCTGCCAGCCAGAGGGCCGTTTGGCCATTGAAGTTTCGGGCATCGATATCAAAGCACTCAGGTAGAAGAAGTTCCATTACACCACAGTGACCGCGCGATGAAGCTAGATGTAAAGCCGTCGACCCGGACTTATCGGTGACATCCACTCGCGCATTCCTATGAAGCAACAATTCTACCACTTCTTCATTTCCATGTTGAGATGCGACCAGTAATGCCGTCCGGCGAGTGGAAATATGGCGGGATTCGATCTCATGGCCATTTTCAAGAAGCTGTGCAACGTCGGCACGAGACCCTGTCTGGGCTGACTGGACCAACAACGGTGCAGTCGAACCGTCTGCTGAAGCCAAGTCGTTGCTCGTCCCCATGTTCCCTTCGTAGGCCCGCCGCTCCGTGCGGCTACGAGCCGGGCATTGCGCGGGAACTGCGGACCAGCTAGGTCGTCTGAATTGTCGAATGATGGACCGAATCCTCTCACGTCGGGAGCCGGACGAGCGAGAGAGGCGTGAAGAGGCAGTCACACCCGACACATCCGATTGCCATCGGCGCGTCTGGGTTGGGCTCAAGGTGACGGGTTGCGGTATATACGATACGCTCCGCTTGTGACCCTGGGACGGACCAACTGCCGTAGGAGGCAAGCGGAGTGGAAGCACCAAGCGATTTATGTCTAAAGACTGTGGACTCGACGCAGATTTGCTCGTCTCAGTGCCATCCAGGGTGCTGCTATTGCGATTCCGACGAAAGGGAGAGATTGCTGTCGCGGTCGCGAGAGTCTCAGAAGGCAGTGCAATCTGCATGCATGGGAGGCTATTTCTCTCAGCCTTCTCGACTTCGGATCGAGTACTCACTGGGGCTGATGAGCGGCGATTCATGTTGCTAGATAGCGTGCAAGAGGATGCGTAGTCACTGACTGTCCGCCGGGTTGCACCTTCCTCGTAAAACGTCTGTATCGTCCTGCGATTGTCTGTTCGTCGTAATGGATGGTAGGTCTGCGCAGAAGAGGTCTGATGCGACTGATTTCGCCTTAATCGAGTCATTGATGCTTTTCTGCCCCACAAGCAGAGAGATAGCGGAGGAGAGGGAGGAAGAGAAAACGACAGACAAACAGAGAGAGAAAGAGAGGGAGCAGAAGTGACTGGCCTGGTTTCAGCCGAAACTCCATTGTGTTAATATGACTATTCTTCCTTGCGCATGATGTTCGGAACCCAACTGTGCAGCATCATGGCCCGATGTGCCAAGTGTCAGCGTAATTGCATTTCATTTTTCCCGGAAGAGCTTCCTTGACCGCAGGGCCAGTGTTCGGCTCGATCTAGAGCATTGGCTTGTACGTGGCCCAATGATGCAGAGGTGTGATGTCAGCTTTTGGCCGAAGCCATTGCAAAAGTCGTCAGTTTGGAATTACCGCGCGCGGTCAGATCTGGAAGGAAGATCGAGACGAAGATGGTCGGTCCGTCCGTAACACTAAGAAGTGAGGAAGAGAAGGAAAGTATACATTGTCCGCGGCGCCGCCTTTTAATCTATCCGGCTCGTTTTCGAACATGCAGAACCCTCGGCTTTCAAGCCCACCGATCCTCTTAAAGACAAATCGTCTCATTCACCCATACACCCTCATGAAACGAAACATTGTTCGAGGCAGGAGGTAGGACAGGAAACTGCATTCGCCCACGAGAACACTTTTTGCTTTTCCTTTTGTCCTACATTCTCTGTCTCTCTTTCAAGCACTAAGGGCATTTTGCTGGATCCCAGCTCTTTAGACTACCCTCGCAATGAACGTCTTATTGCACGTTTGGAGGCAGCTGCGCCGACCTTGTGTGTCCTCTAGGCTTCGTTAGGGCCCTCTGGGACTTCAATCTGGCTCTTCCGAGCATCTCAGGCCAGTCCAGCGGCACGACAAGTGAGTCGCTTATTGTCAGCACCGCCGTGATGTCTCGTTCAGGTGGTTGTTCAAGTGCGAGTGGCAACTTTAAGCCTCATTCCAGGAGGACATTGTCGAATAGAGTTACGTGAGAAGGATAGTTAACGCTACCACTCGCAACATGCGGGATCTAGCCAAATGGCGGTGGCCGCTTGTTTACGGGTGCTGTGATGAGAATGTCGTCTTTCTTGGCGATTGTTGAGGACTGCCTGTCATAATCACTTGTTCCTGGTAGGTATCTTTCCGCGGAAAATGACATCGGCAATTAACGCATTGCCGCGTCACGAAACATAATCTGCTCACACTTGTGCTCGGTGAAGCCGTGACTCTCGACCTGCTTCATTGGAGTCTGATGCGAGCCTGGGATACTGAGCATTCCGCTCAAAGCTCGAGCAACTGCGGGCGAGTGGAGTTCCTGAGAGGGCATTTGACGAGCCCGTCATGCACCCTTTCAGTTCCGAATATTGTCCATGGAAAACAGTCTCATGGTAAGAGGAGACGGAAAAGGAGAAGAAAGTAGATGGTGCTTAGGTACTGTACCTTGATTACCTTGGTTATGATAATCAACCCAGGGAGCAGAACCCCACACAACTTTGTCTGGTCGCCCCCCAATCGGAGAACAGCCATCATCGTCTCTCCGCACTGCCAAGAGCACCCGCTCTCGGAGAATGTTCTTTAAGAGTCCGTCCGGTATGAGGCTGTCTACGCAGAAACGGCGTGGATGTATACTGTCCTCTATATCGTACATACATCGCTCTCAAAGCTTCCAAACTGCCCAGTCCTTTAGGTTCAGCTCTTTAATGATCCCCCGGAGTGGTCCCTGCAATTCCATTCCCTCAGCCCACAGCTTAGGTCCTGCCATATGGCTGATGAAACCCTCCGGACCAGACACAAGGATCAGATTCTCTTGGCCCGGGTTGCGAGACGATGATTCGGTTGTATTGGTGAAACTCAATATCGCTTGCTTGCCAATTGCATTGCCTTCTTCATCGACAAAATAATCTACGGTCATTTGCCCAGGATATTGTGCTTGGAGAGCCTCCAGCTCTCGAACAATGAGAGAACGGCTTTCTCTAGGGATGGGCGCGACCGGAGCTGAGCTGGCCGTTGATGCAGCTGAACGGCCGAAGAGCCATGATCTCTGCGGAGATGGAGCTACTACTGTATCACTGACCCCCCCAACACAATCGTCACGTTTGCGATTAGCCCAGAGGATATGAATTCTAGGTTTGCGAGTCTGGTCTGTGCGTCGGAGAAGAGAGTGTGCGGCCTGTAATGCCGGGGCAATCCCGGTACCACCAGCGATGAAGAGAATCTGCTGAGTGTCCGGTGGGATCCCGCATTCACTTCTCGGGCCGCGCACCTCGATGGGAGAGCCTATATCGAGGCTATGTAGGTAGCGGGAAACTTCGCCATGGGGATCCCGTCGGATGAAGAATCGCAAGCATTCGTCCTCCTCCTCTTCTGGAGAGGTCAATGGAAGAGGAGTGTAATCTCTTCCGATCTGCAGCTGGGGCTGTTTGAACATCACACTCCAAATACCTGTTGTCCATGCTTTCTCGTAAACGGCGTGGTTGCTTCCGTCCACCTTAGGTGGCTGTAGAGTGAAAATGCTCCCGGACGATGACACAGGTTCCCGAGACACTAGATAATATGGAGTAAATTGAGTGGGAGTCAGAGTCGATGAGCGGGAACCCTGTTCTGATCTAATGTATGCGCCAATCCCGCCGGCAGCGGCTGTTATGAGGACCAGCTGCACCCATCGACGTGATTTCGGCGGCGGAGGAGGCGGGGAAGGAGAAGGAGAAGGGGGAGAGGGTGAGGACGGCTGCGATGATGTTGCGGAGGCGGAAGAAGAGGTATGGCATCGGGGGATCCTCGTCACCTGCCTCCCCACGATGGAGGGCGCATTGTACCGACGAAAGTTCTGGCAGGAAAGTCGGGACTTCATGTGGATGGCGGAGATGGACCGGAGAAGCTCTAAAACGCGCAGGTTTTGTTGCAATAATAGATTAGTTTCAGGGACCGGAGATCCCTCGGCACTAAGCCCGATCGGGCGGCCACACCCTCCCTTAGTCTATTCATCCATCCATCCATTCCTCTATTCACTTCCTCTCATTGACACAACCCGTGGACATAGTTCTCCTTCAGTTCTCCACCCTGTCCAACTCTCTCCTCGCCAATTGCGTTGCTCCTCCTCCTTTGGTGTCATTCATCATCTTTCCTGAAAATACATCATCTCTCCCTCGCCTCGCCCGCACATACCTTGCCCAGCCCCCGTCAGGAAATTGGCATGGACACAGTCCGTGCCCTGTCATCGTCCGCCATCCACCTTCACCTAACGCAAGTTCTGATCACATCTGACCACCGGTGGGAGGCATGTCCCGTATAGTTCTCTCCAACTCCGAACAGAGGTCGGACAATTATCATGCACCAGCCCGTGACTCCCTTGAGCTCGCCTCGCTGGCGTCATCACCTGACTCCGGTCCTCGATCATCCTGTTCCTCCTCTCCTTCGGGTATCTCCTCTTCGCGCAAGCTTTCTCTAGATGAAGAAGATCCTTTAGCCAGCTCCCACCTTCAGACGCAATCAACCTCCGGTCGCCCTCGATCCGCGCGCTCATACTCGGTGTCCTCCGCCTTTGATTTTGGGGCTACGCTCTTTCCCTTGTCGCAAACCACGGGAGGGTATGCTCCTTTGGGAGCCCCGTCCGCCTTGGACGGAGAGGCCGGCCTAGCTGACGGATCGCTCGAGCGGAACAAAACCTTGACATATGTGAATGGTCTGTCACTCGTGGTTGGGTTGGTCATTGGTTCCGGGATTTTCTCCTCTCCCAGCCAGGTTAACGTCAATGCGGGGTCGCCAGGTGCGTCGCTCATCGCGTGGGTAGTAGCTGGCTTGTTGGCATGGACCGGAGCGGCCAGCTATGCAGAGCTGGGTGGAGCGATTCCGCTGAACGGGGGCTCTCAAGTGTATCTTGCCAAGATCTTTGGTGAATTGGCGGGATTTCTGTTCACCTGGTGCGCAGTCCTCGTGCTGAAGCCTGGCAGCGCTGCCATCATCGCCATCATATTCGGAGAGTACGTCGTGCGGGCAGTTGTGGGGGCTGAGGTCGAAACGATCAACCCATGGATAAACAAGGCCGTAGCCTTTGGTGGACTTTTCGTTGTAACCTTGTTGAATTGCATCTCTACACGGGTAGCCGCACGCATCGGTGACTTGTTCATGTTTTTCAAATTCGTTGCGCTGCTGGGGGTCACCATCATTGGTATAGTGGTCGCTATCACAGGCCTATCTTCGACCGGGAGTGCCAACAAGGAGTGGAAAACTGGCTGGTTTGAGGGTACTAATGTCGACGTTTCCGCATGGGCTTTGGCTTTATACGCGGGTCTCTGGGCATTTGATGGTTGGGACAATGTATGCTTGGCTTCCGGTTTCTCCCATGCTACAGCAGCTTCTAACGCAACAATGTAGACCAACTATGTCACCGGGGAATTCAAAAACCCCAACCGAGACCTCCCACGGGTGATTCACACAGCCATGCCATTAGTCATTCTGTCCTATATCTTGGCCAACATTGCCTACATCCTCGTTCTACCTCAAGCGACCATCGAAGCGAGCAACACCGTTGCTGTGCAGTTTGGCGACAAAGTCTTTGGCCATGTGGGAGCCCTAGTCTTCGCACTGATCGTTTCAGCAAGTTGTTTCGGTGCTTTGAACGCCACCACCTTCACCAGTGGACGATTAGTCTACGCGGCCGGCAAAGAGGGCTACCTTCCCGAAGTATTCGGTGCTCTGTGGACTCGCGACACTTCCTCCGCCAATCGCCTCCAACACCGGTCTTGGTTGAGCAAATCGCTTTCCCGACTGTGCGGCTCCGGCACGCAAATCGGTTTCACCCCCATAAATGCTATGGCCCTGAACAGTGCTCTCACTTTGAGTTATATCGTCGTCGGCGAATTTAAAACACTCGTCACGTTCTATGGAGTCGCCGGTTATACCTTCTATTTTCTCACTGTCCTAGGTTTAATCGTGCTCCGCGTGCGAGAGCCGTACCTGCAACGACCTTACAAGACCTGGATCTCAACTCCGATAATATTTTGCTGCGTCAGTTTGTTCCTGCTGAGTCGTGCTGTCATTGCAGAGCCTTTACAGACTTTGATCGTGGTCGCCTTCATCATTGCCGGTGTTCCTGTCTACTATTGGCGCATCTACAAACGCGACGGTCGAAAGGCGTTGCCCAGTTGGAAATTCTGGCAGCGAACCGTCCGGTGATTTCTGTTTCACATACGAAAGACCCCTATAATGTTCAACCTACATACTTATATAATATCATTATCCTTCGCCTTCGTTGTGGCTCTTTTGCATGTCGTTCGGCCCTTTTCCTGTTGTTTCAATGCAAGCAAGAAATTTCTGCATCGGATGAGAGAAGAGGGGCTGTGTTGCAGGGCCCCTATGACTTGATGATACCCATTTGCATTATTCGGGTGCATGGTATGACGGATGCCAGGGGATCTTGCTTTCTTGCTTTCTTTATCCTTTTTCCCATAATCATGACCTGAGCACTGTTTGTATTGTCACCTCGGCGCGAGGATGAAATGTCGCTTGCGGAACGAGCGAGGCGGGCGTCAGTTTGAGCCCTGAGGGTCCTTCACCTTCACCCATCATCATTGACATAGAGATACCGCACATGGGCTGACATGACAGCATCGTCATGCTGAAAAAGCTTGACTTGCACCCGTGTATGATACAGAATATACCATTGCTTAATTCATGGATGGACTCCATGCTCCTGAAATGCTGTCGGTTACAGTAAACCTGCCGTATCAAGTTCGTCCCATATATCCGCCTGCAATAGAAGGGCAGGACTGGCCTCCATCGAAGGATCTGGCTCGCCATCCCCTCCCCGAGCGAAGAAGTGCAATCTCGACTGGTTTTGCTTGTCCGGCGAGAGATAGATTCGGGTTGAGATGACCGTTCGTTCGTTGATGAATACTTCCAGCACACTAGCATCCCAAAATGCATGAATTCGGAGTGTCTCCTGCTTTTGCTCACCCCGTTCAGTCTCGAAAGTGAACAGGGTGTGTGCCGCACTCTCGGGATCATGGTCTATCTCAGGTTCTATAGAGGAAGGACGTAAGATGATGAATTTCTCTATGGCCACTTGCCAGGACAAAGTAGTGCGGTGTTGAGCATCTGCACTAAACATCAGTGATAAGCTCGAAAAACTCCCATCTGTCACTATTGCAAACGACATACCCAGGCCATGATCGATGAATAGTCCTACTTCAGTGCAGCAGTTACTAACCAATATCTCCGCTTTAAGCTCCCATTTGCTTGTCTTTGTGAATAGACCGGTATCTGGCGGAGTTGGGTGGTCGCCCGCGCCCTGTAGAGAGATATCAGCTAGAAAACTTCTGTGCGCCTTGCTTCGAAGCTTCTCGACTCTGGGATCGGGCCTGATACCCAGGGTGCGAACAGTATAGGTCCCTCTGGGGTCAACTTCCAACTTGATAGATGTGATATCAATGAGCTCTGAGCAACGCGCACGCATTACGCAGTGCAGTGTTATCATGTTCACAACTCGAGGTATAGAAAGTACCCCGCTCCAACCTTGCTCGTGCCGCATGTTATCAGGAAGACTGTCTTCTGCGATCCAAGAGTAGACTACATGTTGTGACGTGACCGGATCCCAGAACGAATTGGCTGCGTATCCACACCCGTGATCGAGAATTCCTGAGAACGCTTACGTAGCGAGAGCCTGGTCCTGCGTCTTGGTGTTTGAGCAGACATCGATGGACATCCAGAGCTGTGCTCGTGCTGCTCTTCTGCGCGGTTTGCCTCGCGTTGAAGTACCTTCAGCTCCCATGATGACAAAATCGTGGGTACGGTTCGTGTCATCCGTCAGCGAGACAAAGTTGGCGACCTCCCAGTTGACTCCCATGTCTCCCGACCATTGTGAAGGTTGAGATCGAGGTTCGATGCGAACCAGGAGTCCCACATAAATCCACTCCCGTAAGTTCTGGGGGTTGATTGAGTACACAAAGACAGTTGGGGTTTCCCCAGCGATACCTCCAGAAATGAACCCGCAAAGGTTGGATGACGGTATAGCTCCCGGTTGCTTTAAGATAGCTGACCATTGAGTAATGAAGGGATCCCTCCAGCCTGTCACTTGAAGATGTTTGGGAGGGCCCGGCAAGATTGGGTTGCAGTCGATGCGCTGCCATGTTGTTCCCCCGTCTTTAGACGTTGCCAAACTGAGGGATTCAGAGCCAAAGACATAGGGCAGCGTGTAATGAATTGGTAGGCTTTTCACGGAGGTGTATACCGTGGTCAGGGTCCCAGGCTCCCCGTCGATTGCACCATTTCTCCGACAGCCTGTGAACACGCCACACCGGTCATATTCGGCCGAGGGAGCCAGACACGGCTCGGTATCTTGTTTCCAGGTAAGTAGATCGGATGAAACACAGTGTGCCCATGAAATGTTTCCCCAATCGTTCCCCTTGGGGTTCCATTGGTAAGACAGATGGTAGAGACCAGTTGAAGGGTCATATAATAGTCCACATGGGTCGTTCAGCCATCCATGAGGCGCGGTGATATGATACGACGGGCGCCACTGTTTGGTCTTATCAGAACCTATCTCCTGCTTGGTACTGCTGTCTCGATGGGAGCCCTTGGTGTCTGATAGGGACGGTGATGGATGCAAATGCATGGCGATATAAGATCTAGTACGCTACTCCCGATCGATAGCTGAGGCGTGAGGTCAGCCTATAAGCGCTGCTTGAATGCAACCATGAAGGCGAGCCAAAGTGGTCGTAGGGACGAGCACATGAGCGAGCGATGGTTGGGAGAGCGAGAGAGGGAGTTTTGTTTGCATGCGCGACACCGTACAGTACACACGAAGGGGGCTGATGTCGGTGCGAAAGGTGCGGTTAGAAGCCTGTGGACATGAAGGGGAGAGATGATTATTGCGTGGTTTTAAACCATTCCCGGCGGATCCTCGGCAAAACTCGTCTTGTCCATCGACCATCCAATCCACCATCCACCCGTCACAGCATCAGCCACAGCCTTCTTCACCGGCACTATGAGTTCCTTGACGCTGTATGCTAAGATGCTCATTGTTGATTCAATGCTTTACTGAAGGCGCGGTGGACGCCGAATCGACTGGACTTTTGCCGGGCGAAAGTGCTACAGATACAATATGGTCTATTCAATGCAAACGAGAAACCATCAAGCGTTACGCCGGTATGTTTTTTTTTGTCATACCATGGTAGTCACAATTCTCTTCCTTTAAGTGCCAGCGTTTCCAACGTCACCATTTCGACGCCAGGGATGGGTTACAGAAAGTTATTGTGGCGCCCAGGAATCACTAGCTGCATGAACGGAGCTCAACAACGCCTTATACTTGTCCATGAAGGGATGGTTGCCTCCACGAAGTGTGTTCAACAGAAGCAGATAGTCTCCTGTCAGTGATTTGGGAAATGTTCCGGCATCTGCCATAGGAGAAATTGGCAGTTGCATGTTCGGCACCGTTCCAGCTGGTGACGGCACCGTGATTCCTTTGGCGAGAGGCATTTGAACATTGTATAGTACGCTGGTCGCTCCTACTGCGATATCATACAGTTTTTCCACCTAAGGTAGTCAGCGCGTGAAGAAAACAAATGGATATTGGCAGTTGACGCGTACCAGACCTATTCCGTGAGCTTCCATGGAGCTTAAACGCAGAGCACGGCATATATCCAATGTGTCCTTTGCAAGCGTTACAGCAAAGTCAAGACAGAGCTCGCGGTGCTCGGATACAGGCCGTAAGAACCCGTGAGTGGAGCAAAGCACCCATATCCGGTTCTGTAGCCACTTTTTCGTGATGAAAACATCCGCACATTGTGTCTCTCTCAAACCTATCGTAGGGCGATTTTGGTCCCCACCAAGAGCTAACTTAGAGCGTTCGAACCAGTCGTAATCTTTGTAGAGCTCAGATTCGCTAACTCGGTTGAGGTTTGAATGGATCACCAAGGCCTTTGCCGCTGTGAGTTGTTCGCAGTAACCGGCTTTGATGCTGCATTGTTGATTCCAGCAGTCGACAACATCCTCATCGATGGCATCGAAAAGCTCCATCAAGCGGGCTAGACCCATCATTCCTTCGGCATCCTTTTCATTGTGGACGATAATCCCCGATACCAGACTGTGGGTGGCAGTGTGAATGAAGTCATGAACAGGCCGCATACTAAAGCCCGGTCTCCCCCAAAACGTGATAGGATGTCTACGTTGCAAGGCATAAGCCCTTGACGGTTGAGCACCAGTCAGTATAAGGTTTCGAGTTTGACGAGCATTGGCATGCAACCTACCTTTCGGTGATCGATAAGACAAGGTACGTCCGTAACCGCTGGCCCTTTTCCTCGCTAGGTAAGTCTTGATATGAAGCTGGATTATTGAGGCCGAGTGTCGCCGCGAGGTCCAAAGCCTCCCGCAGGCGAAGCCAAGCTGCATTATGCTGATTGCTACCAAAAAGACACCCGAAGAGATAGAAACTGGTCAAGACAGCCTCAATGGTGGGGTGCTCGCCAAAATCGGAACAGCTTCGCATCTTGGTTGCTTCGTGCATCATCGACCTCGCTTGATTCGCTCTGGAGGAGGAGGTCGGGCGCTCCTGTATCTCTATCGGTTGTGTGAGAGAAAAAGCACATAGCGCCAGTAGCATTGAGCCAAACTGAGGATTTCTTCGATGCTCGTGCGCCATCATCCGGATGAAAAGAGCCGAGCGGTTCAGGACTGGCAGTGTTGGGTGCAGACGATCAAAGTAGATGTCAATCCACGGGATCATGTTCGCTTCAACAATCGATGCCGGCCACACCATTTGCGCATGGTTGGAATCTAGGGGTACAACACCCGGCTTCGGTACTGTGATACTCGTAGCCGGGATATTTTGCGTCTGCAGGTTTGCAGACGTTGGGTCGGCCTCTATAATGGAGGGAAGCGAGGTTTTCAAGAGGATGTTGTTGCCCGGGAAGTCAAAAACAGGCAATTGAGCATCCAGGGTATCTGGAAGCCAGTATTCGACATCATTGCGCTCGTTCCAACCGATTCCACCATTACTCTGGGAGTCGGAAACATCTGTGCTCCAACCTGGTTGAATAGATGGAGTCGCACTTGACGGAGCGAGTTCTATGGATACCGGGGCTTCGCCCGGAATTGGCCAAGGCGGGGTCTGAACCTCGGGACCTTGATTCCCTCGAGACGAGGGGTCCGGTTGGTAAGGAAAAGAGCTTGGAAACGAATTGGATGCCCCCTGAGCCGGAGTGTTGTTCAGTGAGAGGTTATTATTTTGTTGCTGCCGAATCTGTGATACACGGCTTTGATTCCCGAAACGCAACAGTTAAGATGACAACGGACCAAAAACAGAAAAAGAAAAGAAAAAGCGATAAAACTAGATAGATGAATTCACTCACTGGCCAGTGGGACCTCTCTTCTTCTGAGGCTGGAAAAAGGTGCATTCAAAGCCCATGGAGACACATGCTCTACATGGTTGTGACAAGCTGCACTGTCGTCACCAGATGGGTTAGCTATGATTCCCCACATCTTGGAGAGGGAGGGGGACAGGAGAGGAGAGGAACAAGGGGCTGAAAGAGCAATCCAAATTTGAAAGCTCGGCAAGCAGGCAGAGCAGGCCCAGACCAGTGCAAGCATGGGGAATTAGAGGGGAGATGATGGGTCACATGCCTTGATTTTCCGAAATTTACATTGATCGCATGCGCGCTTTGCAACAGCTCCCGCTGGCTTCCTGCGGGATTCAGAACGGATGGCGCCGGTCACTGACGATGTTGCGGCAACATCCGAGCGTGGCTGGTTCATGATTGTGGCATAGTCACCATTAGAACTTGGAGTTAATCAGTGGGGTAGGGATGCAAAAGCATCTCAGACTATTATGGCCAAGCAAATATGCATGCAAGTACGTGGCAAGTACGGAGGTAGTGCAAGTAGCCCTGAGGTAAGCAGGCACAAGAGTGGGATGGGGATGATTTTGGGGGTGGGGGTTGGGGAAGGAGGGGAGGGGGAGGGGGGGTAGGAGGAGGAATCGAATTGAAGCCGGGTTCGTTCGGTAAGGTACGACGAACAATAGGTTGGTCGGTCGGTCGGTCGGTCGAACACTTGGCGGGGCTGCAGTAGTAATTGGGGGAAAAGTAACAAGGGAAATATTGAGGAGAAAACCAACCAAGTTACCTTAGGTTAGGTTCAAATTTCACAGCAATGGATGTATGCCCACTTTTGTTTCTCCTTCTGGAACACTATAATCAACGTTTGCCATCCTGTAGTCAACCTAACAATCCGCTTACTTGGTTAGTTCATTGGCGCAATCCGCCGCAGTGTCAGTCAGCCTTGGGCCCGGTCCAAGGCACCTTATTGTTGTGGAATAACTGCTTCCGCTTATCGCTGTCATTTTGAGTGTGAGGAGAATAATCTACTAGGCATTAGCATGTAATATCAAGGCCTTATTTATCTCTGCCTCTTCGCTACCTACTTGTACGTAGATCATTGTTTCGACTTTTGGCTATTACTTACTACTACTACCTTTCGATTCACCTAACCATTCCAACCCGAGGTTACCAAATATGGGAAGTGCTCAACAGTGGGAACAGATTGTCGCTCGAAAGCGCCTGCTGCGTATTCAGAGTCTAGAGCCATATGTTGTCACCGATCTTGGTTGGCGCATTTCTCGAGTGTACCACGTTCATGAGCGCACCGTCTTACATGACGCACCGGAAGTTCAGGAAATTACAAACATTTATGGTATTCCTCAACTCCTTGAGCAATTGAAATTAGGAAGAATCACCGCGGAGCAGACAACTTCAGCCTACATCAAAAGGTACTGTACAGTACCTTCGTTATTATGTCACAAGCGCGAAGATGATTTCAAATTATATGCTGACCCCAACATGCCTTATCCCAGAGCTGTGGTAGCACATTAGCTGGTGATCATGGGCGTATACCATAGGACGCCGAACCTGGACTGTAGGTTACTAATGAGAGCAAATCACTAGACAAATTGCCTGACAGAGTTTGTCTTTGAGGAAGCACTGGTGCAGGCTAGAGAGTTGGATCGTCACTTTCAACGTACTGGCAATATCAAAGGGCCGCTGCATGGGCATTCCAAGTCACACTGAAGGATCAATTCAACATCAATGGCATCGATAGTATACTGGGATACGTAGGTCGCTCGTTTTCCCCGGCCAGGGAAGACGCGGTCCTGGTACAGTTGCTGAGAGATATGGGTGCAATCGTGTTGGCCAAAACAAACCTACCACAGAGCATAATGGTGCACTGCCAGTTTATTTCGAATCCCAGTATGCCGAAAGCTAACTGCTCTATAGTGGGCTGGGACTGAGAATCCCCTCTAGGGATTAACCCTCAATCCACGCGACTCTGAATTAACCCCAGGAGGCTCGACTGGAGGAGACGCTGTGCTTCTGGCACTGCGCGGTTCGAATCTAGGGTTCGGAACACACGGCTGAGGCTGACCCCGCTCCCGAGTAGTAGGCTCCCATACCACGGAGTCCCTGTTTCGACTGAAGGGCAGGAGCATGTGCCCTCGTCTATCGGTCCGATGGGAAGAGACCTTCTATCACTGTGCTATGTAACTCGGGCAATCGTTGGTGCTAAAACATGGCTGCTTGATCCCAAATGTTCCCCACTGCCTTGAAACGAGAGTGCCTTCCAAAAGATTCAGAGTCGGCGTATGGTCATTGGACTGATCTTGGACGACGGAGTGGTGAGAGTTCATCCGCCCATCGAACGAGTTCTCTGTGAGCTCTCAACTACATTCAAAGCACAGTGATGTGGAACGCTTCGGATCATCAGGAATGCATCCAACTCATGGACCTATTCTATACTGTAGATGGGGGCGAAGATGTCCGTCGTGATGTCGGGGCTGCGGGAGAGCCTTACATTCCCCACGTTGAGACGCTCGTCAACCGCGGCAAGGCTATCGCCGTCTATGAGTATTGGCAGCTCAACAAGAGGAAAGTCGCCTTACAGAAACAATATCTTGACAAGTGAAATGCGACTATGTCGCCCTCGGGGAAGCGCATCGATGTACTCCTCGCTCCGACGACACCTCATTCTGCTGTTCCTCATCGGAGTCTGCGGTGGGTTGGATACACAAAGATCTGGAACTTCCTCGACTACCCTGCCGTCACCTTCCCTGTGGATCGAGTCAAGGCGAACAGAGATTAGGTACCAACCGATTATCGGTCAAGGAACGAGCTTGATACATGGAATTGGAAATTGTACGATCCTAAGGCCATGGATGGACATCCGCTCAATCTCCAGGTGATTGGGAGGAAGCTGGAAGAAGAGGTCGTACTAGGTGCAGCGAACGCCATTGAAACCCTATGGAAGAGCATGTCGAAGGTGTTCGACCGATAGCGAATTCTGCGCATCCTCGGCAATGATACTCTCGCTCAAGGAAAGGGCTGTTCAAGTCACGTTAGTAACCCAGCTTATAGGTAACAACATACGAGGAAGCAGTCTTTCATTATCAATCAACATGTCCGCCCCCACCTTTTATCTGCTACGCCCCTGACTTAGTGTTATAGAAAGTTGGGGTCGAGTTCGGCAAGATTTTGGAGACAGTATGACATGGTTGGAGTAGATATGGTGGGGGTGGGGGGTTTTATTGGATTAGAGTATAATACTGTATATCATCGCCGGGTTGTAGACGCGATTGAAGTTAAGATACTTGTCAGGAAGAACAGCGATCCACATTACCATAGATCTATGCTGGAGTGGGCAGATCTGGGCTTATCTTTCGGGCTTTATCGAAGGCATGATTTATCATGGATAGATTCCCCTCATTTCCTCCCCACTCTTAGCACAAGAGCCCAACCAACCCCCGCAGTAGGCTGACGATAAGGTAAGACGAAATCGCATTTGATCTCAGTCTACAGTTATGTCCTGTTGGTCTTCTTCTGTTTAAATTTGGTTCAATGCTCTTCCTATCAGTTCTGTCCAAGTCATTAAGCAGCATAACATAATGGGCAAGAAGCGTGTTCAGGTCAGCTACGGAGTAGATATTGACGCCGTAGCCGGATGGCTGGGATCATACGGCGGAGAGGACAGTTCCAATGACATCAGTCGTGGTAAGAGCCCAGCAATTGTTGTATCTTCCGCAAGCTTCGCTAACCGGAGTGGTTCTTCCTTCCTCAGGTCTCTTTGCCGGCCACATTGGCACCACGCGGCTATTGAAGCTATTTGAGAAATATGGTATCAAAGCAACATGGTTCATCCCAGGTCACTCGCTCGAGACCTTTCCGGTGGAGTGTGCCATGGTCCGCGATCAGGGCCACGAGATCGGTCTCCATGGCTACAGCCATGAGAATCCAACGGGCATGAGCATCGAGCAGCAGCGTGATATCTTGGACAAGACCTACCACATGCTCTACAAATTCTGCGGCAAGCCGCCACGGGGCATTGTTGCTCCGTGGTGGGAAACGAGCAAGGAAATGGCCGACCTTTTGCTCTCCTATGGGATTGAGTACGATCATTCCATGTCCCATCATGATTGCCAGATGTACTGGCTGCGGACAGGCGACTCGTGGACCAAGATCGACTATAGTCAGAAGGCTGAGACGTGGATGAAGCCGCTAGTCCGGGGTCAGGATACGGGGCTGGTGGAAATTCCTGGAAATTGGTACATCGATGATTTGCCGCCCATGATGTTTATCAAGTCGGCACCGAACAGCCACGGATGGGTCAATCCACGAGACATTGAGGATATCTGGAAAGTCAGTTTGGTAAAGCTTCTTAACTCGATTAAATTACGCTAATGGATCGTGTCTAACAAGGACCACTTCGACTATTTCTACCGCGAGTACGACGAATTTGTTTTCCCCATGACTATACATCCTGATGTTTCTGGACGTCCGCATGTTCTTTTGATGCATGAAAGGTGAGTTGGGGCAGCTCAGTTTCTAATCAGAAGCACTTGCAGCTGAGTACTAACGACGGCAGAATAATTGAGCATATCAATGAGCACGAGGGTGTCGAGTGGGTGACATTTGAGCAATTGTGTGACGATTTCAAGAGCAAAAACAAGCCACCCGAGGGGGCAAGAATGCCCGAAGCTCCCATGCCATTTAAGCCCACATGATCAATTATCTGACTCCGTAGGACTCTTACTATCATCAAGTGAGGAAGAAGATGTTAGCAGCCTGAGGAATAGCCCTTCTGACTACTGCTCTGACACTGTATTTAATTTGCAACTTTGTGACGGGAGGTGCTAAATACCTGGCAAAAGAATATATCATCACTTGCCACACTATCGCCCACTAACACCATTGATATGTTACGTTGTGTTTAAATGAACGACTGATGGATTCAGCTCCTCGGAGGCTCAAAAAGTTGGGGTCTCATGTTGACCTTGCAAAGCTTAGAGACGCAACCACTTAACTGCAGTAGAGACTGTACGCCGTCCAAGATACGCATGTGTGTAAAGCCAATCTCACGAATAAATTCGAGTTTGGAGTGCTCCGATAGGGTCGGGATTGTCTTGGTCACTCGAAACATGGTACTGATGATATCATGGGAGGAGTATCCCAAATCCCTGATTATGCTTGTTAGTTCCAGGTCACCATACTGTAAAGAGATCCTGCGGATAACATACCATAGATCGTTCAGTGTATCGAGTGCTACGTCAACTTTGCCTTCCCAGCAAGCCTTGATCATGGCTTGAACCTTGATGGGATGTGGACTATCAACCACTCTAAAGACATTGTCACCGCTAACGAAGCCAAAGCCTGACCATGTACTCTGGAGGTTGTTTATGGCCTGACGCATGTCCCCTTCAGCGCTGAATACCAACGCGGCAATTCCTTCCTCGTTATGCTCCACCTTTTCAGCATCGCACACCTGCTTCAATCGCTTTACAACCTGAGCGTCCGTCAATCGGGCGTAGCGAAGAATGGCGCATCGTGATTGAATGGGCTCGATGATTTTGTTCGACTGGTTGCACGCGAAGGCAAATCGAGTTGTAGATGAGTAAATCTCCATGGTACGTCGCAGCGCCTGCTGGGCGCCAGACGTCATACTATAATTGCCCGTAAGTCAATGGGCTATGCGGGATGCGATTCCTGGGTTCATACCTATCTGCCTCGTCCAGGATAACAATCTTATGGCGACCCGGGGGCAGTGTAACTTTCTTCTGGGCGAAGCCCTTGATACGGTTTCGCACAACATCGATACCTAAGAGGACGGTCAATAGTGTTCGGATTGCTGCGCTGAGATGGGCATACCTCTTTCATCACTGGCGTTCAACTCAAGCACGGCTTCCTTATACGCCTCTCCCAGTAGCTGTCTTGCTAAGCACAAAATCGAGGTTGTCTTTCCGATACCGGGCATGCCAGAAATGATAACGTGTGGCATATTTCCATCTTTAGCGATGATCTTCAACCGTTCAATTGTTTCTGTGTTTCCCACAATATCATCTAGAAAGATCGGACGATATTTCTCCACCCTTAATATCACATAGTGTCAGTTTCCTCGTCCTTTGAGCACGGGAGTAGTGCCGTACCAAGGGAGCTCGTAGTCGGGGGGAGCGCCCGCCGTATGGGCCTTGAGTCCATTGCGGGCAGCGCTGGCTGAAGATTCGGCTTGGTTCATGGCAGATATGAGCGAGGTATGAGAGAGTAGTTGCAAAGCTCCAGTCAAGAGGTCAGTTTGCGCGGTGTGCAAGCAACAAAACGAATTGCTACCAACAGGTTTGGCTTGGTTTGGGCGGGAGGAAGACGCGCATGTCAAGGCGGAGACGCGTCGGGGATGCGGATTTTGCCCAAAGGAGTAGTAATTGATCGGAGCCTGGAGCCTGAGCTGAGCGTCAGCGCGTCTTTCTCGGCTCTATTCTCGCGCTCCCAGACGCAATCCTTTCTACTAGGTACGCCGGCGCTATACAGGTAGTGCTTGAACAAGGTGAACTCCACAGAATAAGTCACAGACACAGGGTTCTAGCCCACGATCTTGGAATTCACATGGAATTCTGCTGACCAGTTAATAGAACGGTAGAACAGACCGTGTTCTGCGTTTTCCACATTGCGTTCCTGATTCCAATTTCTGCCGTGGGCTCTGCACCTGGCATGCTTTGTCCACAACCCTCATAATCCTGATGCTGATGCCGTCCTGAGTGTCTTGATTCAGCTGCCCCATCATATCCTTATCTCCCACCGATACCTATCACAACCACGTTGGCCTTGGTTACCCCGAGAAACCTTAGAACATTACGTCTAGGTGCTCGGCTGAACATCCTGAATCTTTACCCCATGATTACGATAACAACAACAACAACCTGTATTTCAGTCAGTGATTCCTTGTACGGTGGATATCATCATGGGAACGACCTCCGTGCGTCGCAACCTCTTTCACCATCATCTCAGTAGACGCCCAGGTTCGGCCGTTCCTTCAAGCTCCTCTGCGCCGAACAACGCTACACACGGGGACGGAGCTCCGGTCTTAACCACGCATATGGCACCATCGATGTCCTCAGAGTCCGCCTCATCCCTGAGTTCCGGCGCCGTCGATAACGGGGAAATAGTGGTCCGGGACAAGAACGGCAGCTACAAGCTCGACATCCCGGTCCTCCCTTCTTTGATCAGCGAAGACGGTGTTGAAATGGAGGGTCTAGAAGGAGTCGGCGTTCAGAGTGGCTCACGAGCTGCAACAGTCAATACTGCAAATCAATCCGATATTTCAGGACGGGAGAAAGAGAGTAAGTGGAATCGTACTAGGGGTCTAGCGCTATTTAATGCAGACTAATGGTTATTTGTTATAGAAATCGAAACGACTCTACTTGAAATGTATCGGAACAAAAACAGGCGCATGAGTAGTGAACCAGCCGGTAAGCCTGTTCATCCGTTGCATAATGAATGAAGGCTAATCTGATATAGAAATTCTGATTCTCATTCAGCAGAGCCTTCGCAACAAAGTCGCCGCCTTAGATGAAGACAATTGGATGTACGAACCCGAAGTTGATTCCAACGTTTAAAGCATGCCCCTGTGGATACAGGTCTATCAACATTTATTAATACGCAAGGTTGATGATACGTGCGAACTGCATTTGTTTACATTGCGGAATATCCCTACAGCCTCATTTAATCAAGCTCCATACTTGCTGGGGGCGCCTCGACCCTTTTCGAACCCAGTCTTCCTTGAGGCGCCGTCCGGGATCCAGCGTCTTGACCACCCCCAAAGAGCATGCTTCCCATCATGTCTAGTAGGGGATTGCTTTGCCTGGGAACCTTGATCGCGAAATATTGCTCGCCCAGCTGAGCCAGGGCATCGTCCCAGATGCCAACCTCTCTGATGTGGGATGCATAATGAGCAGTCAACTGCTTGAAAAGGTCCGAACTACCGCGCTGGATCGTGAGGAGGAGCATGCTTATAAAATTGAGCAAAGGCAGCGCGGGGAAAACCCGCATATCAGAGCTAGCGCTGCTGACCTCCTGTACACCAAGCGTTGGATTCGAAGAAGAAAGTTTCGATGTGAATATAAGAAAAGCTTTGTTGGCGTTGCGAAGGTTTCCGATGAGGAGGTATGGGAACACGGCACGAGATGCATAGATTGCCGCTGTATGCGGTTCATCGTGAGTATACCACTCGTATTCAAGTTTCGCTAGGGTCTCAGCCGACTCGGAGGTACCGAAAATAAGATGCTTTTCGGCAACATATGGCTCATTGTCTATAATTTCAGGTTAAAGAGCTGAGCTGCCGTCTTGTCAACATCTCGTTTGAATCACATACCCTCGGCGTACACCGATCCAGCAGCATGATGCAATTCGGGGTCTCCTCTCTCCAAGGGCCCAAAACGACCACTCCATCCAATCATCTCTTGAATAAACCGTTTCCGTGTAGGTTCCTCGGGTGGAAATGCGTGCAGGAGCTCGATCAACCGCTCTGGTTATAGTTAAAGCTGCTAGTCAGCCTTAATTGAAGCTTGTAGGATAGCCCGTGACATATAGCAAGCTGTTCAAAGTGATGAGGGTACACCACACTTACTCTTGCGAGCCCGTCCCTCAGTGTCGTCATCGCCTCCGGTAATCCCCCAGCCCGCCTTAATGTATACCTCGACGACCAGCATAACAGCCAGGTCTCCACCGCTAGCTGAAGCACCCTGCTGGGAGCCAGCTTGCAAAAGAGCAGCAGCACCACTAGCTAAAAGCTCTGCTGCCACATCGTAGTTGGCTTGTTTGATATACCGGGCGGCGATGACTCGTAGTTGTTGATGAGCTTCATAGTAGGCACCAGACGCGATTCTAAAAGACAACCATATAGATCATTAGCCCGTACAATTCTCTCCTGTGAATGGAAACTTGCTGGACGCGCAGCGCGGGCCTTCCTCACTTCTCTTGCTGGCGAGCAATAGTCTTCTCGATGCGTGAGGTCATCTTGCAGTGGGGGGACCACCAGGGGACCTTTTTGAATGTCTGGCAAGAAGCTGGACACAATACCTCACTGGCCTGAGCCAGTTCTGACGGGAGCTATGTGTAAGAGCTCGAACTGTACACCTCTAGAGCTCAGATTATTTATCGTGCTTGAAAGTAAACTCTCATTGGCAAATGTCAAGGAAAGGGAGAAAGTCGAATGATGGACGACGACTTTTGGTGGGCGGGGGCGTCGAGAAGGCCGGCACGCACCGCGGCGCTTGGCCTCTTCTAGAAGGGCGGAGCAGAACCGTTGACACACTGCGTAACTAACTACAGTATTTACATCTTTGTCAAAAGCTGCAGGAACTGCATTCCCTGCCACGGCAAAACTATCATTCCTTCCTTCATATTTTCCTATGCTCTGTTCTAAGCTGTAGCGTGTCTCAATTGACTGATTGCCTTGCTTGGAGATCTTGTCGTCAAGTTCAAGCCCCAATCTCCCATCCAGATTACTCTGTTAGATCACACGCACCAACCAGAATCGCGAAAGGTGTTCGCAGCCTGCCACACTACGTTGAGACGATTACCTCGCAATATGGACCGGAAAACGTTTGACATTCAGCCCATTGGCCGCTTCTACGGAGCTAGTGCCACCATTCGACGTCCCAAGGTACTGTACATTTGTTGTCTATCCCTTTCTGAACTCGGGAATTTGGTACCGGTATTAAACATGATCAGGAAATCGCTTGTTTCTCTTATGATGATGACCATAAGTTTCATCTCGGAGATTCATCCTTAAAATACTACTATACACCGCATCTCCCTGCGGATCTGAATCGCGGCTTCGAATCTTTCCAGAAGCTAGATGACTCCGCCGACGAGCATCTCGATGCACTGCTTGAGACGATCATGGCTCTGGAACAGGAGACAGGGAGTATATGTGAAGCCGATATTATCACCTGGCGAGGGATGATGACCAAGGTCAGTACGCCCTCAATGACTCGGATCATCCTATTCCTGCTGCTTGGTGTTAATTTGACGCTGGAAGGACAGATCCTCACAGCCCCCTTCGACAATATGAACGGGTACGTTCTGATGCTCCCTCGCGGTGGATATTACCTTCATTGCTAATTCAGTTTTAGGTTTGAGATGAATGCGACCTTATATCAAGTAAGCTATCATCCATTTTAAGCTATAGATTGGCCCAGGCGGGGCGTTAACAAGTCTACTAGGGAACTATGTACGTATGTTGCAGTCGGCTAGGGCGTCAATTTATCATGCTCTAATGGATCCTAGCTTCATCGAAGAGCACAACAGTTATAAGAATGAGCAGAAGAAAATCCACAGAAACCAGAGAATGCCTCCCGGTATGGCTTCTCAAGAGTTAATGGCTTACTGGGGTACAGTTTCCTTTCACCATGATGCCAAACAGCGAATAGCCAGGCGCTAATGGATGCCGATGGACCCAGGCTATAAATTCGAAACACTATCAATACTCAATCAACCATGGGATCCGACCCCTCGTCAAGAAATTGAAGGTCGGGAGGAGCTCATTGTCAATAATAATGCTCAGTACTGTTCCGTGGTGCGAACTGCAGTAGGTCGCTCCAAACTTATTATCGGTGGGGAAGTGGATGCGAGTAAGTAGCTACGACGGGCTTTGTATGCATTTCAGCCCACATATACTGACTACTTGTGTGAAGTCTGGGATCGCAAACCGGATCGGAAGGAAGACCCTATCAATTGGGTAGAGCTGAAAACTTCGGCCGAAATTAGGAATGACCGTGACAAACTTAAATACGAAAGGAAGCTTTTAAAATTCTGGGCTCAGTCATTTCTTCTCGGCGTGCCCCGAATCATCGTCGGGTTCCGTGACCAGCAAGGCATCGTACACCGTCTCGAGGAACTGGACACCGCCAGCATACCAGGCAAAGTCAAGAAATTCGGACGAGCAACTTGGGACGGAAATATATGTATCAACTTTACGGCTGAATTTCTACAATGTATGAAGTCTCCTTCCAACACCGATTTCCTTGTGGTTCCGAATACCGCCCCAAGAAAATAAGAGTCTATACTAACGACATCAGGGCTCAAATCCACTATCCAGGAGGAAGGAACATGGAGGTTAGTTAAGCGTGAAAGGTCATCAGTCATAGAGGTCTTCAAGGTTGAGGACAGTGGGACAGGTGATATAATCTCTTCGGCCTTTTCAGAATGGCGGTCGACAAGATGAGGGTCAACTCGTTTAGGTCTCTAGCGGACTGACCCGAGGCTCGGTTTATTACTGTTGAGGATGACAGGCGACATTGTGCAAGTCAAGGCGCTCTGTTTTACCAGTATTCGATTGTCTTGGGCCGTAGGCTATACATATTTCATGTTGAGACTGGGCCCACGACATCGCAACATAAGGCATGCCATGCTCCTTCTGCGATGCCATCAAGAGGACTCGGCGAAGCTGCCCTGACCTTCCTGGCCTGATGATTGACATAGTCGATTTGGCGATGAAGACTCAATTCGTTTCGGCTTCACGTTGCCTTGTGTTCGAAGATCTTTCCAGCCTTGATCAACGCGAATGCCAAGCTTGCGGCCGTCTGTATATTCTTCTGTGACTAGCCTGATCTCACTCTCTGTTATCCCACGAGCTTATGTGTTCAGTGCATTGGATATCTGCGGCTGATGGTTGCTTGATCGGAAACTTCCTATAGTCCATGGTTTGCGATTTTTTGTCTCTCTACAACACAAAGAGAAGCCCACTTCACGGCTTGTGCCCAGCTGCAAGAGTACCTTACATCTTTCTTTCAATGTATACTTGGGTTCGGCGGACCAGCACAAGATTGATTCAGCAACAGCTGGCGATTGGCACTGTTACACTGAGCCCTCTTCAATTGCGGCTTTACTATTGTTCTCCGGCTGATCACCCGTGCTGAGACTAATCTGTCGTCTCCGAAGGTACTCATCGCGTGCAGCCTTCTTGGCTGCACTCTTGAGGGCTCTTTTATGTGCATTCCCATTGAGGTGAATTTCCCATTGCTCCTCGCCCTGCATGATCTTGTTGCAGACCTTGCACGTCATACATTTGAGCAAAGAAGTGGAGTCTCTCTGCGGTTGCGCCTCTTTGGCACTTAAGATGAACCTGGCCAGATCCGATAACGACTTGGGATCAGGGGTGGGTTCATCATTCAGCAAAGCTCGAACCAGGATTTCTGATGGCTTCGTAATAGCCTCCTCCCATGCCTCAACATTTGTGCTATCAAGAATGAAGAGACGATTAGTGGCGTCAGCATCTGCGACTGCTCGCCATAATTTGTTTCGTATCCATTTGATCTGCGACATCGCATATTGTCGCGTCGCAGACATGATCGAATCAACGCAACTTTGTTTCAAGGCTTCCAGCTCAAGGGGACTCATGGACCCCTTGTAGAAGGCATCGAAGTAAGGTGCTAGCTCCTTGTAACCGATAGAAATCCACACTCCTCGGGTGTGATCAATGGGATTGCCCTGCGCTTGCTTCTCCTGGGCGAAATCAAACATGCGCCTAGCTTCATCCATTAATCCCTGGTCTATCATCGCTCCCACTCGCTTCTCTAATCGGGCGTTGAGTGTTTGCTTCTCCGAGTGCACCCAGAATATCATCGTCGGATACCGTAATCGGCCCGCGCCGAGGGAAAAGTCGTCACGCGCCGTATCGGCTCGTTTCAGCTGCTCTTGTTCTGTGTAAACTTCCGATGCGGGTCGCCCAGTTTGAAGATAGATTTCTAGGGAGCGCCGGATCTTCCGGGCCTCATTTGGGTGCCATCTGTCTGCCATAACCGGATCGACTTCCCTGAGTTTCTGCAACACCACTTCTGGCGCAGCGTCAAGAATTGGCCACTTAGTGGGTGAGTCCTTGTCACTGTTGCCTTCACGGAAGACAGCAACATCATTAACAGAGTCTTGGTCTGCATCGACCAGCTGATCGTTGAATAGCACGGCTTGTGTATAGTAATGTGTACCTCCGACCAGGATGGGGAGTTTCCCTTTTGCGTGGATTTGGTCAATCAAGCGGAGACTCTCCTGCTTAAATCTGCCAATCCACCAAGGTTCTTCCTCGATTTCAACACAGCTGAGTAGGTGGTGCGGAATACCATTCCGTTCCTCCAAGGGGATTTGATTGGTGATGATCGGGAGGCCGCGGTACATTTGCATCGCATCCCCATTGATAATTTCACCATTGAAGCGCGAGGCCAGATCTACTGCAAGCTGTCTACAGCCGTTAGCAAATGGGTCTTGGGGATATGCAGCGGGTTTCCAGATCTCGTTCGCTTCTTCGTTTTCTTCCTCTTCCATTCGGCAATCTTACCTTGGACTTGCCGGTGCCAGTTGCACCAATAACAGCGATGAGGGGTTTCTTCATGACTGGTTGTGAACACGAGAAGGTAGAGAACAATTGGTGGAAAAGGTGTCGCATGAGGGAGAGGACCAGACCAAACTTAACATCTTGGCCTGGAACAATCTGTCTTGCAGGTTGCCGCCGTGCCGTATCGAGAAGCTTGCGGGGAGGAGAGAAGGAGGGAGAGAGGGAAAATTCCCAATGCGCTCGGTTTCTTACTTACCTCATCAGCTCCTCCATCTTATCTATCTTTTATCGCCGCTCCTCCTTTGACCAGCTCCCCCGTTTATTGATCCTTGCCAAAAATAAAAAAAGTACCAACCGGCTGCCTCTGTTGGGGAACCTTCCTTTTTACTCTCTGTATATCAAGCAGTTCTTCTCCCCCGTCACAGGTTTCACTCATTCATTTCACCCTTTCTCCTGCCCGCACCATGGAGACAGACTCCGATCTCCCCCTCCCCTCAATCGAGGTGAGAGACTTGTCTTTCAAGTTTCCCGATGGTTCCTCTGGCTTGACGGATGTCAACCTGGAAGTACCATCCGGCAGTCGCACTCTTCTCATTGGGGGTAAGTCGCCGCCGAGAAACCTTACCGCGATGAATCCGGAATGCTAACGGCATTCCTCCAGCTAATGGTGCCGGTAAGACCACTCTTCTACGCCTCCTGTCCGGCAAGCGTTTGGCCCCAACGGACACTATCACCGTGGCTGGCAAAGACCCGTTCAAAGACGGGCTTGAAGGCGTCACTTACCTAGGCATGGAATGGGTCCTAAACAACATCGTCCGGACCGATATCGATGTGCCCACACTACTCGCCTCTGTTGGTGGCAACGCCTACCCGGAGCGTCGGGATGAGCTAGTCGAGATTCTCGATATCGATCTCCGCTGGCGCATGCACGCGGTCTCGGATGGAGAGCGCCGCCGCGTGCAGCTTGCCATGGGCCTGCTCCGACCCTGGCGAGTTCTCCTACTCGATGAGATCACCGTCGACCTGGACCTGCTTTCACGGGCCAATTTCCTGGCTTTCTTGAAGCGTGAAACCGAGTCCAGGTCCTGCTCCATCGTGTATGCCACGCACATCCTAGATAATCTGTCCATGTGGCCCACGCACCTGGTCCATATGCATTTAGGCACCGTCCGCCAATGGGGTCCTATCGAAAAATTCCGTGACGAGGTCAAAGAATCCTCGCAGAATACTCAGCTCGGCGAGCTGGTGCTCAAGTGGCTCACCGACGATCTCAGACATAGAGGTCCCCGGAATGGTTATCAGGGTCAAGCCAAAACCTACCCGTCACTGGATGGCTTAGGTGGTTATGGGCTTGAAAAGCGGCCGTGATTCGAATCTAACCTTTTTTCTTTCTTTTCCTTTTCTTCTGCTTTTCTCCGTTTTCTAAGTTCCAGTCCCTACCTTGATTTGCTGTCTTTTCACGGCTTCGTACGGTTCAACCATTATCGCCATGTATGCATATTACGGGTCCGCGATCTGCTTCAACCTTAACAGACCTAGAACGAGCGAACCTGTTCAACACTCCAGCTATCTTTAATATCTTTCAACATACAAAACATCTCATGAATGTCATTGGCTTCATGTACTTTGTTGGCTTTCGTCTTCTCCTGCTACGACTATACTGTACATAGATAGATCAGTTTCCATTTCATGAAACCAAGCCCGAGAAATTATATATACGCGTCGACGTGTCTTCGCTTGCCACGGCGAGCACAAAACGAGACGTCTCTTCCCGCTGTTCCGGCCGCCATGAAAGTTGGTTTATGGCCTTGGACGGCGATTTGAGCTTGTCAACGCTGACCAAGTGACTAACCTGCAGATCGTCGATGGCAATTTGGTGGATAGACAGCTCGCCACTTTCTTCTCCCGCAGCGAGAATGAACGAGCCCTTATGTATAGATGAGAGAAATGAAATGGCGGTTACTGGGGTTTTCAGCGGGATGGTGGAGTGGCATTCAAAGGCACCGTCAGTCATCTGCCAGATTTTCACCGATTTGTCACGGCCAGCAGTTGCGAAGACAGGAACCCGTGATTTTGGAGCCCATGCCGCGTCAAGGATCATGCGAGAATGCCCTTTGGGGTTGCTCGTCAAAAGTGAGAACGTTGAAGGATCTTGCTCGCTACGTTTGTACACAGCCCATTGTCTGTCACGACCAACGCTAAGAAGGTACTGGTCATCACCGGAGAAGCAGAGACCCGTGATGGTCAAGGTATGAGCAGCAAGGGATGGCCGAACCTCGTGCCAGTCAGAAGTGTCGTATAAGCGGATCACCGCATGGTCGATTGAGCTCGCCTTGCAGGCTGTGGCAATAAGCGTACGGGCGTAGTTGACCGCTACGGCAGAGATCTCATAGCCGTGTCCATAGAGCTTCTCATGCTCAGGCCATAGGGTGTGGCGGGCTAGTTGATCCTCGAATGGGGGTTGATTCGAATCCAATAGTGTAGTAGAGTTGTCTTGTATTTTCGCTACAGCTGCGCCATCAGCTTCATCCTCGCCTCCGGGGGCATCGTCAGCCGGGGTTTGATTTGATAAGCCCAGCACAGGGATCTCGGCCGTGTCAGGAAGTTGGTCCCCCGCGGACTGTTGAAAGCCAGAGAGCATCTCCAGCAGTTGCGCAATCGGTCGAGGCTCATTGAAAACCCGCAAAAGCTTCTCATCAGCACCGGACACAAATCTAGCCGGCCCGAGAGTGTCGATACAGTTCAAGTCGTATCCGTGAATTTGTGGACGGGAGAACTCATGCCAAGACTGAAGCCCCTCGCGTACCCATCTGGCATGAAGGCGCGTGGTTTGGTCAGCGCTGGTTGACAGAAGGTATCCTCCAGAAGGCTCCCATTGTACGCCGTTGGCCGACCGTACGTGTCCAGAGACCCCAAGAGACTGCACCCAAATATCAGACCCTGCATCATATTTCCAAGATCGCCAGCTGCCGGTACGACCGAGGCTGACAACTTGTGTGCCATCAGGAGACCACAGACCAATCCAGAACCCACCCGTGCTGCCAGTGGCAGTAGTCGAACCTTTCTGGACGCTAATCTCTCCCATTCTCTCAGCGGAGAGCCACACCCCCGATACAGGATCTTGTTCCCAGATGGTTAATGTATTATCAGCCGAAGAAGTAAGAAGCTGCTGACGCTCCGAGCTGGGATTCCAGCTGGTGGTGTAGATCCAGTCCTCGTTTCCGAAAAGCAAGGCTTCGAATGTGACGGAGAACTTAGTCCCGGCTACCCCGAATTGGTGAGCTTTGTTCGACAAGGTTGGCTCAAAGCCACTTAACATAGGGTCATCATCAGCCGCCGGGGCAGCACAAACCGCTTCCCCGCGCTGCAGTCTCCATAACCGGACATATTTGTCTTGACTCGCCGAGGCCAGTAAAAGGTCCTCAGATGTGCTCTGCTTATCCTTCGTGAAACTCAGGGACCGCACCCAGGCTTCATGTCCGGACAACACCGCCGAAAGTTCAAAATTGGGAGCCGTGCGAGTGATCTCCGACACGTATATCTGAACAACATTGGTGGTGCCTGCAACCGCCAACGCGACGGCTCCGTCATTTGATTCCAAATGAAGAGGGCATAACGCCAAGGCCAATGGAAAAAATCGTGGTTTCATCGCTATTGATTTGAGCAGCTCGCCCTTCGCTTCGCCATGAGCATGGACTTTCCATATTTTGACCGTTCCATCAGCGGCTCCGGATGCCACAATGTCCAGCCCCTCAGCCACAGCTATGGTGTTCACTGAGCCGGTATGTCCTGCCAAAGTATGCACGAGGGTATAGTGGCACGAATCGGCTGCTGCAGCTTGCCAAAGACGAACTGTACGGTCTACCGAGCCGGTTACCAGGTATTTGGTGTCTGTGGTAGGGCAAGTATAGAATCGAACGGCGCTGACCTTGTCGGTATGCCCGACAAGTAGTGTATAGACCCCGCGCTGCGTGCTATCCTGCGATCCGATCAGAGGATGGGCACTCCTTTGCTAATTTCAAGAATGAGGTATTGAGGGTGAATACATACACTTGGATCCCATAGAGCAATATTGTTGTCAGCACCGAAGGCGAGCACGCCAGTCCGGACATCCCAATCGGCGGCGGCGGGATGCCTATTGCCGCCGACGCTGATGTATTCTGTGGTGACAGAGACCATTGGGCTCGTTGTTCAGAGCCCGCTTCCTGGGATTGAGACGAAGTGCAATTTGATGACGGTTGGGTTAATGTGCTGCGCAGGCAACACGGAAAGAGAGGCGAGGCGGCCGGCCGTCGCAAACTGACTGATGACTTTTTGTGCCGGTTCTTATCGATAAGCAGGCTGACTTCATGACTTCAACCAGGTCCGCCGCAAGCCCCTCCTCGCCTTGTCAATTCATTTGGTGGTCTGCTGCCTTCCAGAATTACGGAGATTGTCATTAAGATTCCTCATATTAGTAGTCAATCATGGCGTCCTCCTCTTTAGACTCCATACCCCTTTCTCTCACAGTAGAGTTCACGTTAAGTTACCCTTCCCACCTCCTGCTCTCTTCAACTTCAACCTCAAACCTGCTCGGTCAGCTGACTTCTTTGTTTTATAGTGGAGGGCTTGAAATTTTGTTCGCCAACGAGCGCAAGCATACCATCACTCTTCCTTCAAAGCTCAGCAATGGTTGTCGGCCCAACATCTCGTACCTTCTGCGACACTTAGTTGAGAACCTCATGAAGGATCAGCGAAAAGAACTGTTCGTACTGGAAGATAACGTGTACGTCCGTCTGTCCGAGGGCCCGCATGAGAGCAATACTGAATATAGGCCCTATTAGGCGGCCCGGAATTCTAGTCTTGATAAACGATGCCGACTGGGAGCTTGAAGGAGAGGAGAGCTACGAGCTCCAGTCAGGCGACAATATCGTTTTTGTTTCTACGCTACACGGTGGCTAGTGCCGAATCCTCTCGCTACCTTGTTGATCTACAAGGATTAACCCAGCATCAATTATTCCCATGGTACCAAATTCACGATAAGAACTATATTCTATTAAACAACGTCCTCGACATGCTGCTGCGAGATTCTCTCGGGTTCGCGCGGGGTTCGGAGGCCGCTCTGCGGAGTGGAGAGACCTTCGCGCGGGCTGCCTAGGTCACCAGCCAAAGGGGTAGACACTCCACTCGGGGGAACAGGGATCTTGATATCTTGAGGAGAACCAGGGACGATTTCTTTGGGAAGGCCAGATATATGGATCCTGCGTGCTTCGTTTTGGTAGCTCTCCGGTATGATCTAGAACAAGCAGTCAGATAATGGATCGTTATGTCAAATAAACTGGGGAGGCTTTCTGTTGGGCTCACCTCAATGATTTCGTCACGGGGGAACTCCAAGAATGGGATATCGGCAGCATTGCACGCCATCAAGTATCCGTATAAGACTCTTAGTACGCTCTCATGTGCGATGATCAGCAGGTCGTTTTGCTCGCGTTCGAGCTCCAAGATGATGGGTTCGAGTCGGACCGCAAGGTCATGGTATGACTATTATCTCTGTCAGGTACAGTGATCATGCGTTTTCGATAAATGGCAAGGAAAGCTCACCTCTGCTCGGGGATACCGGTGGTGGTAGGGGTCAAGTTCGTGTTTTGCAACCTCTTCCGGATATTCCTGGCGAATCCTCGCCTCTGACATCTTCTCACAGACTCCAGGGTTTAATTGACTCATCTGAGATCTCTGGCGCACTTTGTATCCCTTTTCGTAGAGATTCTTGGCCGTCTCGACTGTTCTTCTTCGCGTGGATGTCCAGACAGTGAGTGGCTTCAACTCATAATCCGGCTCTCCTTCATCAATCATTGCTTGTCTTTCGGATTCCCTGTGCTTTAGTAGGGACTCTGTCATTTTTTTCGCGTAGTCTTCGCCCTGCTCAGACAGCGAGGCATCTGCTTTGTAAGAATCCGCTTCCAATGACACGCCAGCCTAGTAATTTCCAGTCATTGAAAGATCGTAAACAGAATAGTACTCCAAGCTCACCCGTGCAAAGTATGTGTGTCGGGACTTGATGTGAAGATTGAGAAGGTAGAAGACTATTCTGTTGGAAAGATAGCCGAAGCTTCGATTGTTGACGATTAGCCGTTCGCCGGCGTTCATCATCTGATGGTGATGAGCAGAAGCTGACAAACCAGAGGGACTGCTCAAGTACCTTGATATAGTTCAAATCCGTCTCCTCCATGGTTTGGAATTGGGGAATACGAGCGGCGATTCTGGTTAAGTAATGTTTCACCGCATCTTCTGAGCTCCAGCCGACATACTGAACGTTGCTAAGCATTGAACTTCTAGTGAGAAAAGCGCCAGGAACACTTACATCTGGCGAGGATATTTTGACCCGTCGGACATTCTCTTCAATAATGCGTTCATCGTCACACCACGACTCGATGAACAGCGTCTGATAGCGGAGGTGAGAATAAACGGAGATGCCCAAAGCGCGAATCGGAGACAACTCACCTCGATGTCATGCTTGGCAAATTCCTTTGCAAGTGATCGTCGGCCGGATGCCAACGGATTAACGGCATCGTAAATCGCTATTTGTCCATTCTCGTGGTTTAAAAACTGGTAGATATCTTCCCGGCATCTTTTCACTATCTTCTGTCTTAACAGGACCGACGAAGCGGATGCTGTGCAGAATTAGTGACTTGAGAAACTGATCCAGGCCCGATGATTGGATTTCCGTGGAAACCCGGGGGCAATGCTTTACCGTTCACAAAAAAGTAATCATCTGGAATATCCTGGCCATAGGGAATGGTCGCACGTCTATAATCACCTAGGTGAAATATCCTGGTTTTCACGCCTAGCCTGGGATGGGTTAGGAGCCAAGCTCGATGATTTGTCCCAGGGTTGATTGGCATACCATCGTAGGTACCGCGCTAGAGCTACAGACATATGTCTGGTCGAGCGTCAGCGAGCCAAAGGAGATACAGAAATGGGGTTGGTACAACGAACGTTTTGCCCCTTGCTGGCAACCCCACGGTGATAATGACGATCCGACCAGAGTGAAAAAGCCTTCCAGACTCAGTGCTGTAGAGTTGAGCCGGAGCTAGATCGGCCTTCTCAGGCAAGTCATGGATCGCATCAACGAAGGTGGAAGACTTCCGTCGGAAACGCGGGGAATTGGCGACGATGTCCGCGGTTCTGATCTATGTTAGAGCACCAGGATATATCTGCAACAGAATCTTTTCTTCTGTGGTATATAAACCATATTGTACGAGTGAAAGTGGTGCACGTGCGAATCAACGAGTGCGCAGTGCCCGGATTTTATGGTAAGTCGGGGAAAGCAACAGATGCGGGGGAGTCGATGAGACAATGCTTACAGTAATGTATCCATAGTGATAGGAGTGTCAGTTAGATTGGCAGTAAACCAATAGCAAAGAGTGGAAAGGCTCCAGGAGCGATGTTATTGACACCCTGGTAGGTTAACCAAGAAGGGCACGAAAGGTGGAAGTCAAGGCAGGTTCAAACAATCATTCAAGATGGGAGAGGGAGCGCGAGCTCGGCCCAACCAGGCAGCGGACTGTTCCTCTATAGTCGACTGCTCCACACCCAAGTGTTTTTATCACGGGGACATAATGACGATGGCTATTCAAAAGAGGTTTGTCTAGGAATGCGCAATGCTCAATAATCCAGGACCTTTACGAAGCCATAAAGTACAAGCATCGGATGAGGATCACAAGTCCAGCAGTGCGTAAGAAATTGAATCACCGCCGTCGCACTTCGCCCAGTCACCATATTCGCTGCCCGTATAACTAACTTAACTAGTAAGTCACGGCAATTGATTAGATCATCGCGGCTAAATTGAAAGTCCGAGTATGCTGGCTCCAAGTGCTGCTGCGGTGAACCGCAGACACCGTAGCCGCAGCCCGAGCGGAAAAGCGAAGGTGAGCGACTTTTTTCAGTCCCGAAAGCTCTGGGCTTCAATCGTCAATCAACTGAACCTCACCAGCCTCTGTCTCGGTGTTCGACGCTCCCTCCTCTCAACCACTCCTCCGAGCAGGTCAGGCACATTCCTCGATACCTGCTTTCCAACCGCTGCAAGCATTTTCCACTTACTCCGGTCTTTAACTCGGGCTGGTGTCTAGTTCCTAGGCTTGTCCTTCCGTCTTCTCTCTCAAGGACGGCCGCGTCACCATCCACGTCCGCCTCCTTCCATTCGATTATAGGAACCTTTTTTTTCCCTCCATAACCCTTCACAATGTCCGAATATCTGACTCCTCCATCGTTCCTGACGGACAATTCCGTCGCCGCAGCACTCAAGGATGCCTACTCGTCGTTCTCCGAGCGCAGGGCCGCCCTCGGCCTGTCTAACCCAGGAACCGTGGAGAACATCGCCCGGGAGGTGCAAAAGGATGTTCTGCTGTCAAACTTCATGTTCACAGGACTTCGTGCCGACTTGACTAAGGTCTTCGGAATGTCTCCCTTGTTCCGTGTGTCGCATGCGTTCTCCATGGGCTCGTCCGGAAATCTGCCTCCGTACAACTTCTCCGCCATGTATGGGAGTCCGAAGGTAACCCTCCCTTGATCTGAGATACTCCAACTGCAGCTCATCACTTTTGTATCCGGAGACTGATGGTACTCAACCTTCTTATACAGGTCTTCATGCAAGGTAACATTGGAAGCGATGGTGGGCTCGCTGCTGTTGCCAACTACCGTTGGACCCCTAAGTTGGTCACCAAGACCAACACCCAAATCATGGCCGGCTCCAGTCAAGCTCTCATTCAGGTCGATCAGGACTACACCGGTGATGACTTCTCCGCTTCTCTCAAGGCTTTCAACCCATCTCTCCTGGACGGAGGTCTCACTGGTATCTTCGTTGGCAGCTATCTTCAATCCGTTACTCCCAGCCTGGCACTTGGTTTCGAAGCGATCTGGCAGCGCCAGGGTATGAACACTCGTCCGGAGAGTGCACTTTCATACAGTGCTCGGTACAAGGCCAACGACTGGATTGCCAGCGCTCAACTTCAGGCTCAGGGTGTTCTCACTGCCTCGTACTGGAAGAAACTTTCTGAGCGCGTTGAGGCCGGTGTCGATATGAACTTGCAATTTGCTCCTAACGCCGCTGCTGCACTGATGGGCGGTCCCAGCCGTGATGGCACCACTGCTATTGGTGCCAAGTACGATTTCCGTGCTTCTACGTTCCGTGCTCAGGTCGACAGTGCCGGAAAGGTCAGCTGCCTTCTCGAGAAGCGTATAGCCATGCCGATTGCCCTTACTTTTGCCGGCGAGATCGATCAGGCCAAGGTGAGTCGATCCCATCCCCAACGTGTTGTCAGTGAAACTGGGTAATGACGTCTGGTTTTCCCATAGCAAACGGCCAAGCTCGGCCTTGCTGTTTCCCTCGAAATCGCTGGCGAGGAATTGATGGAGCAGCAAGAGAAGGTTGAGGCCCAGGGCATGATCCCTCCTCCTTTCTAAAAACGCCCTAGCACGTAGCTGGGCCTAATGACTCCCACACAAGCGTGGGAGCTAGGAGCTATCGTTTTTTGCCTGCCCCTGGCTCATATATTTTTCAATCTCTGTTTTAGTAGCTCTTCTCTCTCCATGTGTATCTTTGGAAGGTGGTGTGTCACCTCGGTTAATGCCCATGAGTGCAGTTTTCTGCAGTCATTTTCACGCCACGGAACCCAATTTTGTATAGATGCTTTCTTGATTCGGTCGCAGTTATTTCATATTCTGTCTATGGCTTCGGTCCCATGATCTCACTTACCTTTGTTCCTTCACGTTTTTCTTTTCTTTCTTCCCCCTTCTCGATGGTTACCTCGGCGGATTAAGAGGACTACTGAGCTTGCATGGAAGCATCACCTGTGGGAAGTTCTTGCTGTTACCTGATGCATCATAGATGGGGTAATGTAAAAGAAAAAAAGATTGTGATGCTTATTAAAATCCATCCCTTGGCCTAGATGGCAGCACGGAAAACAATTACGCTCATAGCCATGCTCAAGTCCACGCCATCCCTCTCTGTGAGAGTCCTCGCCTTGAACAGGGGAGAGGAAATACTGGGATATATAATTGTGGAAATTAAGGAAGAGCACGAAATAGGATTGACTATCGACACCGTTCGCCTGAATATAGTCCAAATACCCGATTGAAAACCTTATAATGCGAACGACACGCTATGTATGGGTAAATGTCAATCCATGTTGCGGGTGAGGTGCAACTCGAGTAGGATTCTCATTCCTTTAATGAAAGAACGACCCCGGGTAGCGAGCATCTCTGGTCCTCACCAGGAATAAACTGCGAGAACAACCATAAGCACCTAGGTTCTTCCTCAAAGCAATAAGAGAGGTTAGGTGCAGCAGACATGTACAGGATAACGTTGAATGAAAGACGACGGCAAGCCGTATCGAAGTCAAGTGGTGGGGAAGGCCGTCCAGTGGATACCTACTAAGATACTGACTAGCCACAAGTTAGACTAGCGGCACTCCTTTTAAGGCCCTCGCTGGGGTTGCTGGAATCGCTTCAAATCTCCAGCCCAATGATATTGATGGCTTTTCAACCCCAGCAAACTAGTCCGAATCATCGTTCCCCGAGGCCCGTAGACTAGTTCGCATTGCCCGAAAGAAGGACTTGTGCGATGGGGTAGAACAAGCTCCCGTGTGTTAGAATTGGGGGAGCTTAAGAGCCCTGAGCTAACTTAGGGCTGCCACAAATTGTTTTGAAGATGTAGATACCTCGTGGCATAGATAGAGTACAATCCATAGACTGCTCCCTGAATCATAGAGCTGGTTAGTTTGAGTCAAATTCTGGTAGAAGATTAGTCTCCATTCCATGGTAGGGTGAAATTAACCAATTAACCAACCTCCAATCGCCCAGTGTAGGCCTCGTGATTTCGAACCCACCTGATTACTTTAGACAGAACATAGTAGATACCTATAGTTACTGGTAGGTACCTAGTACTAATACTCCATCCATCGCACTGTGCACAGCACAGTACATTACCACTTTTAACGAGTACATCTTGCAAGCCCGGTTGGGGCCGGGGTTCGATGAATGTGTTTCGGGCTCACCAATCTGCAACATTTGTAGGTAGCATCAGGCAGTCTCATTGGATTGGCGAGCGAGTCCCGAGTGGAATTTGAGTGTCATTATGGCAATTCCTGGTTCTTGTCCAGAGTCTGAAAGAGGGGTGGAAACGAGAAGAATTGTACCAGTGAGAAAAAGGTAGTGAAGCCATCGTTGACAGTATTACTCATGTATTTCGCCGCGGGCAGTTACCCTTTTCTTTCCCCTCTCTCTTCTCTCTCCGCTGATTTCCCCACCGTGACATCATGATACTGCTTCCTCATCTGTGGGTTTGCCCTCTTAATTTCCACCTTAGTCAGTGGATGTTATGAATGATACTCCAGATCTCAAGGATGATTCAACTTCCCATTCTGTGTAATACTTAGTACGGAGTAGAATTGGCTGGTTGACCCTTTTAATCAAAACTATTTCGCCCTCTTCGCAGCCACAAAGCAAATCGAACATTCAGGGATCAATTCAGGACTTGTCGAAGCTCAGAGCCGAGAATCAGAGAGAAAAAAGCACACTGCTGTCGGCTAACAACGTACAGTAAGTTATACAGCATATAGCCTGTTTATGAATGATCGGCTGTCAATGGCGCAGGTGCCACTTCAATCTCCTGCAATGATAATCAGCAAGAATCACCTGGCTGTAGTGCTTGTTTTCACTTTGTTCTCATTTTTGTTTGTTTTTTTCTTTTCTTTTTTCCCTTTTCTCTTTTGAACTCCTGTGAATTTCTTTTTCATGGTGTCGAAAAGTGTCCCGGTAATTTTGAAGAGCCTCAAGCAAATACGGTGGACATTGGTCTGATTCATCTTGGTTCGAGATTCTTCAAGCCCATTGTATAGGTTCATTGACTAGGATTCAATGGCTTCTTAAGGTCAGCTTAGAGGGAGGGAATTCAACATTGGACAGCAAGATAAATTATGCTCCAGATTCAGTAATACCGATGGATTCCAGAGAACGACTTGTCTTACATAACAGAGCAGGATACTCGCGAAGACGTATCATTGCTTTTGATAACAATCACAATTTGATTACCAATTCTAGAGCTTCAACAAGCTAGAGATCGGGCAGAGAACTCAAAAGGAATGCTACTGCACTAGGGATGCCGCAATACGCTTCTGGATTTCCCTTTCATGTATTTGTGTATTTTGGCCATCTTTTTCCTTTCACTGATACGTATTTGAGTGGGTCTCTTGGCAGTAGCTGACTAATTAGTATAGTTTATCTACTAATCGGAAATTCAGCTTTGGAGCCTACTGATAAGCCTATTCTTAAAAGAGCTTAGTGCAGAATATATAAGCAAAAACCAGTTTTTCCCTTACATTCTTGGTAGGCCCAAAGGCGCAAAAAACACGTTTTTTGAAATATCAAAACGGCAACTCTATACTGCACAGCTACTTGCATGGCTAAGCACTTTGAAGCACCCAGTTCAGTGTGACCTAATTTTATAATAGCATCGCTAGGAGAAGCTTATTATTGTCACAGCTAAGGCTGCTGTGAATGCAGTACATGAAGCGGCAATAGCCGCAAGCAAATTGAGCTAACCCCACTGCACTGATGGCAATGCTCTGGATCTGGACAGCTACTAAGGCAGGTACTGGGAAAGCTCTACCTGGTTGCTATCACTGAATCTTGTGTGTATGCCTAGACCATCTTTACAAACGTCGCCAGAACAAAGCTGGATGATAACAACCTGTGTCAACCCTGCTCTAAAGGTGAAACCAACTGTGTAATACATGATTGTTACTGTTTACGTTCCATTACAATTGATGTGGTTGTAGACTGCAATTGAACTGGTTATTCTTGTTCTTGATTGGAAGTGACTTAAATTTACAGGACAACCTTCAATCTCGCCTTACATATATTAGGGTCTATCTTAGTTGCGGTCCATTGGACACTTGATACTGCTCGCATGGCAAGAGACTTTCGACACATGCACAACCTGTCTTGGTTTGTCTTCTCGTTAATCTCTGTGTTTCTCCTCTACATTGCCTAATTTGATAGTATTTACACTAGGCGTATTTTTAAACCACATGTGAATCACTATATCTTTATAGATGTACCTCATAGCAAAGAAAGACGAGCTTCATCGAGGGGTCTGTCACAGCATATATCAGTCTTACTTTCTAAGGAAAGTGAAAGTGTAATTCATTCCAGTTACTATAGTTGGACTATGCTTATGTTATTAATTTGAGGCCCGTAGAGCGTAGGATCTAGGCCATGGTAGATAAAGATACCCAAGCCTAGTCCAATTTGTATGTGTGCGCGTGGTCCTCGGTGGGCCTTAGGATATATAGGTCATTTATTTCTACTAAGTACATTTATGGTAATAGACTACCATAGACTACCATACCGAGACCAGCTCTTAATACCACCAACTCGCGGCTCCTCATTGTGAAGCATTGTGGCGAATACTACGGTTGGATGCGCATTCACCGAACCAACCTGTGGCTATACTGCTCCATGCCGATAGAAGAGAGCGGCAATCATGGCTTTAGGAGTACGGCATTTAAAGTATCCGTCATAGGAGCCATCCGTCGTCCCATGAGAGTAACTCGACCCCCGTCAGGCTCTGAGTGTGGCACCGGATGAGCCACAGGAGGCTTGACCACAGTGAAGTAGTATTAGTTATTGTGTGGTGATATCTTTTCGAACCCGCTTGCCTGATGCTTGACCGCTTTAGAATGATAAACAGGGACGTAGGAACGAATGAGCTTCCCCTACCTACTGCATCATTTATTCATTGTCGATCAAATCGTGTTGCAATGGAACTGAGCGGGCTACAGCCCAGTGGGCGGGCAACGATCCAGGTTCCCAACGTGCTCTTGAGAAAGGGGCGATTTCTGATTTCACATGTCTGACTCAAAGCTATCTATGAGTTAAAGGCTCGGTTACGGGTAGCAAAAGATAGAGCAAGCGCTGAAATCTAGAGATTCGTCGTTGTCGTGAAAGATGCATGTCGGTACATACATACATACCTCACTGGAGATTGACCAAACATGCCAGTACGGTATTACTAAGTACTATACCTAAGTCGAAATTCGGAGTCCGCCCAGGTCACCAACTTACCATACTGTACCGTGCGTGACCCGATACAGCCTTCAGCGTCTTCTGGGTCAGCCAATCAATAGGATGCTTGGGTGAAAATCGCGGATGGTCACTTGACATGAGCAAACCAATAACAGCGGATCATGGATCTGGATGATGGCGAAGGCTACTACTAGGTACTACTACTTACCCTTCCAGCTGAGTGCAGTGCCTGTCACCGGAACTCCCAGTTACAGCCCTGAGGGGCAAAGCCTCCTCAGGTCATGACATCGTTGAAGTACCTCAAGAGCCACTTCTCCGGCGCAGAAATACTCGCCTGTGCTACTATAGTAAATATATAAGTATATACACAGGCTATTTACAGTACTATAAATCCCACCACATAAGAAAGAATAGAGTAAGTACTGTACATAGTAGAAACCCCCGCCGCAGCGGCGTCTTGCAGTTACCTGACCAAAACCCCCTCCTCCTTGACTTAGTTCAATACCTCTCGATCAAATTTTTTCGTCTTCTTCTGCCCAGTGCCTACTGCAGGGACAGAGAGCAGCGATCATTGAAATGGAAGTGCTACCAGCTTTGTATTCAATTAATGTCCTAGCCCCGCCTCCGGGCGAGACCGTGGCCAGGAATGATCAATTAATGGAATCAAAACTCCGACTCCGTCGCTAAATTGATTATGGAGTGTGCAATCCTGAAGATTCCTCTCTAAGATTAAGAGCAATCCATTCATTCCCTGTGGCCCTAGACTAAACAGCACGTTGTTGAGTCCCAAACCCGGACGCTCGGAGCCAAGGTCATCTGCCCATGGGAGCAGTAGCAGCTCCCGCCCAATCTCAGCGGTTCCACACTCGGTCCGTCATCAACCCTTCAAATGATCGTTTTCTAGTTCACTTGCTAGTGACTAGTTGCGCTCATGTCTGAGGGTTCATTATCGTCCTCTGCGTTGGCGCCGTCGGCTTACAAGCTTCGCTCTGCCCTCGCCCACCCGCAGTGACCTCATCAGGTGGCGGATTCCAACTCTAAAAAAGACTATGTATGGGTCGGTAGCATGGCGCACAACGAGGTCTCTGGTACGGTAGGCTTTTTGTGAGCGATGAATTCTTGCGACACGAATTCATCCAAAAGATGCCTAGAGCATATATATGTATGTACCTTGCGTCCACTTGCAGTAAGGAAATCAGCGTCATAGGTGCTTTGGATTGATATATAGAAGGCTAGAAGCTATTCATTTTCAGACTTACAGTGGAATGGAAGAGTAGGAACGTCCCCAAGCTATCCATGATGGGGAAGATTGTACGGTTTAGATGCAGTGCCCATGCCATGGTGTCAGTAGGATACCGTAATAGGACACGTACATACATACATACATACATACATACATACATACATACATATATACATGCTGTACTGTACTGAACCGGCCAAGCTACTACCTGCCTAAATAGTAGGTACTAGGTAGTAGTAGCAATACAAATATTCACTCACTGGCTTATCAACTGTTATTTAGGAAGTCCTAGAAAGGTGGCAAGTGCATACAGTTATATTTTCAAGTTACTTAAGAGCTAGCCTTGTCGGGGAATGTGATGTCGGAGGCCACAAACAGCAATCCTTTTCTCGATTGATACATATTGCTAACCTTCCAATTCGCACTGCATGGTCTATCCGCCAGTAACATGTAAGTTACTGCCGTTAGTAAAGAGGGAACCCCGTCTCCATTCCCGCCGCTGCCTCTGCCCTGAGTGCCCTCCGAATAATTTCCAAGCTAAACTACCTAAACCCAAACCTCCCAAAGACTGGGGGCAAGCTGTAGCTAAAGTACTAGTATAGTTAGTAGCAATGCTCATTTCTTTCTCCTTTTGGTAGATACCTGCTCTGCTCTCCGTGTCCGATCTTCTTCCCTTTTTCCCTGGGCAATTTGGATTGAGTAGACTGCGATGTCTACTCATTCATCGCATTTGATCCATGATATCTGCTGATATTGCCCGAAGAGGAACAGAAGAGGGACGGAGGAAGCGATAGGGAGTTGGCTCGTGTGTTCCTTACTTTACTATCTCCCTCTCCCTCCCGAGTGCTTTATTGCCGCGTTCCTGCAGCCCGCGCGTGTTCGGGCTTCCTCGCTCGACCAACGTCACCTGCTCTCTCGCTCTCCCTCCTGCTCTTCCCTCCCTCTCTCTCTCTCCCTCCCTCTCTCGCCTCCTCCGACCATCATTTCCCCCCTGTGAGAACCTGTGCTTCTCTTTTACCCTTTACTTAGTACCTTACCCGCCCTTCCTTGAATTCGTCCTGCCACTTGCTCTTCTCTCTCCCAACCGATTCCCTCGAATCAGCTGTTCCGATTTCTTTCCAGTTGCTTCTCTCCGTTCCTCTCTCTCTCTCTTTCTCCCTACCCACACCCCTTCCCAACTCTCTATTCTCTCTTTTTGTTCTTCTCCCCTCGTCCGCCCGCCCGCAGTTCGATCCCATCCTCTCCGGGCGACAACTGCTCTCTGGTCCTCTCTGTGTCCTGTACTTCTTGGCGTCCTCTCCAAGTCATTGGTCCTAGGTGGTCGCCGGAGTCTTCCCTTCTGCGATTCGCCCGCCCGCTTCTCAACCTTTCATCTCACGCGCACCTCCACTCAACATCCACCATCCTTCGGATATTCCGCCCTCCCAGCGCACCCCTCCCCAACTTGTGCTCCACCGACGACAGCTCTGCCCAAACGGACTCTGCACACCTTGCTTCAATATCCCTTCGCATCCGTTCACTGTTCACCCTCAGGGACTCCCATTGTCCATAGCATTGCTCTAGCTACCGCCCATTGTCGTCTCCACCAGCCATCCGTGATGTCACAGAATCGGCCCGGGGTGTTCTCGAGTTTGCGCATCGGTGGTAAGACACAATCCTCCCCTCGCTCTCCCTTCTCTTCTAAATCACCCATTGTCCATCGTATCATCATCAAGCCAGATGGCTGACTCTATCCTCCCCACTATTCTTGATCGCATAGAGGTCGTCCGCGAGAAAGTCCAGGATGGACTCACCGGGGAAACCAAGGAGATCTCCTACTCACAATGCAAAATCGTCGGCAATGGATCATTTGGTGTCGTCTTCCAGACCAAGATGATGCCAAGCGGCGAGGACGCTGCCATCAAGAGGGTTCTTCAAGACAAGCGGTTCAAAGTACGTGGTTCGAGCCAACTGTTTGACCACTCCTGCAAGGTTTCTGACAATCTCACAGAACCGCGAGCTACAAATCATGCGGATCGTGCGCCACCCTAACATCGTTGAGCTCAAAGCTTTCTACTATTCTAACGGCGAAAGGGTATGTTTGGCTTGACCTCATGCTTCTCCACTTGAGTGTCGCAGAACCTGGGTTTTCTTGGGTCACTCCATACTGACTGATCGGATCGCAGAAGGACGAAGTTTACCTCAACCTCGTCTTAGAATATGTACCGGAAACGGTGTATCGGGCGTCACGCTATTTCAACAAGCTGAAGACGACAATGCCGATGCTAGAGGTCAAGCTATACATTTACCAACTTTTCCGCTCCTTGGCCTATATCCATTCCCAGGGCATCTGTCATCGAGATATCAAGCCGCAAAACCTCCTCCTGGATCCGAGCACCGGCATTCTGAAGCTTTGCGATTTTGGTTCCGCGAAGATTCTCGTCGAAAATGAGCCGAACGTCTCGTACATTTGCTCTCGCTACTATAGAGCACCAGAGTTAATTTTCGGCGCGACGAATTACACCACAAAGATCGGTAAACCTCGCCGGTCACCCTCGTAATATTCTGGATGCTAAAGCTTCTTAGATGTGTGGTCCACTGGTTGCGTTATGGCCGAGTTGATGCTCGGACAGCCCCTTTTCCCTGGAGAGTCAGGGATTGACCAATTGGTGGAGATTATCAAAGTTTTGGGAACACCAACGCGAGAGCAGATCCGAACCATGAACCCCAACTACATGGAACACAAATTTCCCCAGATCAAGCCCCACCCGTTCAACAAGGTAGGTCGTGTCCGATGGATTTCCATTTCCTTCCTTTTCTTTTTCCCTGTAAGTCATCAATGTCTAATTCAGCATTAGGTCTTCCGGAGGGCACCTCACGAGGCCATTGATTTGATCTCCGCCTTGCTTGAATACACCCCTACGCAACGTCTTTCAGCTATTGAGGCGATGTGCCACCCATTCTTTGACGAGCTCCGAGATCCCAACACTCGGCTTCCCGATTCACGACACCCCAGCGGCTCAACAAGGGACCTCCCAAATCTCTTCGATTTTTCCAGACATGGTTTGTCTTCCGTTGGCTTCAGTGCACCTTGCTTGTCTCAAATGCTGACATATGCCTGCCCTCGCAGAGCTTTCCATTGCCCCCGGAATAAACAATCGGCTGGTTCCTCCTCATGCGCGCCCTGCTCTTGAGGCCCGTGGATTGGATATCAACAATTTTAAACCGCTCTCTAAGGAAGAAATGCTCGCACGCCTGGACTGAGTTGATGCAGGTGAAGCCTATGAGTAACACGCTTTCTACAGTGCAAGGGTCATTGCACATGATTGCAGGTATTTGATTTCATGTCCTATGGGCTCACTTTCGTGCATCGGGCGATTTGTGATAAATGGGTAAGGTTTGTCAATGTCGTAGACCTAACCCATCGGTTGGGGCATCCGGGAGCTGGCTTCTGAATGAGCGAAACGGAGAGAAATGGCATAACGCAAGCATAAGGGCGGAAATGGCACCAAAAAAAAAAGGATATATGATCAGAATGAAAAGAAAGAAAAAGAGAGTGAGCTGGGGGAGACGACGTGTGTCCCGGGCGATGAACAGAAAAGTTTCAAAGAGGGGCTCAGGGATAATGGCTGTCTTACAGACATGGTTCGATGAGTTGTCATATCCTGGAGCTACCGAGTTGTCTGAGACAGCTCTTGGGAAAGAAGAAAAAAAGTGATACCCTTATTGCGTGAGTCTGCCTTTCGGAATTTGAGTCTGTCGTTTGCGAACCTCCCATTCAAGGGGCCCTTGCAGCAAGTTGCCCGCAAATCTTGCTCAAAAGGGCGGTAAGGGATATCCTACAAATGCGTCAGATATTATGAGGATTTTCTTTGTTTGGATGCACATTGTGTTGTGCCTGTGAGTGTGCTTGAATATAGGAATTGGAGGTCTTCTCCTTGACTTGCAGCTCTAGAAGCCCCATCTGTGTGTCTCTTTTGCTTCGTTACTTTCTTTTTTATTCTTATATCTTCCTATATTGCTTTGTTATCCGAACTGTCAAAATCTCCATCTTTCCATTGCCCTCTTGATTCGTTGTTCTCCCGTGTTCCCCCTATACTAAGGTATCATCAACCTATTACTACTTCAGGATCTTCTCAACCGTCGTTCGCTTGACAAGGATGGTCGTGCTGCTGGACTGGCTTGAGACGAAGCTACGATGCTAGTTACTGCCACAGGACTGCCTCTGATCTCCGAAAGCAGACAGAACTTACCTTTCTTGCATGCTTTTGTTATGGTTCTTCGCTAGACTTCCCTGACGTATACCTGGATATCCATATCCGGCAATGTATGATTGCTCAACCAATATATGTTGGTCTCTTAACGATTTGTCCGGCATGGTGATACACTTACACCTCCCTGTATCTCGTTGTACGTGTACAGCCGCAACTGGTAGACCTGGAAATGGGCTTTAGCTCAAATTGATAGACAGATGCGATAGAGGCCAGTTCTACTGGTTTTTGCCGTCCTCGAGACGAAGTGGGTATTGAGTATTTCACCGAATAGGTAGTTAGAGCGCACTGCCCGAGTCAACTGGTTGAAATATGTGCGCGGTTATATAATCAGCGGGTCGGAGGATCCCAAGCTCCGGCCGGGATCGCTGCGCATCAACGGGGCTGTTTTGCTTCAAGACATACTCGCTCTTTACCCCCGACCCAGGCCCTGCTGAAGAGCTCATAGCTCCGGTTTTCTCTGACACACTTGCTACAGACCACCACTTCTTCGCTTTGTTCAGTTGCCTTCTGTGTGCGAAGCTGTCCGGGTTTACCTAGCACTTTCCTTCATGGCCGATTACGAACGTCGACCCCATGGCCCAAGGGGTGGTCGCAAGAGGCGCTATCGAGGTCAGTAACACCGTCTGCTCGCTCGCTTAAGCCCCATTTCAGTGGCTATATTGTTTCACTTAGCTCCGTTTTGTCTTCCACTTCCATGACCCGACACGATCCTATTACCATACAGACTGACAGGTGTGCGCGATCAGAGGACGATGATTACGACCGCCGCCAGAGGCGCAGATACGAGGAGCCTTTGTTTGTCAAGATTCGCAGGCAGCTGCTCACAATCGCCGAATCTGTACGATCACCTGCGATGAAACGGCTCGCGTCGGTGTTCACCTTTACAAGAGCTCTAGCTGACCTATTTCACCTCGCTCCAGGCTGCCCGAAGAGTAGAGGACGACGCTATCCAGATCGCCAAATCTGTGACTGATAATTATGGAGATGAAGAAATCAAGGGAGTATTCCTTGACACCGCAGTCGATCTGTATGTGACTACCCCCGCCACCCCCTTACGATTGATAATACCTTGGCCCCAAGCTAACAATGGTCGCAGTGTTCTTGAGCAGCCATTGAAGATCCCTTTCATCGCGGCCACAGTTCTTGCCGCAAATGTCCTGAAATCAGAGCCAGTTTCAGACATACTGAAGAGGGCCGGAGAATCGTTACAAAAATACGTCAATGCCGGTGCCTGGCGTGAAGTCAAGCTCCTCCTTCGTTTCCTCGGGTGCCTTCAAGGCATCTTTGAAGGAGACGGTATATTTCCCGTGCTGGAGGAAATCTTCTCTCGCGCAGTTGATCTCCAAACCGCGTCCTCTGAGGATGTGAGTTTATCAGTAGCACGCTTTTATGAACCGAACTCATGCTAATAGCTTGCGACAGCTGCTCGGTCTGGAGCTCGTTAAGATCATCCTCTTCACACTACCATATGCGATGGCATCGCCCGCAACCGGCTTCGACACTCAGGCTACTGCTCTTCTCGAGAAGACGGACATCATCGCTTCCACTCCGCATGCGCTTGTGGATCTCGTGAACCCGTTCAGTCTCCATGAAGGCAAGCCGACCGCCACAGAGAGCATCATTAGCTTGATGCAGAAACATCTGCAGAGAGAATCTACTCAGTCCTGGGAGCTCGCATGCCTTCCGCGCCCATGGAGACGGATCTATGAATCTCTCGGGGCACAGGAAGATGTTCGAGACGAGGGTGCTCAAGATGGGGAAGAGGACCGATCACCAAACTCTGCGGGCCCCGGACCAAAACACGCTTTCCCACAAATCGTCATGCCTAATCCTGTCGGCAACGGGGCAAGGGCGATCTTCCCAGAGATCTATCTCTCTGTATATGCGAATCAAGATATCGAAACCGTTCCTCCAACCACGGATATTGCGTCGTCTCTGTTGCGAGACTCGCTTGTTGACACAATCAACATCCTTGACTTTAATCGTATTGCAACTGCGAAGTATTTGATTGACGTTGACTGTTATTTTACACCGAATACATTCGTGAAGCGGGCCACGCCTTTTGATCGCTTGCGTGAGTTATCCACTGACCGCCCGCAATGGAAGCCCGAAGACGTCGCCGTGGATGCAGTGTTTTCTCAATTATTCCAGCTGCCATGCCCAGAGCACAAATTCGTCTACTATCATTCGGTTCTCACCGAGTGCTGTAAGATTGCTCCGGCCGCTATCGCCCCGAGCCTGGGCCGAGCCATTCGCTTTCTGTATCGCAGCCTTGAATCGATTGACCTTGACCTTAGTCATCGCTTCCTGGACTGGTTCTCGCATCATTTGAGCAACTTTGGTTTTACGTGGAAATGGAGTGAATGGTTTGCTAAAGCAAAACCGATAGCTCTAGTACATAAGCTAACATGATTCAATAGGATCGAGGACCTAGAGTTACCCGCGGTTCATCCTCGGATGGCTTTTATAACGGGAGCGCTCGACAAGGAGATACGATTAAGCTTTGCTCAGCGCATCAGAGGGACTTTACCTGACCCGTATCAAGAATTTATTACAGAGGGGAAGGAGAAGGACACTCCGGATTTCAAGTACTTGTCCGATAGTGAGTTCATAGTACCCTATCTTCAATCCTATTTTCCCCTGTCGACCGCTCCAGATTTGCGTCTTGATCGGTTGCAATTTCGTGAGTATTGCATTGACACACATTCCAGCTACACCATATGCCAATGAGGGCAAGGAGATTATGCAGCTTGTCCGAAAGAAAGCGAGCGATGAGGAGATACAACCCTTTATCGATGCAATCGAAGAGCAAGCTAAATCTTTGGGGGTCAATGATCCGCTGCTTCCATCGACCGACGCACTTGTTACAGCTATTTGCTTCGTGGGCTCCAAATCTCTTTCTCATGTCCTGTCGTGCATTGAGCGAAACAAGGAGCGATTATTGGCCATTGGGCCTAAGTCTCCTCGAGCTCAACGCCAAATCATCACCTCCGTCATGGAATACTGGGTGGATCAGCCCGGTATTGGCATCAACATCATCGACAAACTTTTGAACTATACCATCCTCACACCGCTGTCAGTCGTCGAATGGGCACTGGTCGACAAACTTGAGGCTGGCACAGTTCTTGCAAAGACGCACGTCTTCGAAATGATTTCCGCCACTGTTGGTAAAGTCACCAATCGTCTACGCCAGATTGTTGCTGCCCGTACTCAACCTAGTCTGTATGAGCCTCAACTGAGCGTTCTAGATGACACTCTAAATCGTGAGAAGGCCGACATGCAGGTCCTCTTCCGGGTCATTGAGGATACCATCGTGTCGGTCGCTGGCGGTAGTAATGACGAGTTGATGGAAAGGGGGGACGGAAGCGGTACTATGCCTGAGGATGAGATCATCCGGCGTTGGGGCCAGCGGTGGCTGAGAGTATTCCGGCGCAAAGCCGGCGTTGAGGAGTCCTTCATCATCGAGGCCATGGCCAGGGCGATTCCGGTAGGCACGGTTGCACCTCCAGCCTTCGAGGACCCCGCTGCTTACGACCGTGCTCCGCTAGACGGGGACATGGATATTGCTGACGGGGTGGAGTGAACTCGACCACGCAACTTTGCAAAAGGCACGATTTCCGGTTTTCTGTGATCAGAGACTTTATGTTGGAACCGAGACTGGTTCTCACTTTGTACCTCTAGGTGCGTTCGCGCGTATTGTATGTGTATGTGTGCATATGTCTGTGCTACCTTTATACGATCATCAAGCTAGCGGGTGGGCGCATGTGAGTTGCTTGTATAGACACCCTTGGTCGACTTTGGCTGAGACCTACCGTTGTAGAAGGGGGATATATGAATTGGACACCAGTGTTGGACGTACGGTCTCACTTGGGACTCTACAGAGGTATATCACAACATGGCAGCCACTCACCCTGCTGGAGAGGTCCGATTCCGGTGCTGGCGCCTCAATTACAGATACTATATATGGTGGAGTAGGAGCACAATCCGCTGGCATGCGTAGCTTTCTTGTACCATACTAAACGGAGGATAAATTCTCGGTCAGCCAGGAACCTCAATAGAATAGAATCCTGGCCCGCTGCCAGAATTTAACAGACATGTATCAATATTTTTAAAATTTCGATACCGCGGATTCACATCTCTATCACCGCGGCGCATTGTTGATTGCATTGGAGGTGTACTTGCGTGTAGCTCCCGAAAACCAGACCTTAGAAGGAATAACGCCGGAGCTAATCTTTACGCCGCATAACAACGCCTCAAACAAGAGCTTAGCAGCAAGATGATTCATAATGCGGGGCCCGATTTGCTTTTGAGAAGATTTCGATAGGCAAACTCATGTGATCTTCAATTTCTGCTCTAGTACTGCGATTGAGTTGGCTAAAGAACATATATATCGTATCCACCCCCTCATGATGATGATGAAAGTATGTGCAAGCGGAAGAACAAAAGTGCTCAACCTCAAGGTCGCAGGTTCAGCACCACAAGCACACCTTAAGCCCTTGATTTCGGCAACGAATGTAAGATACAAAAAATGCATTAATGAAACAATTAATATACCAGAAGGGGTGTTGTACAGAAAGTGATTAAAGGATATGATAGTGATAGAAGAAAGAGGATGTTGTGAGAGGAAAAGCCATGGTCTCGTAAAATAGCCCCGCCCCTGTAGCAGAACGTGGTGGTGGGGAGAGAAACGATTAAGTCGTAGCTCGGTTCCGAAACCGTCACATCGCACTCCTCTGATTCCCTGACGCATCAGCCGGCTTCTTCTTGGACTTTGCGGTCCGATGCGTAGTATAGGCTGCAAAAGCCCAGGGTAGGATCGAGTTGCAACGGCCTGGGGCAAGATCCTCGTGTTATTGTATTCAATGGTGAGTTTCCAGGCCCATAGCTCCTGTTGCTTCACAAGGTTTTCTTGGTCTCTTCTTCGGCCAAGTACTTTCGGTCATCGTCACCTTCGACCGTCTTGAGAATCGTCTCCATTTCCTTTGTTTGGCGCTTCCATTCCTCCTGACCGTTCTTGGTCTCACGGCGGAAAAGTTCCTCGTTCGGTTTTCGGTAGCTACCGCCCAAACGATCCCACAGAGTAGTAAATTGACCATAGTTGTAGTTGAAGTAAAGATGATGCATCGTGTGGCACGCGGCACCGTTAACGACTGGGCTGTTGGCCACATATTCGCCATCATGAATCAGCACCGTCCAGAGATTGATGAACCCAAAGAGGAAGACGTATGCAACTTTCTGCAGGGGAAATATGAAAGGGAATACGTGATAAGGGACACTCTGCGACCAGCCATCAAGCGGATGAAAAGCGTGCGAGGCAAAGGGACTGGGCATGATCCATTTGTGGTGAGGCTTGTGTAGTGTCTTGTATATCCATGGATGGTGCAAGCCACGGTGAATCCAGTAAATACACAGATCTGTAAAAGCGATAAATAGTGGGAACTGCAAGATGCTATAGTAGGGAAAAGGCTCTTCATCAAAAGTATCGTAGAGTTTGGCGTAGCCACGGACTTCCGCGACCAGGAAGGGAGCAGTCAACAAAGACATGACTGGCATCGATTGCATGGTTTGTGCAATCTCCATTGGGATTTGATTCTTGAGAAACTTGGGATGGTGAATTGTAGTCTTGTCCCAAATGAAGATGTACGAAAGGGTTGCACAGAGGAAGTAGACAATCAAACCGAAAATCCTATTCACATAGCAGCCCTCAATTAGCATACGGAAAAGCCCGACAGGTAGATGATTACATACCAGACGATCAAGAAGAAGCTGAGAAACTGACGGTAGATATTATTCCTCGGCCAAGCGCTCATGTAGGCGTACTTGCTAGGTTCCAGATAGAACAATTGCGTGGCCGGTTCATAGACATAGGGCTTGGATGCGCCAAATAAGGAGAGTGTGCTGTTGACAGCCGTAGTTAGGCCAGGAATTGATACCGATGAGGAGAGCGACAGAGGGAGGAGAGAAGAGTAGAGGCGATCACCAATGAAGGTGTCCCAAATTTCGAGGGCGATATCCATGTTCGTGTCCTGATCGCTACACGGATACAAGAGCGAATGAGGGAGCCAGACAATGAAGACAAGCAAGGACCTCGATGAAGATTGAAATCAAGGCGACAAACAAGAGACTGGCACTTGTGAAATGCAGAGGTAGATGAAGGCACTCGATGGAAGAGAGACCGGGGGGGAGGGGGAGTGGAGGAGGAGGAGTAGAAGGAGGGAGTAAGTAGGGGTGAATTAGTTGCCGTGAAGAATGGATAGAATGAAATTATGCAGGGACCCGGTGGAGAGTGAATAACAAGGAACACCAATCAAGTCAATAGTCTGCTAGAGAGGGAGGACCCAAGTGATCACACCAGAGCGGAACAAAGCCAGCCGCTCGCCTCCTTTGATTTGTTGCCTGCTTTACCCCTAGTGGGGAAGGAAGAACTTGGATCCATGATTATCCATGATCATGGATAATGGATACGTTTATGTCCTGTATATGGTGATGTAGGTACAATCGCACGGGGAATCTGTAGAATGTCTGACGTGGATTAGCTCACCAGACTGCCATCAAAGCGATCTGACCCTATGTTTGGTGGTGTGGTAGTCGTTTGATACTGCATGAACATTCTCGTCAGGAACATGATGTTTGTTGTCAAGTCAATCTGTAAGGCCGTTGATCTGATAAGGATTAAAGATGAAGGAATGAGCTATGAATGGTAGGTGTTGCTGTCGGGATGAATTCTTGGGGGGAATATCATTTCTCCATGAATAGCCGACGGTAGTAGTAATGATCCAGGAAAGTACATGAGTAGGGTTAATCTCAGCTTGCTGGCCTTGATTAACTACGTAGTAAGTAGTTAGTTAATTAGTTTAGTTACCTAGGAGTCAGTTAAACTTAGGCGGGTTTGGTCATCTGCTATGCCTAGAAATGAACGGGCAACTGGTCAGGGTCAATGGCTTCGCTTGGTTCGCGCCCGGAGCTGCAGCCGCTCGCTTGAGGCGGCAAGCAGCGGGTGGCGATTGGGTAGCGGGGATCTCCTAGCGGAGTCCGTACCTTACCTAAACCGAACTGTCACCTCATCTGAATCGACTCCTCTCCTTCAGCCTCAGCAACTCAACCTCCCGCTTCCTCATCTCATCCACACCCAACCTCTTATCCTTTCATTCCCATTCAATTCTCCTACCAGACAGTACCACACTATCCCCGCTCCCCAGCCTCTCTCTTCCTCCTCACAAACCCCCACATTACCACTTTCGATCGGGCCAACTCTGGTTCCCTTTCTCTTCGTCAAACATCGATTTCTGGTTAAGCTCACTACTGCGCCAGATCCTCAGGGGCGCGCTGTAATGCGGCTGCGTTGACTGAATCCTTTTTTTCAGTCTCTGTAGCCCCGGCATCGGAAAAATTGATATATTCTTTGCCCGTCACAGAAAAAAATATCACCGTTGAGCAAAGCGAACCGACCTCCCTGTCTCACACTCAACACGGCATTCTCTTCTCTATTCTCCCCCTTCGCTCCTTCACCGAGGTCTTCCTCACCTTCCCTCCTCAGGTCACTTTTTGAAATTCGACTTTTTTGAGTCGGTCCTCCGGCTTTCCTCACGCGGGTAGGAGTTAATCACAAGCGTGCGCCATGTATAACACTCATCGCGGGATGGTTCCCGCTCCCAACTCGCGCCTGACGGAGTTGTTGGACCAGCTGCGCCAGGAGTTTGAGAATCAATCTAGAAGCACTGGCGAGTTTGAACACCAATGTATGTCTGGTTTTTCTTCATCTTTTACGTGGTTCCCTGCATCGGTTCTGCGACTGGAGGTCTCCCTTCAAATCATGGCCTTCTCTCTGCCGGCTCTATTTAGTCGCGCGGCTCCAATTTACTGGAGGGGAAAACGGAAAGAAAAAGAGAAACCGGCCACACAGGGACACTCCCTCGGGGTGCGACTTGCTAACTAAATCCTTCTAGTAACTGGACAGCTTCAAGAAATGGAGATGATTCGGCAGAAGGTCTTTCAGCTGGAGCAGGCGCAAGTCAAGATGAAACAAGAGTGCGTGACCTATCACATACGAACATCACTTCAGGTGCGCGGTACCAAGGAAAAACTAATGCCTATCGCTTTGTAGCTATGAAGCGGAAATCCGAGTGCTGCGACACGAACTTGAGTCGCGCGGTGTCCAACCCGTTTCATCGCATATCGCCGGCCCCGCCCAGCACGCTGGCCCTACTCAGGCGCCGCCTCCTGCCTTGGGTCATGGCCCGAGCAATCTGTTTGGCGGGATCATGACCAACCAAGGAGGTAGTGGCCCCGGTCTTGCCCCCCCACCTCCCCAGGATCAGCAGCCTCCCCAGCATACCCTTCAACAGCCTGCTGCCGCGGCTCAGCAAGGAGCGCCGCAACCACCCCAGAGCTCTTTTGGAGGATATCAGCCCGGTGCTGCTGTGAACGGTATGTTATGGCGCTGGTATTATCAGCAGATTCTCTGACCGCTGACTCGGCTGTGCCTTGATTTCCATTTAGGCTACGGGCCCCCTCCTCCACCTGCCGCCTCTCCAGGTCCTGGTAAGCGGCCTCGCGCTCCTCCAGGCCCTGCTACTCCCCAGCAAACTCACCAGCTCGCCTATCCCGATCCTCGCGTCTCGCCACAGTTGGCCCGGCCGACTCCACCTACTCAGACGATGGTCCGCGACCGCCCTGGAAACATGCTCGCCAACTGGAACCCCGACGAGCTACCCGCCTCGCAAAAGCGTGAGGGTGCTGATTGGTATGCTGTGTTCAACCCCGAAGTGCAGCGCGTACTAGATGTGGAGCTTGTTCATCATCTTGTCCACGACAGCGTCGTCTGCTGTGTCCGATTCAGCCGCGACGGCAAGTACTTGGCCACTGGCTGTAACCGTCAAGCGCAGATCTACGATGTTACCACTGGCCAGGTTGTCGCCACGCTGCAGGACGAGAATGTTGATAAGAATGGCGATCTATACATACGTAGTGTCTGCTTCAGCCCAGATGGCAAGTACCTTGCCACTGGTGCCGAAGATAAGCAAATTCGGGTACGTCTTGCTCCGTCTTCCTCCAGGAAGAGAAAAGCGTGCTTGGCACGATTGCATTTCTAGCATCGTATCTCTTTGCCGTTTGCCATACATGAGTCGTACTCTGTTGCATCAACTCAACCGCTACGCCTCTTTCCCATTTAAGGGGCTGCTTCCGAGTTCTAGCTTGTGGGGTTTCTCCATTTCAGAAGCTAACTACCGTCTTCTAGGTTTGGGATATCGCTTCTCGGACTATCAAGCACATTTTCACTGGCCATGAGCAGGATATCTACTCTCTGGACTTTGCTGGCAATGGCCGCTATATCGCGTCTGGTAGTGGAGACAAGACTGTCCGTCTTTGGGACATTCTCGATGGCAAGTTGGTTTATACCCTAAGCATTGAGGATGGTGTGACCACTGTGGCCATGTCTCCGGATGGTCATTACGTTGCCGCGGGTTCCTTGGATAAGAGCGTTCGCGTCTGGGATACCACCACCGGCTACCTCGTGGAGCGCCTGGAGAACCCGGATGGCCATAAGGATAGTGTTTACTCGGTCGCCTTCGCACCTAACGGCAGGGACCTAGTCAGTGGCAGTCTGGACAAAACCATTAAGCTTTGGGAGCTCAACGTTCCCCGTGGCGCGTATCCGGGGAGTGGAGTCAAAGGTGGTAAATGTGTCCGTACTTTCGAAGGTCACAAGGTAATTCGCCCTGTTGCTCCACAGCACTTGTAGTAGCTAACTTCAAGGTCAGGACTTTGTGCTCAGTGTTTGCTTGACTCCCGATGGCCACTGGGTCATGAGTGGCTCCAAGGATAGGGGCGTTCAATTCTGGGATCCGATCACAGGTAACGCACAGATGATGCTTCAAGGCCATAAAAACTCGGGTAGGTCAATCCAGATAGTGGTCTCGCTATAATAAGACCTGGCTGACCCCGCTTCTAGTCATCTCGGTCGCTCCTAGTCCGACCAACAATCTGTTCGCCACCGGCAGTGGTGATATGCGAGCAAGAATCTGGAGGTAAGTCTCATTGTCCGTGATCATGGTATCCAGTAGCATGGGACGGAGCGTCTCCCACTCATCGGAACTCTGCTATGTTCTTCACTAACCACTTGACCTTTTCTCTCTCTTTCAGATACTCTACGTATACTGGACGGTGATCGGATTGGTTTAGGAAAGCTTTGGCGCAAACGTGAAATGTCTTTTGTCTTTGTACCTGCTGTTCTTGCCTTGACTTTGAGTATTTGCTGCTTCTCGCTTTGTTCTGCTCAAGGGATTCTGCGTGGCTGAAGGATGATTGGGGCCCCAGCCCATCCTGACTCCTGCGCGCAGTTGGGTGAGTGGCCGTCTTGCGGGGCTAGGTTCTGGTCTTCAGAGACGTAGTCCTACGAACAAGAGCGAAAATAGTCCACAGGCTGTGTTAGTAGTAATCTCCCGCTGAATTTCCGGTAATGAATTTGTCCTCAAACAGGCCCAATGCCATCATGACAAAAACACCGAGAATTGTGAACATCTCCTGGTAGACTCTCACCATAGTTGTCTATATAGCTAGTCTGCAGAGGCTGTCACAACCGCGTTATTTATTCGAAAATGGTGGTGAGGGACCCACTTGAATGGTACTTGCTGAACATGATCCCCAGAGTGATTAGAAGATCACTTCTGCAGTGTCCGGTGCCGAGACCTAAATCCTCACCTATTTGTTTCAGTCTGCAGGTCCATCGGGGACCAGATGGGGTTCCTGTTCCCGTCTAGAGTACAATACAGCGGAGGGATGTCAGATTGTAGCTTGCGAGTACTGATGTTAAGACCCCTATATGCATGCACGTGTGTATGCCGATGAAGAGATGGGGCAGACGCCACACAATCAGTGTAAGGCAATATGCATGTCAGCACGGTTTAGAGTCGGTCGTCTCCGGGTTTAACGCGACCCATCGACTCACATCGGTGGCCAGGCACATGAAGCATAGTGGATTGGGGGAAGGGGCAGCGGAGATCAAGCATTCGACTCTCTATTTTGATAGCCAATCGCTTATTCCTTGACCCCTTACTGTGCTGAATATATTCAGTACCTATGAAAGCGAACTCCATCGGGACATTTCTTGTCGGGATTGAAGCCAGCCGCAAAAACCGAATCATTGCAATCGGGTAGATGCAGGAACGGTCAGCACCTTGCCCTTCGCCTAGGTCAAATTACTCTTCTTGCCGAGGAAGAACTTCCCGCGTGGTAGGTATACGGGATGGGATGATGGCCTCTGGAGATCATTGCCAGGATTGCTTCCCAGGCAGCAGGTTACAGTCTGAGGCATGGGCGGAGTACAAAGCACATTCAATACGAGTCTTTGTGTGGCCAACTCGGTCAATCCTAAGGGTCGGGATGTATGGAGTAGTGGTCAGATTCTTGCAATGGAGATGAGACTGGTAAGCTCCAAATTCGGCAGCGCAGTGCAATGTAATGTGCCATGGGATGGTTGGTGGCACCACCCTGTCTGTTACTTGGTGAATTGTGGTAGGAAAAGAAATGACTCGGTTTCTGCGGACGTATGCGATGGCCCTTGGCATCTAATTGCTGAATTGAGTAGGCCCAAGATGTAAAACAATTAAAAGATCTCATGCTCACGAGGCATCCACTAGACGGGCTGCTGAATGTGCATTGAAAACCTTTAGCTCGCCGATTCGGACTTATGACAGTGTTGGTTGAGAATTGGGATAAAATATACGAGTAGAGCGTTGAACAAATAAGATTCTTGCTAAGAGCCTGGCGCGAAAAGGACACCAATCAACTCAAATGTCGCGGTGGGCTTTCAGAGCTATTGGCGGCTGATTTCATCTCAGCCCTCTCAGCCGTCACCGCCGCCTGAATTATTCTTATTATCGCATTGCGAGATAACACGACAAAAGGGTTGTAGCCATTGGAGCATTGGAGCATTGGAGGTTTCTGCCCTCGACTCGGTAATTGTCCTGTTTTACCTAGATGAGAGCACTGTCTGCCAGTACCCCGATTATCACTAATGCACTGATGCACTGTACTGTACTGTACTGTACATAACATCCACGCAGATCATGCATGAACTATTCCTGATGTCAGACTACATGACCAGAAGACCGCAAACATCATGGTTGGTAAAAGCTAAAGGAGACAAGTCGCCTCATTGCGTGCATGAACGGGCCAGATCATAGATGCAGAAGGAAAAAAGAAAAAAAAAAGTACGAAGAGTTCGGGTAAAAGAGGATGGAAGGATGAAGAGCAATGACCTGCTTAAGTGAATATTGTCAGTCGGGATCCGATGAGGTGTACTCCGTAGTTACTTAGTATATTTGTTGGTGTATCGTGGGTCTCCAGGCCAGGTTACTATTTCTTGCGTCCAGGTAATAACTATTCAATATACTCATGTACAGTACTCCGTACAATGTTTATAGAGAGGGATGGAGTACTACCACAGTACTTGTTACTGAGGACCGTGGGCGTTGCAGATTGGCTCGTCACCAGCAATAGCAGCAAAGATACTACTGTACTAGGTACAGGACCTCGTCATCAACACTGGAAATGAGACTAAGAATGGTCCGGGTCTTTGGTCGATCGTTCGATGACGCTACGTATGAGTATGTTTCGCCTCACTAATCACTAAGTAATTAGTCTGTTCCTGGCCAAGAGCGCCTCTTTCGTGATCTTCCGCTGCCGAGATCATTGCTATAATACTTCGTACTTTTGAATGCTTAAATCCTGTGCATGATGATACTTTCAAGTTGTAACAAAGTGAAGACCCAACGCCCAGGGAAATGTCGATACTTGACGGTGCCGAGATGGAAAAGGCCCGGCCCGTCACAGGAACGGACGGGAGGAGCGTGACTGCGAAAAAACAAATATCTATTTATCTACGGACCGTACGTATGTACATACAGACAGTGGACGGTCCCGATAACTTGCTCCGTCTCCCGGATAGGACTCGTCACTAAAAGTGTAATTCTGCAAGACTTGGTCTGGCCGATACCATGGAAGCACGTTGGATGGCCATGGCACAAGTCATGAAGGGAATATTGTTCTGGTGGGATACTGCAGCAATGTCTATACCCCGGACTGTTCAACCGAAACCTCCTTGCCTCCAGCCACCGTTCATTCTTGAGAGTCAGGGCCACATGGTGCGAGCATCAAACAATTGCCATCTGACCTTAGAAAGCAGCGAGATAGAACTGATTTGGGGAAAGAAAAGAGGAACTCTGAAAGGGCGTTGGGTGAGAGGTTGGGCTTTGGGAGAGAGGGGGGGGGGGAAATAATTCCTTCTATTGTGATGGAAGGAGCTAAAGCAACTGAACTTCAATTCATTATCTACAAATGAAAGGAAAGACAATAACTAAAGATGACAGAATTGCCTGTCGCTAGTCGCGGCTGTTGGAAATCATATAATCCTTTACTTCCCCTTTTTCTTTCCATTTTCTCCTTCAGATGTCAATTTTCGATTTTCGATTTTATTTTATTTAGAATTTTTGGCTTATTTCTCTTTTTTTTTCTCTTTTTCTTTTTTTACTTACCTTCTCTTTCCTTTTCTCGAGTAGTGTTAAGGCACGGTGGTGGAGTGGAGCCAAAGGGAACGAATCAATCATCGAGTGCACCGGGAGGAGGAGGAGGAGGAGGAGGAGGGAAGAGCCTGGGGTGCGTAAGAAGGGAGAGAGCGGAGAGAGGGCAAGACAAGGATCAATGGATCTCAAGGCTGAATGAAGGCTGAATGAAGGCTGAAGGCTGAAGTGTGATTTGGGAACTTAACAGTACAATACTGTGCGTAATGATCGCCCGCAGGTGGTCGGTCCGTCCTGGATCTCTTGTCCGCTGAACCCTGTTCAAACCAACAAACAAATCCATGTCGCTGGGAAAGGATTCTCAAGGTGCCTTCGACTTCGTGCTTCCCTTCATCATACTATTCTTGTACAGTGCGGTACATCTCTTCTGGCGATTATCTTCTGTTTGCCACCCTGAATGGTGAGAAAGATGAAATAGATCAGGCTCATTTCACTTGATGCTTGCTATAGGAGCTACAGTTTTAAATTCAGTCTTGTTCAATGCAAAAACAATTGAATCCCGATGCTGCTGGGTTATGCAGAATTGGCTGCCAGACACCCCAGTCCCGAGCCTGCAACCCGTCATTCACTCACCTGTCTGAGCATTGCTGCATCAAGTCCGATGTCAATGCTGAGTAGTAACGCCGTCTCGGTTGATGGGGAGCCTAGCTTGAATTCCCGACTCGTCGGAGTCCCATTCATAGTCATCGCATCCTCCTGTGTCTCCCCATACGAGCGCGAAAGACCACCATGCCGTGATCTACATACTGCCAGGTGATGACGATGATCCTTCGAGCCCGCGAGGGTTCCAGCCTCCAAAGGAGTCCCCATTGGCTGAGATGGACTCCGACAGCTCAGGTGCCTGCGTAAATGACGAGGGTATCCTGGTCGCTCCAAGAATTGCAATACGAGAATGGTTGAACTGCCCTTAGGTAAGCAGCATGACAGCGAAGATTATAAAAATAAAAAAAAAGGCAGCAAGTAACTACAGTGTCTTCTCTCTGGGTTCTAATGAAAGAGGGCTGTCATACCTCGCCGTCCTGGGATCGAAATCTGCTCAGAGCTTCGGATGATCATCATCTCAAGTCGGAAGGGCTGGCTAGCTTCCAGTTGATCGACTACTACGGTGGGGAAGCGGGCTTCGTACTAGTCAGGTACTAAACCAGAGCTAACCTGTGTCGAAGATACTGTACTTGTTCCCCCACCTCTCATTCGTGCAATGGATCATTACATCCGACGATGGAGGTCAGACGAGTATCAGGTACAGAGAGAGGACTTAGGTCCTCATGAATACCTGTCCGTTTGGATGACAATCACAAGCCCTCTCAGCCTGGGCCTCGAGCTCAGCTGAAAAGCTACTTATGGCATTCAGATCGATGATTCAGCTATTCAGACCATATTATCTCTTTGACAGCCAACCAAAATACTCCGTACCGTCAACGCGGTGATTGTCAGCCCGATCGGAAGGACACCACACATTCCGCGATTGGGTCAAAGTGTCCACGAGTAGTCCTACTAGTCATTTGCTCCGTCCATCATGCAGCCCTCAACAAGACCTTTTCTTTTTCGCCCCATTGTCTGGGGCGCAAAGGGACCAAAGAAGGGAGAAAAAGCGACGGGGGTGAAAGAAAGATCGCAGGCAAATGAGGTTAAGCTGGTCTAAAAACCATGCATCAGCTTTGGGGCTTAGCTCTCGCAATCCGGGCAAGGTTCCCTGGGGCAATGGCCAATCTTGTCTTCTACGAACCAAACCCGAGTCACAATCTACCGGCGTTATTATCCGCTTTTGGGATCCGTCAATTGCATTGTAATGTATGGAATTCGCACCCGAACCTTCACACAGTGACAAAGCAGGGTCCACCTAACCTGTCGGGCGAGTTTGTGGGTGAGGCATTAGACAAATGGAAGCATGATATGCGCGCGCTCAGGACAAGCGGAGGCAATATACAAGTTGCTAAAGTACGTTCAGGTAAGTCTCGAGTGATTGCTGCATAACCCACAGCCCATGTTTCAAACCTTTCCCCTCCGATTTTGATTTTTTTTTTTAAATAATTCTTATTTGTATTTCCACTTGCATTTAGCTGACATCCGCCATTCTCGGCCCCCGCCTCTCCCCCCTGAGCCTTCGATCTTGCCTCTTACCAACCTAAGCAGTAATGGACTGGCTCACTGGCATACTGGCATTACTGGGATACATACATACGTACGTACGTACATACATACAACCACAAATCAATACATACCAGCATCCATACATACATGATGCATACGGACATACCTATCGATCTTTTTGCAGTCCGTCCAAGCCTCCAGCTACCTAGACTAGGTACCAGCTAGCAAGCCAGATCCCTGCCGATTTCCACCCCGCTGCTTCCGCTATTCTGGGACACTGAGAAGGGGGTGGGCGGGATTGACTTGTATATCTAGTTCTAGATTGCCTCCTCTCAGCTGTCAAAAACAGGGAACAGAGAGGAACCGTGTCAACAAATTCCGCCAAAACAAATTTCAAGGCCAAAGGCGAAGAAAAACAATCGTCTGAGGTTGTAATCTGGGGAGTCATCAAGTTTGACGCTAACGTTTCCCTTTTTTCTTGCATGCTGGTCCATCTTCCTTGTTAGAGGACTGGTGATATACAGAGCGGAGAGACACCACTTGGAAACCAATCCGTACTTGCTCATTAGCCAATCCTACTGCTGCTGGAATCGTCGTCTACCATTATTCTCACCGGTTACAACTGCCAAGTCATATCGAACATCCGTCCACTTCTCTCACATCATCGGTCTTCTCAAGGTCTTATCATATACGGGCATAGTCGACAGGAGCTAGAGCGACATATCCACCTTGCGGGGCTCTGAAGGTCTCCTCTAGACCGATGCTTGCTTTTTAAGATCCGACTTTGCAATCGATCTGGATCTTATTTCACTTAGCTGCGGTCTTCTTTGCTTCTTTCCCCCTTGGAGGAAGACAGCCGTCTACCTTGGCAGTAAGGCTCCTCGCCTCATCAGTCTTGTCTCTTTCGGGCCCTATCTACAAGCGTCAAGTATGTGCAGAGCTAAAATGTTACCACAGCAGAAGCCCAATTGCCGGTGTCAGTCTTCTTCCCGTGATTCAATCACGGAAAGAGGATTAGAGCGGAGACGTCAGGGGTTGAAAGTTCTACATACGCTTTAAAATCTGAGATATCGATTTGCAAAATCATCGTCATGGAGACAGCAGAACCTGTATCATACGAATTCCCAAGTCATGCTGTTGGAGCCGTTGCCCCCCGTCGGATGATGAACACCGGTCTCAGCCACAACATATCTTTTTACACCAACCCAGCAGCTTCGTTTCCTCTTTCATTCCACCCGCATTCATCGACCGGTTATGGATTCGGACACCTCATCAACCATCACCACCACCACCCGCACCACCATAATTCGCACCCAGGCTATCAGCATTACTTTGTAGCAGGCCAGCAGCCGCTAAATTCTCAGCCTGCGCGCCTTTCATCAGAGCCGCCATCAATCCAGCCGATTCCCGAGATTCGACCGGCCAAGAATGCACTGAATCGGGTGACGAAAGATGCACTGACCAGGGTTGAGCGCAAGTCTGACTCGCAGCAGCCGACGACTGGAGGACCAGCACAGGAGAAAATACTATGCACAAATGAAATTGAATTCTCGACAGAAGTGGACATCCTTATGAAAGCAATACAATCCAAGGCTAGCACTCAGGCGGTGGGCGGACAATCACTCCCTCCACTTCAGCAACTGACGCACGGAGGGAGCAATACCTTCTCCCATTCATATTCGACCCCACCAGCCACGAACCCGAGTTGTACTGTGATGGTTGAAGATCAGCCATCCCGGTCAGGAAAGAAGCGCAAGTATGCTTGCACCCTTCCACATTGCGGCAAGGGCTTTGCGCAGAAGACACATCTTGACATCCACATGAGGGCCCACACAGGAGACAAACCCTTTGTGAGCGAGCCAATCTCCCAAGAAAGCAGTGCAAAAGGTACTAACGGTTTGTCTGTAAGGTTTGCAAAGAGCCCTCGTGTGGCCAGCGTTTTTCTCAGCTTGGAAACTTGAAGGTAGGCTCGCTCCTGTGCTTGATGTTGCCGCAAGACGGACGAAGACTCCTGGATAGCATCAAAGTAAGCTTATACGTATATCAGACGCACCAGCGACGCCATACAGGAGAAAAGCCCTTCTCCTGTGAGATATGCCACAAACGGTTTGCCCAACGGGGCAATGTCCGCGCGCACAAGATTACCCACCAACACGCAAAGCCGTTCACTTGTCTCCTAGATGACTGTGGTAAACAATTCACACAGCTGGGCAATCTAAAGGTGTGGTTTTGTATGAGTCAAACTTAACCGGGTGGACTTAGTGGTACTGACTAGCGTGGCAGTCTCATCAGAACAAATTCCACGCAGCTACACTAAGGAACCTGACTCTGAAATTCTCCCAGATGACAGATGCAGATAACATGAGCCCACAAGACCAGAAACTCTGGGAATATTTTGCTACCTTGTACAAGAATAGCAACAAGGGTATTAAAGGTCGCGGGAAGGACCGGAGGATTTCTCCCCTTTCAAGATCGGAGACCAGGCCCGATTCTTGCAGAAGGATCCCTTCCATAGGCAACGATGACGATAAACTGCGCCGCGCAAGCTACGGAGATACGTCGACTTATAACTGTAGCTCCAGTAGCGACGAAGAGGATGCCGAACCTTACTTCCTTGACAGGCAGGGACAGACTTAATTTGGAATTGATATCTCTTATTGCCCTTGCTCTCATCACTACTGAGATTAGGCCACGATACGTGATACGATTGAATTGGGCATTCTGCTTCTGACTTCAACGTACAAAAGAACATCGAAGTGAGCTCGAGGTCAAGAGAGAACTTGACCACGGTCCTACTTTGAACGTGCATAGGATACTTTTTACAGCATATTATAAACTAGGTCTTTGAAAGTGCCTTTTATTACTTGATTCGCCTTTATCGTCTTGCGGGCAATGTGAAAGTACTCGCGCTCAAGGTTACCCTTGAAGTAATGACGGACATTATGATTGACTTCGGAGTAGATGAGGTAAGCTGGCGGCGTCTTGAGATAGCTCACTGGGTATTAATGCCTTCAACTAGTCACTAAGAACCAGCCTGGGCAGATATGCTCGAGTGTTTTCATACACAAGGAAGGTGACCCATGTGCTGGGTAATACACGCAGCAGATTTGGCGCCAGCCCTTTGTAGAAGCCCTTGATCCCTTCCTCCGTCCAAATCTGCACCACCGCATCTCGAACGCCCATGTAAACGAGATGAGCATCGTAGGTCTGCAACCGGGATCGCAGCACCTGGTAGGGATACGAAACGCACCCAGCAAAGAGTTTCGAGAGGCTAGACAGGACAAAGTAGTCAACGTTTCCAAGCTCTGATGACGTTGGCTGCCATGAGCTCAGGCCGCCGGTGCCGTTGAAGACGTCCCCGGCCGCCATGCGGGTGCGATACAGCTTCATCTTTTCATAAGCCATGAATTGCAGCGCACCATGGCTGACCCCAAGCATCGCCGGAACCAGACCCCTATAAAAGCCGGATATGCCGTCTGAGCGGAATATCTGTCTCGCGCCCATGGCGAGCGAGGCGTAGGCTCCCGGCGCCTGGGAGCCGGTCGATAGCATACGGGTTTTGATAACCCATATGGGATTCGTTAAAATAGACGTCAGCATACCTAAAGGGTAATCACGGGTTCTTGAAATTAGCGGAATTGCCAAAGTCCCCTGCTGCCTGACAGTGACACTCTGGGTCTAGAGAGGACGTACCGGCGAAACCCGAGGCTAGAAAGTAGTCGGTCGAGCTCAGGCCCCGACCTGGATCATCACCACGCCGAGCTCGCATCAAATTCTTGATATTGCCATAGCATAGGAAGTAGAGGGCCCAGCTGGTTGAATTTCCAACAAGATTAGGCGTCAGACCTCGGTAGAAAGCCGCCAAGCCGCCTTCATGCTGAAAGATATCCCGGACAAGTCGGAGTGATCTACGGCCCCGAAATGTCGAAGACCGATCGACTAGAACGTTGTGCGGTACTCAGGTCAGTTGAAGAACAGGTTGGTTTGGTGAAAGAATGGTGAGTAGCGTGGTACTAGTTTAGGAAGAAAGAGAGGCACACCCTGAAGTCGAGTCTTGACCAGGTCAAGAGGATGCAGGCAGAGCGTCGAAACAATTCCTGCCGTGAACCCTGCTACGGTCTCCACAAAGGATGACGACAGACCATCCTTGCCAGTCATGAACCCTTCAATCCCTCCGAAAAGGTTCGAGCTGCTGGTCTTTTGAAAATACCTAGGATAGAAAAGATCCCAGTCTTGGCGTCGGTGCGAATCAGATTGGTGTAGTTAAAGCAACGACGAAAAAGCGCACCGACCTGGGCCTGAGTTCGTGTGGTTTAGCTTGGCGGGCCGGGGCGTGCGGGATAAGTCCAGAGCAATCTCCGGTCATGATCCAGAAGTTTAGGACCATGTCGAATCCTATTTCTACTAGGCAAATGAGAATCCCTTGTTCTTACAGCTCTGTAGTGTTGAACAATCTAAACGGCTCCAGTGCGTCACTTTCAAGTATGGTACTTGGGATAGAAACAACAACACCGGATGAAGTCATTCGCGCGAAAAACAAACAGCATCAAGAAGAAAAATGACAAAGCGCAACACAGGTTTTAAAATACACATTCGTCGGTGCTAGGCTCCTGAACATCCAGTATAGAATTTCTACAGGGCAAGAGAGAGAAAGAGGCTCCCTTCGAGGGAACAATTCGGCCGATTCTCCTACCCGGGCTAGCAACAGACCCATTGAATAAGATCTCGAGTGCCCATTGTCCAAGGGCAGGCCCCGTCGTGCGATACAATCAATCCTTCTATGACTCTATGCAAGCGGCGAGAACAACCTGTGTGCCATGATGGTTAGCCGGTTGTATACATTGGAGGGATATCGGAACAGGGATCTCGTTCGTACTTGAATAGAGAAGGCTTTGGCTCGCTGTAAGTGTAGCCTATCGTGTCATAATCAGTATAAGGACCATCTTTGTTGCTTCCGACACGAGGAAGGCTCGTGGTCGCAGAACCATACCGAGATAAATGATCAGAGGGAGATATCCACTAATACGAAAACAACCATCAGTTCCAATTCCTAAGGGGCTTGGTATATCTAGGAAGAACTCACTAGTGGATGGCAACTCTGGAGACGTCAATAACCTTCGAGATACGCTCCTAATGATCATAGACAACTGTAAGCAAGTCCGATATAAAAGCTACTCGAAATAGGGCATATGAACTTACCTTGGTTTCTTCGGAAAATTGGACCATGGTGAGCGATCGGTAGCTTCTGAATCGTGAGCAGAATTGCGATTCGAATAAGTATTAGGAAGGTCTAGAGGGTCGAGCTACCAAGCAGTAAGAATGAGACGTTGACTATATTGTACGATTTGAAGTGGTCACGGACGACGGGAAGGAGGTGAAGCTCAAAGTTTTCTGGGGCTGACAGAAACGTACCGCTCCGCCGAACGCTTTCTGGCTCCAGCAGACAATCAAGTCCTCCGCAGCTTTCGCCTCTCCACCACCTCCCCTCCCCCCTTCTCTGTTATGTCAGAGTCTCAACACATCCTAGTCGATATCTACTACAAGCACGCGTTTTTATCCTTCTCCCTGTCTCATTTCTTCCTTTCATCCTGTCAAGCAATTGTGGTCTGTCTAGGAATCACCCATCAGTCTTTCACCGCGCGCCATGTCTGGCGCAAGACATTGGTAGGTGCTGTACGCTTTCCATCGCAAGCTCACGATTCCAGATCACTGATTAACTAGGTAGGGAACAAGATAAAGAGGCTACCGTCTACATTGGGAACCTCGATGAGCGGGTCACAGATAGCCTGGTATGGGAGCTGATGCTTCAAGCCGGGCGCATCGTTAACGTTCACCTGCCGAAAGATCGAGTCACACAATCGCATCAAGGTTATGGCTTCGTGGAATTTATCAGCGAAGAGGATGCAGAGTATGCTTCGCGCATCATGAATGGGATTCGCTTGTACGGAAAACCCATACGCGTGAATAAGGCATCCGCCGACAAGCAGAAGTCCGTGGAAATAGGTGCAGAGCTATTCGTCGGTAACCTCGACCCAATGGTGACAGAGCAGGTTCTATATGATACTTTTAGTCGCTTTGGGAATTTGTTAACTTTACCAAAGGCATGCGCCCCTTCTCTCGGTGGCCTTGCGCCGCAGATCCGAATGTCATTGCTCGCAAGCTGACTGACGCTTTTCTTTTGACGCAGATCGCAAGAGATGATAACAATCTATCGAAGGGCTACGGGTTCGTATCATTTGCCGACTTCGAATCGTCGGATGCCGCCATAGCCAACATGAATGGCCAGTATCTGATGAATAAACAAGTTTCAGTCCAATATGCATACAAGAAGGACGGCAAAGGCGAGCGGCACGGTGACCAGGCGGAGCGGATGCTGGCGGCGCAGGCTCGTAAACATAACGTGCGTCCGCCCACTCAACCTCTACCGACGCAGTTTTCCGGAACAGGGACTCCTTCGGTACCGGCAGGGATCGCTAATGGCGACAATTCCCGGCCCGTGAGCACTGGTCCACCTGATTTGGGTTTGGGGAGGGGCATGCCGCCTCCCACTATGGGCTATCAAAATACGCCGCCTACTCAGCCGAATCGACCAGTTCATCCTCCTACATCTCTAGCGACCCCGCCGCCAGGTTTGCCAGCACGGCCTCCACCTTCGCAAGCGGGTTACGGAGGACCGCAAGCTTTTCTTCCCACTGGCTTCAATAGTGCTGGTCAACAGCCACCCTACCCTGTCCAAGCAGCAGCTCCACCGGGTTTTGCACAGCCGGGCTACGGCCCTGCTACGGGTACCCCTGGGCCTCCCCCTCCGCTGCCGCCAGGGTTTCAACAACCTGGCTATGGGCGAGGTCATTGAATCTCAATATCGCATTAGCCATGTTTTGAATAATTATTCGAATAACGACAGCTGGTTCCACCGGACAGCTCTCGCTCCGAAGGGTGTACTTGGCCCAGAACAGCCCTGGAACAGAACGCTTCCCCACTTTACGATAAGAAGACGCTTGTATGTTTTCTTCGAGGCGCTTCTCTTGCATGGACTTACCGCATAATCCCGTTACAATCAAAACCTGAACTCGTGCAAGAATGACCCTTTCTTGTTTCTCTGCCACTAAACACACTGGTGCTTGTCAATGCTAGATCGATGCATAACGCGTGAATGCAATTGATGGTGATGGCTACAGAATCCGGCGATTCTACCAGGCCTTGCAGCGAACCCCATATAGCGGACTGTACAACAAATACCATTTCAGCGATTTCCCGAATAAAGTGCCATGTATGATAAAGTATTACAATATACCTATATGCTGTGCACACAAAACAAGCAGTGGTAAGCGCTACAGTGAGCACGAGAGATTCAGCTTGTAGAGAACGTGGTTAAGAAAAGGAAACAAATTTGGGATCTCTGGGCCGACCATCCGGGCCGATATTGTTTCTGGCAAACCGTTGCTCCGTGTAAATGCGACGAGCTTCATCAAAATCGACTTTCTGCCGGTGCATGATCCTCCGAATGTCGCGTTTGGCAAGGCTGTCTAATCCAGCTCGATTATCTCCATCCGCAATGTTCGCAGCAAGATCAAACTGCGTAGATGTCAAGCCAGTTTCGACATCGCCGGCAAAACTAGAAGGAAGGCGATAGTAGATATATTCGGGCACGGGGATCAAGGGTAGCCATCGAGAGCGCGTAAGGTAGAGTGCTAAAGACATCGTTTCAGTACTAGGCCGACATAATATATTGAGCGCCCAAAGCATACCTGTGCCGCCAATGATAACAGTGAAGGTCAGAAAGAACAGGATATAGTAGGCCATGGTCCAAGGGCTTGCCTATAGTAGGACTTGGTGAGAACTGCGCCGAATCCAGATCGCAATCGTGCAGTTGTTGACAGCGGTATGACAAAGCTCGCCTTCTCTTTGCTTGAAAGCGTTGCTTAGTAGAAAGCAGAGGCGGCTGCCACGACTCACTACATGGGCGACATTAGAAGTAAAACGAGGATGGGATATGGATGTGGAGAAGAAGCCAAATATGGGCCGTGCAGATGCTCCTGACGTTATGTATGAGCCCAGCCTGGGATGCAGCCTTGTTAGTGCCTAGCGGATTAGGCATCAAGGCACTAATTCACATCATTTTAGGCCCACTGCACTATTTGTTCTATCCCTAAAGCGGCCTGCTTAGCGAGACCCGCGGCCTTTTCCAGCGTTGCCATTCTTGGCGCTGGCACACACACAGGGCTATTAGTATTGGAGGCAAGAGTCGCATATACCGAACGGACTCGCGACGAATTTGATTTCCCCGTAACCTCAAGCTTCACACGTTATCTTCGCAATGGCCGCCGAAAGAACCAACGTCTCCAGCGATCTCGTCTGGCAGATTACCCGTACGTCACTATCCCTCGCACAAACCCCAGGCAAAGAAATGGAATCATAAATCAGACACCCCAAAAATCTACCTCTTGCCATCTACCAGGAAATCGGCATCACCTCTCCTCGAATCCAGGCTAATGAGTGATATCCGACAACAGGCAACCAGAATGCTTTCTTGGTCAAGCGTAACAGCGGTGGTGGTTCTCAATTCTCCCGTGACCCCTTGAACGTGCAGAACAAGCAATCTTTCAAGGTAAGAGCGCCGCCCTAGGACACTCCCGCTTCTTATTGCTAACGTTGTTATTTAGTACGCCGGCTATGCCAACAACAAGGTAGTTCGCACCATATCTCCATTGATTTGCGAACAAATCCCCTGATCTGTTATCACAGGCCATTGGTGTCCAGGCCACTGAGAACGGCGGTGTTGTCGTCCTCACCAAGAAATCCAACCCCCAGCAGCCCGCGAAGAACATCGTCACCGTGAGCTACGGTCCTAGCGCTTCCACTCGCAAGTAGGTAGACGCCATCTGTTACTGCTCCGTTCTGTCCAAAGCACATCAAATGTCTGACTTGCCCTTTTTTTTTTTGCGCTTCATAGGATCTTCAAGGGTGTTGCCGACAAAACCGCTAAGAACGGCTACCGTGCCGATCTGCGTGAAGCCGCCGTCGCCCGTGTGAGTGCCATCCGCCGCTCCCAGAAGCCCAAGAAGGAGTCTCCTCCTCAGAAGCTCCGTGGTGTGCAGGCCAAGAAGGCCGCGGAAAAGGACCAGGAGTAAGTAACAACAGTAGCAAGAGAGATTCTAGGGTTGGAGTTCGCCGAAGACGACGCATCAACCATAGCAGGGCTGTGTCAGCCCAAAGGCGGAAGTACTCTTAGTCATGCTGCGTGATATTGCTACCATGAGGACCACCACCGGCCATGTGAGATAAAATAATCCTCTAAATGAAAAAGGAAAAATGTCAAAAAAAGTTCACATTATGCCTCGCGGGTATCTTGCCTCTTTCCTGCTGTGTGATCACCCATTTGACTCAAACATACTGTCATCGCCTTGGGGTGACAATAATAAACCTTGTAAGGTTGAGTTGAGAACATTTCGGGAGGTTAAAGGAAACTGATAGCCGTGTCTCGGACCAAAGAAACACTCCTACCATTCATTACTTGGTAGGCCAACAGTAACCGCGCATTTACCGTAGGATATCCATGATTAGAGAACCAGACGATCCGTCTTTTTCCGAAGACCATCCATCATCAGTGGAAGGAGTAGAAGACTTCTGAATGAGGAGGAAGGGTGGCATTCAGGTACCGACAAACTCCGCCGGAAGCTGGGGCGAGAAGGATAGCCAACAACATTCTATTAGCAAACAGGGAAGAATCCGGACGGAGAGGACGGATGGACCGAGCCGACCTATCGAATTGTAATCCATTCGACCATCTCCAAACCACAAGGGGTTCCCCAAGGATGACGACAATTGAGGATACCCCCAAGGAAGCTGAGTGATTGACCTCGGTTCCCATACGCAGTTGGCGTTATCGTGGCGGCCAGTTTCTTTCTTCTTCTTTTCCCCTTATGACGAGTAGTAGTAGTTCCTACCTAGGTAGTGAATAAAGGTTAGGTACTTACTATGTACTGTACAGTAGTGTACTGTACAGTGTACATCTACATACAGATGATCCAGCCTCCTGGGACAGCAAGCTTCCCCTCGTCCCCTCCCCCACATGTGATTACCACCAAACAAGCTGGGTCTATATAAGTCCGGTCATTGCAATACCTGGTCTGTCAATTTCACTCACTCATTCACTCACGCTTTCTCTGGTCAAATTGTTAATCTTGCCAGACGACATCTTATCCTGCAGAGGAGTTCTGCACAAAGGTAAGAAAGAAGTACTGTACTCAAGAGTCATTTCCAGGCAACTGATTCTCTTCACTTGCCCTCCTCCCCCCCACCTGATCTGCTCTGTCCTTTTGTTTTCTCTCTCCCTCCTCTCTCTCGCTTTGTTGGGCTACGATCTACGGACAATACCCCTCCTTCCTTTCCCCACGGTTTCAGTTACCCCTCTTTTTCTCCCCAAGGCTCCCTCCGATGAGAAGGCACTTTCCCTGACCTGCTCACCGTGAACTGTGACCGTACCACCACTACTGGAAACCCCACACAACCCCTCTCCCTCCTGTTATCAAACAAAAGATTCCCTCCCTCTCCCTCCTCTTTATTGCTCAATTTCTTCCCTTTGCTACACCTCTTCCTCACACACCTCTCACTCACGCCATCTTCTAGCTCTTTGTCTGTCCCTTTTTTCGATTATTCACATCATCGAAAATGGTTAAAGCTGGTGAGCCGTTTACCGCCCCCCCCATCCTTCTACCCGCACGCAACGCCACCTAGATCCAAATGACAGTAGACAAACAACCATTTGGCATTGACTGACCCTGGTTCAACAGCTGTTCTTGGCGCATCTGGCGGCATTGGCCAGGTCTGTATTTCTCTATTGAGGGCCGTCCTAATTTTCCCATTCACCCCTAGCTGACTGTTGCGTCCTCTATTTTCGTGATGGATAGCCTTTGTCTTTGCTACTGAAGACTTCTCCGCTGGTCGACGAACTCGCCTTGTACGATGTTGTCAACACTCCAGGTGTTGCTGCCGACCTTTCCCACATCTCTTCTGTTGCTGTAGGTGCCTGTGGCCCCGGATCTAAACTAAAGCAACAGTGTTAACTGAGGGTTTCCTTCTCCCTTGCAGAAAATCACCGGCTACTTGCCTAAGGACGATGGCCTCAAGCATGCTCTGACTGGGGCTGATATTGTCGTCATCCCGGCTGGAATACCCCGTGGGTTCTGCTTTTCTTCAACCTAAAAAGTCGCCATGCACTAATCCAAAAACTGGCTCATAGGCAAGCCTGGAATGACCCGCGATGATCTTTTCAAGATCAACGCCGGTATTGTGCGCGACCTGGTCAAGGGTATTGCCGAGTTCTCTCCCAAAGCGTTCGTTCTTATCATCTCCAACCCTGTCAACTCCACGGTTCCCATTGCTGCAGAGGTTCTCAAGGCCGCTGGCGTCTTCGACCCCAAGCGCCTCTTTGGTGTGACCACTCTGGATGTTGTACGCGCAGAGACTTTCACCCAAGAATTTTCGGGCCAGAAGAACCCATCTACCGTTCGGATTCCAGTCGTGGGCGGTCACTCCGGTGAAACTATTGTTCCCCTTTTCAGCAAGGCTACTCCTGCCTTCCAGATCCCATCGGACAAGTACGATGCCTTGGTCAACCGTGAGTCATTTCCGCTTCCGCCACCGGTCCGTATGAATGTGTGCGCTTACGCTAGCCCAGGTGTACAGTTTGGTGGAGATGAGGTTGTCAAGGCCAAGGATGGCGCTGGCTCCGCGACGCTGTCTATGGCTTTTGCCGGTTTCAGGTCTGGCTTCCATCTATCACGGCGATGCTATGCCTCAAACATATCTAATTCCGTCTTAGATTTGCTGAAAGTGTGATCAAGGCATCCAAGGGTCAGGCAGACATTGTTGAGCCCACATTTGTGTATCTGCCTGGTGTTGCCGGTGGTGACGAGCTTGTTAAGGCAACAGGTGTCGAGTTCTTTTCTACTCTTGTGGCTCTTGGGGTAGGTTTTGATAACTCATTGCGAGTCAAGCCTTGACTAGTGCTAACGCTACAAAACAGGAGAACGGTGCAGAGAAGGCTGTCAACGTCTTGGATGGAATCACGGACCAGGAGAAGAAGCTTCTCGAGGCCTGTAACAAGGGCTTGAAAGGAAACATCGAGAAGGGCATCGATTTCATTAAGAACCCTCCACCAAAGTAAATTCGTCCATCCCCGCACATCATTTACAAGTTCTTCTTCGTCCGCGACCCGATGATCAGTTGATACCGTACACTTTGTCTCCCCCGGAAAGACACCTCTCGGTTGATTGAGCCATCGTTCCCGGACACGGATATGGATAGAATATCGCTGATCGTTGTCATCCCTTGAAGATAGGCTCTGAAGGACGAAGTGGTGAAGACACAACAGGCGTGGAACATATCGAAGTAGGACCGTAACTTAGGTACGAGCAGTTTGCACAATACAGTCGAGCATCATGTATATTTTTGCCTGGGTATCTGATCATGTAGCATCTGGTGGCCGGCTGAACCGTGGGTTGGTTGGTAGGGTTGGTAGGCGGGAGGGACGAGCTGTGACAGTATTGAGTCTGTCATGACTCCTGTGTTCGTAGGTGCTCCATCTCTACAAGCGATCATGCTTGACTGCTGGCGTGTAGGAGGTCGGAGCTTGTCTGATCACGATTTCGGATTGACAGTCTTGATTTGAAACGTAGCTCCTGGAAGCTCGGCAGTTTCTGCTTGGACAGTGGTGGCAATGCCCAGGTTGAAAAGCGCGCCACGAATGACACCGCATGGGAACCACAGATACTTTCAGGCACCAAAAACAATTAGTAGGTAGCCCTAAATATGAATCACCGCGAGGGCTGGAGGGGCCATACCGCTTGAGCCATTGACACCGATTCACTTCGCATGGATGTGCTCATTCTGGCGAATGGCCGAAATGAATTGTCGGTCAAGACATATACGCCCTGGAAATCCAGACTTAGAATTGCCCCATTTCGCAGTGTTTCTATGTGTTCGGTGCCTACCCGGTGATTGGTCTTCAGGTTATCGACTTGTTTCTTGAAGAGGATGGTCCAAAGGTCTTTGCAAAGAAACTTGATCACATCTAAGCTGTCCACAAAACGCGGGCGGTCTCGAGCGAATCTGTTCAAGTCGAGTCGAGTTGATATGAGTTAGCAGACACGAAACGACCGCAACCGCCATGTCATGCCTGTCCCTCCGAAAGATAGTCTTTTCAAGTGACATCTGAGGGGCCGTACCGTTCAGCAAGCCCTTGGCCGACTCTGTAACCGAGAGACTCAAGCCTGAAAAAAGTTGTCTCTTTGATTTCTTCATCATCTGGCATACCGTCGTCTGTTGTGAGCTCTTTCGTTAGGCGCTCAGCCATTGGCACGAGCTCTATGAGGAGAAAATCCAAGCACGAGGCGCCGAGCAGGCGAGATTGCGATTCGGAGGCATGGTTGTTGAGTGACGTGGACGATTCCGCTGACATAGTATCCGATGTTGCCGGTTTTGTTGAGAGGAAACCAAGAATAGGGTACTTATGAATCAAGTATATGGCATTCTAGAGTGTTTTAGAACAAGGGGCTGAGGGCCAACTGATAGATAGGGTGCCTCCGCCCGCAAGGTCACGGGTGAGGAGTGATTCCGGATAGTAACCAGAACCTACTGGGTCTCCGTATAGTACAATACAATACAGTACCATATAATCGGAAATAGTACTCCGTACCTCGCAGCATTCCAATTACATGCAGGCAACAATGAGGCGCTCGAATTGCCAGCTGGGCGCAATTTCTGTGGCTGTAAGTATGATAGTAAGTAGTGTGACTCCCTCTCATGTTAATCAATCATGGGTGCTTCTATGCTCTAAATCTTCTAATGATAGGATTACGGAGATAAGATTTGACGCTGAGCATACACAAGTGCAGCCCGTCGTGCATATCAATTGGTTCGAATTCTTTGAGCAAATTGTGTAAAGGAGAATGCAGTAATATCTCGTCCAATCCAACGCACTCATCAATCCCCATGGTATAATGATAACCAGTTTCCAATTACCGAATGCGCCGTGACACCTTGCATGGATGCTTCAATATTTTGATGGCTGATAATCGCCTGCCTGGCCCCGATAATCGGGGCTGAGCTGGTCAGATAACAAGAGACCGCCTCCATCTCTAAGACCACTACTGTACGAGTCGTGATATTCTGAACGAAGTAAGCTCCTTCCAACTTCACCCAGCGCGGGCCGTTTGGCCGGTCTAATCGGAAGATCGTCGTCGCCATCGTCATCATTGTCGCTGCCAGTAAGGTCAATCACTTGGGCTGCAGGACGCTTATTCATCGACGAGGGAACTGCGGACGAGGTTGCAGAGGGTTCGCGTGATTGAAGTGGGGTCTGCTGCAGGGTCAAGTTGACGGCAGAGAGACTCTCTTGCTTGATTGGTGTCATCCCGGGATCATTAATCTCTATCAGTTCATCGTCATCGTCTGTCGTCGGTGTAGTCTTCCCAGCCTTCTCGGGCTCTTCGAGATTAGGGTTGTACCATCTCCCATCTGGTTCAACAATGACTTGTTCAACGTCTAGCGGAGTCGACCGAAGTATGTCATCCACATATCTGACGAATAGTTTTAGTTCTCCTGTTACACCTTCCCCTAGCGCGCAAGGTCAATATCTGCACTTACTGGTCTATTTGTAATGACTCGAAACTGGTCGCTTTGGAACATACAGGGCACAACCATTGCGGGGCTTGTTCCTGTAGTTGTAAGAATGAAGACGCGTCAAAACATTGATTATGGGTGCAAATGATGGAGCGACAGGGAACCGCAATTCTAGTATGCGACAAAGGACACTTGAGTGACATTACACTCGAGGTCGCGACGATTTCCGTGTCGTCTGCTTTGCTCCTCACTAAGAACATATTAGCTAGAATTTCTCGAGTGAAGCGAATGCATAAGAACGCATACTTTCGCGCAGGACTTGTTCTTTTGTGATTGTTTTTCTGTTTTTCAATTCGGCAACAAGCTCTTCTACTGGATGCCGCTGGACAAGGTTAACTAGAACAAAGAATCTCTATCGAAAAATTAGCAATTAAACAGAGATTAAGCCCGATACCGCACGAATAACGGATACATCAGTGCTTACCTTTTGTGTGAGCGCAAATGTCAAGACAACGGTGTTTTGATACCCTGCCTTTTTGCGAACATAACTGGTAATGTCCGCCGGTCTTGTTGTACCCGGCTTGTTCTTGAGGCCCCGCAAATTGGCTTTGACCTCATCGAGATTTGTCTTGAGTTCAACTTGATGAGGGAATGCTATATCCGACTTGGTATATTGATTGAGACCCGTATCTGCAGCGCAAAACACCATCACCCGGAGATTCGGGTCAGTTTGCAATTTGGATGCCATACTAGGCGTGAAGGTGACTTTCAGCTCCACGCTATCCCGAGTGTGCTCGCGTACTTTGGTATTTTAGGGTCACTGGCAGTTCTTCAGATGGGATAATGAACTAACCTTTGCATTCCGCTGTCGGAGTCAATTGATCCAGTACCGTGTAGAAGGGACTGTCTTTGAATGTCAAGCGCCCTATTTAGTGATGGCGGGTTATTCAGGCTGTTGAAAGTATAAAGGGCCGAAGCATCAAGCTTCAAATACCTGGGGTATTGGCATGCGACGGCACTGTCATGCTCATAGTTGGTGGTCTGTGCTGCGTGGGCATAGACTGACTGATTGAAGACTGTTGATATTGCTGACTAGATAGAGAATGCGACATTATAGGCGCTGGCATCGACCGGTGTGCTGTATGATATATGAATTTCCTCAGGCTATCATACTTCTCGATATGGCCCGCTTCGCTGAGCCTATCAATGTCTATTGTCTCTCGAAAAGGGTTAACAGAATTTTGACCAACGGCAATGGCTTCAGAGAAAAGGTCTCTATAACGAAGAGCACTGCGGGTATGGGGGATAAAACACACAATCTATGATCCGTATTTGCAGTGACGCCTTCACTCCCGAGACCGCAAGTCCCTCGTTCCTCAATATCTCCTTCAACTGCGCATTGGTTAGGGTTTTTACCAGAGCCACTGTGCTCTGGAGATCGTGAAATGAAATATCTGATGTCATTTTGAGTCCAGCCGAGTGTCTCCGTATTGTGGTATATGCAGCCAACTGTGGTCTCAGGAAGAAGTATAATTCAAGATAATTGCGCTATGCTGAGCAACACCGTTCAAAGACATCGCAATACTCGCTGTGAGTAAGACCATAAATCGTTAGAAGCAAAGCTCGGTAGTCAGCAAAGTAAGCATTGGAGATATCGTACGCGATGTGCGCTGAGTTCTTGGCTACTCATTTGTACAGCCTAGACAGATGGTGATTGCGGAGTTGTGAAGAGCCTCCGATCGATGTGATGACATAAGATCAGTCGCCGCGCAAGTTAGTGTTAACCTAGTTCAGTAGAAGGGGGGGCAGGGTAATTTCCCCGAGGCGATAAGATAAAGACTTTATCGATGCAGATCTAAGAAAAATCTGCAAAACCCATTGCTCACAACCCATATCGCCAAGCCAATATCTTTTTTCATTCTTCATTCACTGTCGATATATTATTCAATCATTGAGACTATCTGCCTTCTTTTTCAAACATGGCGAAGAGTGGTCGAGCCAGTGTCATCAAGCGCAACAGGGCCAGTTTGCGAGCCACTGTCTTTGCGCCTGCCGTCGATGCAAGAACTGAAAGACTCTCCGCAAAGCTGCAGGAACTTGCCGCCCAGCCAAAGCCAAATGAAAGCAAATCAAAGATGGAGTTGGACTCAACAAACTGTGGTAGGTTCTTTCTCAATGATGTTGCTCAGCCCGAACTTACAGAAAGCATCGATTGACACTGAAATTTTAGATGCCCAAGCTAGTGAGGCAAAGTCAAAGACAACAGAATCTAATGAAGGTATTTATTATTCAGATCTATCGCTCCTGTGATGAAATCATACGTTACTGTTTCGTACTTAAGGCTCATCTCACGACTATAGATATGGATATCGATCAGAAACCCCATTATACCCACGGTCGCTCTAAAAAGTCAGGGCGCATTCAGAAGAATAAGAAAAATCGCTCATCGATAGTCTTCCGTCCTCACCCTTTGAAGGCCAAAAGAATGTCTAAGAAGAAATAAATGAACTCGCCTTGCGCATGTTCAGCTTGCAAAAGTTTACATCTGGAGTTCTGGAGTTCATATGTGATCTGGCTTCATATCATTAGCCATCTCGTCATTTGCCCGTTCAGCTAGGTCATGGTTAAGGACGGTTCGCAATCGAACAGTCGAGCAACACAGATACAATACATTTTCGTTGTCCAGGTTTCTATTTCACAAACAGAATGTCTGAGTAGGTGATAAGCTCTCAAGTTTCCAGAAACGACGTAGCAGTATTTCGAAACCCTTATCATAATGGTCTCATCGGCAAGGCACTCATGAATACTTCGTAATTATGGTCTGCAAAGTGCCCTGGTGTATCCGACCGAGGGCGGTCAGTTGGGTCAGTCCTATCTGGTATATACACAAACACCAGAGCTCACGTGCATGATGTTCCGCCTCCCTTTTTGAGAAGAATGATATGGAGATTTATGAGTCGCAAACGACACCGCGCCTCGAACGGCACATTTGTCCCTCTAATAACTAGAATCGAGGCGTGACAGGTCCTGACTGGTTCAAATACTATCGGATCCTCCGTGTGTCCGTCTTTAGCACTGGAAGCAGGATGCCTGGCGTGTCAGGAGTCGCGGCGATACTCATCGCCAATGTATTGATTCCCTTGGCTATCGCGATATTTTCGTCTGGATTTTTTCCCTACAAGTCATTGAGCTCGGGCCTCGCAAGATTCGAAGATAAGGAGGATGGCTTTGAGGCCCCTTTTGATAAGGTTATCTTCATGGTGGTTGATGCTTTGCGAAGGTATGATCGTTCGGGATATCCTTACATGCTAAGCTGAGCCTTGAACTAGTGATTTCGTGTACTCAAACACATCAGGATTTGTATTGACGCAAAGGTTAGCAGCAGTTGCTCACATGCTTCACTTGTTTGATTTATATTCTGATACACAAATGAATAGCCTAATCCGGTCAGGAGCTGCGCTTCCATTTACTGCCCATGCCAGTTCTCCCACTGTCACCATGCCCCGTCTGAAGGCTATGACTACAGGGTCTACCCCATCATTCCTCGACGTCATCTTCAATATCGCTGAGTCAGATACTTCAACGACTCTGGCATTTCAAGACACTTGGCTTGCCCAGCTAAAGGCAAGAGGTGGCCGCCTTGTTATGTATGGCGATGACACTTGGCTCAAACTATTTCCTGGCATGTTTGACCGTGCAGATGGCACGACTAGCTTCTATGTTTCAGTAAGCAGACAATTTATTTTTACACAAACATATTTTTGATACCAAGTCAAAATCTGTGCAGGATTTCACCGAGGTTGATAATAATGTGACTCGACATGTCTCCAACGAGCTACTCCGGGACGATTGGTCTGCTTTCATCTTGCATTTTCTAGGCCTCGATCATATTGGACATAAGTCAGGCCCTCAGAGGTAATACTAGTTGTCTTCGCCTTGTTTGGTCATCTTCTAACTACTGTCAAGTCCACATATGTTTACGAAGCAGCATGAAATGGACTCGGTTGTGGGTGAGCTATATGCTAAAATTGAGCGGGAAGAACACCTTCAGTCAACTCTCCTGGTATTATGTGGGGATCATGGGATGAATGATGCTGGAAATCATGGTGGTTCGTCTTCTGGTGAGACGTCACCGGCGCTACTATTTATATCGCCTCTTTTCCGGAATATGGGAGGCTCACGCCTCCAGTCTCCAATTGACATCCCCGATGACTTTCAGTGCTATAAATCTATCGACCAAACGGACATTGTCCCAACTTTGGCGGGGCTCCTCGGCTTGCCCGTTCCGCTAAACAACCTGGGCGTGTTTATTACGGATTTTCTGGGCATGTGGCAATCATGTGAGTAGGAATGTTGCTTTCGTTCTTCGTACGTGCTCTGATGGCTTATGGCAAATTTTCACCTAGATTCCCAGAGGACGAGAATATTGCTAGCGAACGCCAAACAGTTGGTGAGGAGATTGCAGCAATCTTTTCCTGATTTCAAGTTTGAGGCCGATCAAGATTTGGACAGTTGTACTACGGAGCCTCCAACCAGTATTCATGAAGTCCAATGTGCTTGGTATAGAGTGATCGATCTGATTCACCATACCACCAATGTTGGAGAGGAATCGAAACTTGAGCCTGCCCTTAAGCATTTTCTATTGTCGGCTCAAGGAGTGTTAATCCGTGCTGCCAGTGATTACAACTTTCAATATCTTATTCTAGGCATTGGTGTCATGACCCTCGTCGTCTTACTGCTTCTCCCAGATGTTTATAAAATATTGTCAAGGTCGATACATTCTGGGTCATTTTTGGCCGGTCTCATTATGTTTCACAGTGGTATGATGTTTGCAAGCAGCTATGTGGAGGAAGAACATCAATTCTGGAATTGGGTCTGCGCTGCCTGGCTATTCTTTCTTCATGTGAAAGTCACTTCGCGGGGGCCTTGCGTTCCCTCGGGCCCAGAGTTCATTGCCAATGCCCCAATCTCAATCCTAACGGTTGCCAAGCAGGGTACGGTGGGACTGTTCGCAACCCATCGTATTCTTAGGCGTTGGAACCAAACAGGTCAAAAGTTCGCGGCCGAGCCAGATATTGCACGTGACTTCCTCCCCTCCCATCTATACATTTTATGGGCCTTGGTGACTTTCACATATGTGGACTTATATGTGCGCCTTTCTAGCAAATACCGGTCGTACAGACTGTGGCGCCTAATATGCATCATTGTAACAGCAACAGCTTTCTTTTTCAAACTCGGTTCTGTGGTCTCGGACTCCCCTGAGCTACTCGGGGATGCTTACAAGGAAATTTTTAAACGCGTGTTTGACAAAATATCCCTTATCACTCTCTCACGACTAGTCTTCGCACAGCTGATCCTGCTTTTCCTGTACATGTTTCATGCCAGGAAGGAGAGCGATCGCGGAAAGCCATCCGTAAAGTCGGGTAAGACATGATCATTGCCGTGCTTGCCTCGACGATATACTGACAGGAGCTAGGAATGCCTCGCGGCGTTTTTCACGAACTCCTCACACTCTTCTTAATGACACAATCGAGGACCACGAACATTCCATTGTTCCTGATGTTCAAATTGCAGGCGCATACTTTCGCTTCAATGAATCTGTCTAATATCGACTTGACAATCACTTGTTTGCTGATGCAATACATGACTTTCTTCGCATTTGGCGGTTCAAATGCCATATCTTCCGTCGATCTTTCGAATGCATACAATGGCATTGATCATTACAGCATTATCCCAGTGGGTCTACTGACTTTTGTTGGCAATTGGGCTGGACCAATATGGTGGGCATCGGCTACCCGGCACATCCGCTATAGACAGACATGGCAGGGTAAAAAGGCTCATATAACTGCTCTCACGTTCCATATAGCAACATCATTGCTGTGTGTCATGGTTGCATGTACGGCATTGAGGACGCATCTTTTCATTTGGACCGTCTTTTCTCCTAAGTATCTTTACATGATAGCATGGGCTTTGATGAGCCATCTTGCTGTGAATCTATCCGGGGAGTTTTCATAAGCATGCATGAAACCCCAGTCAAATCTCCTAATTATTCGACGCGCAGAAAGCGGAGTGAAACCCCAGTGTGTTATTCGCCGATGGGTGGTGATTAAGGTTCCTCTTCTTTGTTGTCATTTGGAAATATTCAAGGAACTAAACAGCCTCGACATCCACGTCAACTATAGTAAAGAGTCAAATAAGTCATCGATAGCATCTTTTCTTTTCTTCTTTTTTGTCTTCTTCTGGGTTTGATTTTTCTTGTCTGTATCTTCGCAACCTTGCGAACTGCTTGGCAAGCTTCTTGTGTTCTTCAGACCAGTCATACGGCCCAGACCGTTCAGGTCACCATGGTCAGGCAGTATCAAAGGACCTGGACTCTGCCTGCTTCGCAAGATAATTGTCCCCGTATCTTCTTTGATGCATTTGTTGCTCCGGCCAAGAGTAGGGGCAATATCCCCAGTTCTAGCAGGTTTTCTAAGCACTTTGTGAATTCCGGTCACTTTGGCGAGGCGGGCAAGCGTGGCTAAGAGCACTGTCCCTAGTGTAGAGAACTGCCCGTCGGCTACAACAGTAGAGAAGACACTTTGAAGGATGTCAACTCATCACTCAAAGGGATTTGAGCCATGATGGTATTCAAACTCACAGGTAGCATTTAGGGATGATATTGTGTGCAAGGTAATGTTTGTATTGGTCTCCGACATATGGCAGCCGATCAATGGACATTGCGAGTTTCAGAGTTGTCCGCTTCAATGTCGCTAGCCATTTCCACCACTTGGTATTGCCGTGTTGGTTTTTGTTGCGGTGGAATAGGAGGTGGAGAATCGAATGTATAGCAAGCAATTTCTCCGCGTCCATCTCCGCTTTCTACAGTGCGGGTCGTTGTACAGTAAAATGCACGTAGAGAATAATCGAGGACACGGGCTGGCTAAAGAGGTAGGATACACAGTGTGGGAATTAACCAATTCTCGAGAGTATTTCTGCTATGGTTATGGTTCTGAAATTGCAGCAGTAGCCAAGCACTGTGGGTGTCTCTTCGCGGATTTGGGATAATCTTGGAAGATTCTGCTTTAAATGGCAGAGCGATTAGATAAGGCGGCTGATGTAACAGTAGTCCTAGTAGGAACTCGGCACCCAACGGGATGAGGGTGATTAGCAGCAATCAAGCATTACAAATAACGAACAGCTCATGTAACGCATTACAGTCTTTGGCAATAGCCGTGAATTGGAGACATGAAATCCTCGTCTCGAGTGGAAATCGCCATTGTTACAATAAATACCCGTAGATTTCATTTGTTGCAAGATGTGCCAGGAAAGTCAGCAGAGCAAGGCAGATCCGTCAGATTCTTTTCTCTACCTCTGATTTGTATTACAACTAGATCTTAGTCAAGAGCATTGAAAAGCACCTGGCAAGGACATCTGGATCTCACAGAGAATGGCTCCCAACACTTCGACTCAAACTGAGGCAATGCATCCAAGCCGACCAGGGCGTGGCGAAGTTGCTCCTTAGGTCGCAATGCTGCTGCTTCTCCAATCAAAGTTAACCTTGTACTGTACTCGGGACAATCAACATAGCTGGGCTGTAGGTGGAGGTTGTCAAAGGAACCCAACCACGAGGCGGTCCGGCATTCGATTCATACCATGACGTTGCCGGACAATTTCCGTATTTTCAAGGATCTTTTTCATATTCAATTCGAAAGCGAAGAACGATCTTCCGAAAAGCAATCAGGAAGTTTTAGGAATATTCTCAGGCATTGGCGAATCGTACCACGATTTCACTCCGGGGTAAGTACAGGGAGCACTTCTGAGACCGTTTGAGGCACCATATGTGCGCTTTGGGGCAAGTGTCCGGACAAAGACGACTTCACGTTCAGCAGCTGTGGTCCCGCGATCAAATTGCGAACGGCGTCGACGCTGCTCATCACGGTATTGTTGGCCAACTCGAGGGGCAAAAAGACCTGACGGGTCAGATATCAACTTCATACCTCGAAGCCAGCTTGTTGCATACTGACCCACATGTTCCGCATTCTCAATGCTGCGTCGCATCTTTGAGGGATTGTCCGGCCCAGGGAAGCGATCCTCGGTGCCAGCCAGAGGGCCGGTACCCGTATGGAAAATCTATGTCGGACAATAAGCCTCTTATGTCTCCGTCCGGCCTGGGTCCATGGAAACATATACAGACCTTTGGGCGGAATGAGGGATGTTCCAACATCACAGAGCTGTTTCGAAATTTCTGCACTAGACAATCTTTGCCTTGAATGGCTAGCTTTGAGGTCAGAAGATCATCTCCTCTATCCAAGTCACTTTGGCTGACTGACTGGCATATGAGACTTCGGCGACCTTATCACTGTTGAAGCAGTTCCTTTTCAACTTGTCAGCCAGAGCGGCTGCATTGACGTTGTCACAGCATCATACCATGTCCTTCCAGCCCTTGTATTTACAAACTAGGCATTCTTAGTGAGTTGTCAGGATGAAGGCTGGGTCGCATTTGTACTAACGTCAATAATATCTATGGGCTGGAGTGTGTCAAATACGGATACTCATATATCAGGTGGCAGATAGCATATAGTTGAGACTTACATCTTCGAAATTTATGAAAGCATAGCCGACACTAGAGGCTATCAGCAACATGAATCATGGACTATTGAAACCATTCTTGTCATACTTGCAATTGTTTGCGAAGTCTAGACGTCGGATGCTATAATCAGCCACGGCGCGTGCAATGCGGAAATCAGATTTTCTCACCAATGCGCAGATACATGAAATCATATTTTCCATGACTTGTCTCGTCGACAATGGCCTTGAGCATGGTCTTCTCACATTAGAAACTGGGCAAAAAGGATCCACAGTATAACATTACCTGGTCGATCTTATTGGGAATATTGCGAAGCATTATCTGCGATAGGCATACTCATTAGCATGAGGACTATCGAGAGACAGAAGTTGACAGAGCCTACAGTGGTTCTAACATCCAAACCGAGGCGAATTCGTTCAATATCAACAGAGTTTTGACTTCCCATACGTGGATCAGGGTACCGATTGAGATCACGCCGAAGGGAAGGTATCACCCTTTCACCGGCCCTGGACATCCAACTCATAAGACTAGTGTGCTCGCCTGGAGGGACCGTAGAGCGGCCTGTTGGGCTGAGCTCCATGTAAGGAGTGCGACATGATTGAGTCGCAGCCCAAGAAGCATTCGGGTTGAAATGAGTTTCTGTTCCAGCGAGCCGCTCCTTGGCGGGATTAGGGCTGGCGGAAATGAGCCTGCATGCCCTCTGCTCTACATCTGGTTTGAACTGCTTGATCTCGATGATGCAGTCCTTGGGTTTCAGTGTTAGCAATGGACAGGGTTCACATCAAGACGGCCAACTCACATCAACCAAGGTTCCATTTAAGGTGGTTGTCACATTCTCTGCATCGCGTGTGTTGAAGAATTCAATATGGAACTCGCCAATGTTGTCCTGTCCTGTAGGTACATTTGTGAAGGACTTTATATCACCGAATGTCATAGCAAGGGTCTCCAGAGAGCGAGCCACAGTGTGTTGATTGAGATCTGGGTTCCGGCCGTCAAAATACACGGTTACAAGCAATTGGCCTTCGTAGTCAGATGCCTGTGATAGTAGAAACGGCTCGGCATGCCGTACATACTCCTTAGCGGTAATGGGAAAAGCTCGCCACTCGGGTCTAAGTAAATTCACTTTTTCGATTGCTTTTGTGACCTCACGACTATCCGTAAATGCGACATATACCTTGCCGTTCGAGTTGAGTTCCGACAAGACAGGCCCCCTGAGAGAACCAAACTCACGACGCTATCCTGTCAAGTAAGACTCTGATTGCTCTCACGTAGATGTTTCAGGTATTTAGACTTTGAACTCACGTTAAAGAATCCAGCGAGTGACATGTATGTCAAATTATTGGGCACATTTTCTATGACTAAGGCTCGACTGTGACCTTCCTTATCGAGGTCATCTGGTTCTGCACCAAACAGCTGCTTTATCCTGGTTGATTGGATGCTTCCAAAAGCGCCGTAACTCAGGTTCTCTCTTTCCATGCGATTGATGAGTCCGGGACTCGTTTCATTACGCTTCGACTCCAAGTGTGGCGCTAGGAAGTCAATCTGTGCGAAGCTCCGTGGACATGTTCGGGTTTGAGTCTCGACACTTGTACTATCCGACGTTCCTACCGGGGTGAAAGCTGCAGCTGTCGGCGAGAGCTGTACACGTGTTGATGCTGCTGAGACAAAGAAAGGGTCAGAGGATGCTCTGCGATAGTTAGCGAGAAACCATTATGTGTCATGTTTCACGAACTCACGTAGAGCAGAGCCTACGAATCCCTGAATCGCTGAGTGTGTCTATAACACGGGTGTCCAGGCGACCTCTAGTGATGGTTTCTTCGGGCGAGTATACCGTGAGTTTGGTATCAGGAGAGCCGTTGACCGAATCGATATCGTTCATAGAGCTTGGGCTGCTCAGGCCACGAGAAGAATCGCCTGCCCGCATCATTCCAGGCTATTCCTCGTGCCCTGGGGAACGAATCGAATGAGAACCTGCTCAGGCAGTTTCCGCGCTACCTCCAACTGCAATAATCGGAGCTTCAACTATGAATACCTTTCGAGGAGAATAACCGTGTATCTGGGCCTAGCACACAGGATATGTGACTTGTAGCGATAGGTAAGGTGCAGTGAGTTTGTCTATTCTGATGTGGGTATGGGGTGGATTGTGGGTTTGAGTATTCTGAAATAGCTCTCTGTGATTTAGAATGGCCCCGCATCAGAAAGCAACTGGTGGTACTTCGCAATATGATTCTTCATCATGTGCTAAACACAATGCTACTTGAGTCGCACCCTTAGTAAAAGCCAGTCCCAGACAGGCGGGAAGAGTCGCCACCGGCTGAAATGCTTCGTTTGTGGTCTATTCATGGTGCTAATATTTATATCTTTATATCATTCTCTACAACAATGCAGCTATCCAGAATCTCTCCATGCTTGCTGGACTTGCGTTGTACACGGCCCCTCTGCGGCCCATTTCCGCCTTATACTTGTGTTAGGAGCTGACCAATCGATCATTATCCCTCGACTGCCGGCAGAAACAACACCCTGACTACTAGGCTCCTCTCAATTGAGGAACTTCTGATCCCGTCCCAGACCTTTTTCAGGCATCAGTCTGTAAAGACGGCTGTAAGGTCGCAAGTACTATCTCATCGACTAGCTGGGTGAATCCTGCTCCCAGGCTGATTGAGGCCACACACAGCATATTGACACGAGGCCAGTAGTCATGGTATTCATGTACCAAGAATTGCGGTTAGCGGTCAGTCTACGGGACACAGATAGGATGATTGATATCTGACTCCGTAGAATAATGTACAGCACAGGTGTACTAGAATTCAGCCCTTCACGCATAAGGGCTTTGAAGTCGCTTTTCAGAGAGAAAAAAAGCATGGTAGGAAATGCCACCTTGTAATGAGAAATGAGCTAGATTTTTGAAAATCAAGGTCATATACACCACGGGTACCTCGGAAACAAGCTGGGGTGTGGGATGTCAAGGAAGGGTTAGAAGCTTGGGTGCTTAACCAGCGACATGTTAAGCTACCAGCGTTTACTACATGTAAGCTTTGCCACTCCATTTTCTCCACAAAACAAATGCCCAGTGCGCAAGATTTCAGTGCTGAGTATGACCAGGTAATGGTTCCCAAGTGCCGAACTCAATGTGCTACTGTAATTTGCACGATGTTTCCGTGGAGAAGTAGTACTTAGAATTGCAACGAATCTTAGAAGGATGGTAAAGTTATTTCCAGAACGTTTACAACATTAGTCAGAGCCTTTCCCGATTTAGAATAGATGGAAACTAAGCGAGGGCGGTCAGGGTGTTCAGATCGACCCAAATTTACGTTCTCAGGCAACCCGACCATGTATTAAATGGAGAGAATCTGAAGTATATCAACAATGATTAGATCCTTGTATCATCTAATTTTCTCATAAAACTCTAATCAGTCAGCAGAATTGATAGAATCTGACCGGATTAATTCTGCCAGTAGAATGTGGAAGAAAATTATCGTCACAGTTCCACTCCACCAACAGCCTTAGTTGACCCCCGGAGTAGCAAGGTGTAAGGCTTTATAAAGTTCTTGGCAATGCTTTACCGTACTCAGAAATATCCACTCCCGTGACCGTAGACCAACTGCCGGCCGAATCGACTACCTTAGCTAACAGTGATCACCTACTTGAGAAGTCTCAGGGTATCATGCCATGTACCTATAAATTGGAAGTACGTAGCCAACTAATAGCTGATCAGTTTTTCTAGAAAAACCGAAGCTGGCATTGTACATATATGGACTGGACTAGTCTAGAACATGTTTCGATATCAGCTACATAACTCGCACGCATATCGTCTCCTCTCTTCTAATCAACTCACCTTCCAAACTAATCGTGCCACCGTCGAGGACGACAGATCAGTCATCCGTACATGATCAGGCTGGTTGTCCAGGTCTCCTGCGGTATACCGTCTGTGTGATATTCCGCAAAACCAAATCATAATTACCAACAAACCAACGCTCTCCGGCAACCTCCCTAGAGACCGCAAGGGCCCTGCCCCGCATCTGGGTTGTGACAATCCCAAGCTATCAAGATGCCATCTCTACCCCCCTCACGCAATGACGCACATGTATTGAATCAAGTGAGTCATAAAGAGATCTGTGCAGAGCCCACGGCTAACTTTCCGCACTACTCAGATCATCATATCGCCCTCTGACACAGACTACCTGGATCAGTTGATTCCGTCCATCAAAGAATACAGTGTTGGCAACAGGACCTCTCAGCTCTTGCACTCTCTAGCAAAATTTGCCAGCGATAAAGAGACGGAAATAGAAAGCATCTGCAATACCAATCATCAAGAATTTGTTGCTTCAGTCAATCAACTCCTTCGTATTAGAGAAGGTACGGTTAGCCTAACAGCTGAGATTCTGGATCTCAACCAATCTATCCAAGCGAGTACAGAAAAATTGGCAGAGCAAAAAAGAGCACTAGTGGACTCGCGCAGTCACCGACAAAAAATTGATGAGACATCCTATGCTATTCAAGACTGCCTTGAAGTCCTGCGCCTTGCCAATCAAGTCCATGATTTGCTAGCCAGAAAAAATCATTATGCAGCCCTGCGCGCCCTCGAGGAGCTACAAAGTGTACATCTTAAAGGGGTCACACAATACAAGATCGCTGAGTTGATCCAACGCTCAGTGCCTGCCACACAGAAGATAATCGCTGAAGCAGTCATGTCTGACTTGAACACTTGGTTGTACAGAATTCGTGAGATGTCTCAATACCTGGGCGAAATAGCTCTGTATCATACCGACCTGCGAAAGTCGAGACAAAAGGAAAGAGCTGAGACGTTGCCCTACTTAGGTCAATTCAAACTTAACTCCGCCATTGAGCTTGTCTCTGATGAGAGTGAAGAATATGATTTACTACAGAACGACGAACTCCAAGTTGACTTTACGCCACTATTCGAATGCCTACATATCCACCGATCCTTAGGGCGTATAGACAACTTCCGCATCGAATATGCTAATACGCGCCGCCGGCAAAAGGAGCTCTTGCTACCGACATCCATAACTCTGATTGACGAAGATGGGGCTTGTCTACATAACTTCCTTGAAGAAATGGCCGGATTCGCGATCGTGGAGCGTTCAACCATGAAAAGAATTCCGGATCTGAGATCACCTGTTGACGTGCGTTATCCTTTCAGGAGTTGGACCCGATTTATCTTGCTGATGTGATCGAAATTGTCAGGTCGATGAACTTTGGGACTCAATGTGTCAAGCTGCTGTAAACTTGATACTAAGGGCACTTCATGAGGTCGAGAATGCCGAGAACTTGCTGAAAATCAAGAATCTTATTGCATTATTTATGCAAACAATGAACGTTCGTCTATCTTGCTCGTGTCAGGGCCGATATGTATTGTACTGATCTAGATTGCATAGACATGGGATTTCCCCGTTGGAGCGTTCGATTCATTTCTGTTAACACTCTTCAAAAAATATGCCGACCTCCTCAAGAAGAGGTTTAGCGAGGATTTTCAAGAAGTAAGCCCTTCTGCAAAAAAAATCTTGACCCTGCAGTGCTAATGGAACTCGAAAGATCGTTTCGACCGATGATTACATGCCTATGCCGATACAGACACTCGAGGAATACGAGAAGGTACTGAATGTTAGCTGGTATACGCCTGAGAAGCCACACGAAGAACAGATGTAATGGTTTCCTACAATTTCCCATAATTGCACCCAAACCACTAATTCCCTGGCAGATTTCCTTGTGTCTTGCCGTTCTCCCAGATGTATCCGCTGTGCTGCATTGACATACGTAATTTCCTGAACCAATTCTACTTCTTCGCCAATGATGATTTCACGCATGCCAATGTGATTGATGAAACACTGAAAGATGTGGGTTACATATCGAGCATTAGGTTTGACCAACAAGCTAATCATATCAAGGCATTGGACGAACTCCTCTCGAACAAAGTCTGCGACACTCTGGTTGAACGTCTGTCTTCTCAGTACCTGGGACAAATTGTGCAGATTCTCATCAATCTAGAGCATTTTGAACATGCATGTCGCGAGCTTGAGCTGCTGCTTGCGGCGGCAAGGTCGCAGAACTCTTCGTGTGAAGTAGTGATTTTGAAAGCCACCGAAAAGTTCAAGAGCAATAAAAAGGCAGCCGAGAAGCGAATCTTCGAGGTAGTCAACTCTAAGATTGATGACCTTATCGAGACCGCGGAGTACGATTGGATGGCACCTAGCCTGCCGACAGAGCCGAGTAATTACATGCAAACGCTGACAAGGTTCCTCTCAAACATCATGAACTCAACGCTTCTGGGTCTCCCCACAGAAATTAAGGAGCTGATATACTTCGATGCCCTTAGCCATGCTGCAAATATGATCCTGGTCTGTCTTCAGCCAACCCGCCCGCCCCCTCCGACAACAACAACAACAACAACAACACTTTTAAGACGTCTGTTCTGACATTATATAGGCACTTCCTCTTTCTCCCGACGTGAAAAGAATCAACCCAAGTGGTGTGCTAGCGCTTGCTAAAGACGTCGAGTACCTTTATCAATTTGTGGACAGCCTCGGTGTGCCCATACTGCGGGAGAATCTTGACGAGTTACAACAGACGGTGCAGTTGATGCAGGCGGACAACACAGATGAATTCTACGACATATCCACACGAAACAAGAAGTATGGACGTGTAGATGCCATCAATGGCCCTGTCCTGCTCGAGAAGTATGTTAGGTCTGTATGCTGAATTTAAATCGAACTACGTGCTAATAGACCGAAGGATTACGCGTTCTGTGCAAAGCTCTGCGAAAACTGACAAGTTTGCCACCTTGTCTTCGAGGTTTGGAAAGAAGTCATAAGAATGATGCGGGTTACTCCAAGACTTTCTTCCAACAAATCAGGGATATCGAAGTGTCATCGACTACATAAATCGCGTTTGACTGGAATATGTCATTAAGGGGGCTTGTAGGTTGAGTAAAAATCCTTATTCTACCATTGCGTTTCTTGACAAGGCCTATCACTCCTTCCGATTCCACATAAATGTCAGAACAATTGAAAAATGCCGAACAGAATAACTACCGGCGGATTTGGCAGGAGGAGCGTAGGTCACGATGTCACTTATATGAATCTACAATTAGCCTTTGAACCTCCTTCATAACGAAGATCTTGAAGGTCGCGGGATGACAATGAGCAAAAACAATAACGAACATAACATACCTGCTGCGGTGGCATATGCGGGTAAGCATACATTCCATCAAACATTTGAGGCTGATGTTGACCATAAGCTGCAGTAGGGTCAGACTGTACAGCACCGGCATACATAGTCGGCTGTCGATATTCCGAATCTTGTAGTCCATGCTGACCTAGCGAACTATAGTCAGGCGGTGGCATGTGGTGTGAGGCATGTTGAACACCGTGCTGAGCCGCGGGCATCTGATTTTGGGCGCCTGCAGGGCCCGAAGCGCTTGTAGCTGGCCCAGCTGTCTGACTTGAACGTTTCGCATGCGATGTGGCCTCCTCACGAGGTACTATATCGATAAGAAAATCAAACATGTCAGATTTTGAAAGAGCTGCCGCAATGTCCGACCTTTGCAGTGTGCGTCGTTTGTTGTCTTCAGCATGGATCCATGCCCGCATTGTAAGCTCGGTAATAAAAATATCGCAACCCTTCGCAAATAAAATTGGCGCCTCCGCTGAGATCATCTTTACTTCCGGATCGGCCTTCATCACTTTCTTGATACGGGCGAGTGGTAGTTGATGTATCTTATAGTCGTGATTATCTGTTTCGAGGTGGTTGATAATGTGTTGCCAATATGTTGTCAAAATGTCACGAGCCGTTCCTTGCAGTCCTTGATTCACCTGCCAGTTGTCAGTTGCGTTCACTGAGCAGCTGGCTGAGGAGCTCTACTCGCATTTGCCCAAGTGCCTGTATAAAGCTCAGCAACAGGTGCGAAGCCTTGCGCAGATAGCTAGATAAGTTAGAGCAGTGGTCAGCCTTATAGCATTGATAGTCAAGAGCCTGCTCTTGTACAGGCCTTAGGAAAGCGATTCGGGGATAGGAGGCCTACAGCCGCACTGGCTCCTATAAAAATCATGCGTCAGCCCAGTCTTCGAGTCGTGAAAACATACTGATGAGTATGTAGACGGGCTAGGTAGGAATTACCGTAATGCCCTCCGTTTCTGGTATCATATACAGGCTGCTGTCTGCCCTGCTGCTGCCCCGAGTTTTGTGTTGACTGTTCCATTTTTGATGAACTAGCTGCTGTGAAGGCTTCAAATCACATGCACATTGGGTCAGAGGATTGTCGATTTATTTTGGTCAGGTTGGAAGATTGGCGGCTGTGATAAGAAAGAAGGCAGAATTTGCAGGTGGAGTATTTCGGTATGAAGATGGAAGTGAACTTGGAGGTAAAAGTGGTTATGCTGAGCAAGTGATAATAGATGATACTTCGGGGTAGTCGGAGACGCGCAGGACAAGAGACGAAGTTGACGGCCCATAAGGTGGGGAAGTTGGTAGTGCGCAACAAAGCGCCGCCAAGCTTGGCAAATGTGTCTACCTTAGTAGCTAGCTTCGGATTACGGGAGGGATTCCGAGGGGCCAAGTCGAAATCGAAGTCGAAAAGTTGACATGGATTTTGGCTGAAAGGTTCTACGGTCGCCATATTACAGCGGTCACCTACGAGCCTATCTCGGGGACCAGTAGCCATCCCTCCAAGTCCGTTCTTCAGATCCTTCAACCAGATGCGGCTTGCGACTTGGGAAGTAGTACTCATTCACAGCACTTGGACGGACATTATAATAGAGAGCGATCCTCTTAGGACCCAAACTCGATCCAGTTGGACCGGGCAGCTAGGCCAAAAGAAACTAGGTCTAAGCCAATTTTGTAGATATATACTTAGACAAGAATCGTTATGGGTACACTGCTGTCAGTCACTAGTGCACTCAGGGGCCTCAACTAATATTGTTAGTAAAGTAGAACTGCAATAACGTAATCGTCAACCGAGCGAGCCACGCAAGCGAGCGAGCCACCCCCCTGAATCCTCCCACCTCCGAGAAACGAAGCAATTCAACCATCAATTTTCCCACCAAAAATGCCGAAATCATCAAAAGAGCGGGTGTATCAAGAGGGCCAAATCCTCCTCGCCATTGAGGCTATAAAAACCGGTCAATCTCGCTCAGTTCGTACAGCTGCGGTGGAATTTAATGTTCCTCGTTCAACTCTTCAACACCGTTTCAATGGCCGCCTATTTCGTGAAGAAACTCGCCCGAAT